AGAGCATTAAATTGATTTTTTGTTTGAAGCTTCTAGCTCAGGTTTGAAGGAAGTTGCATCATTTTCGTAAAAATTCAAAACAAATATTTTTTGCCTCATTTATGTCACGATCGCACCCCCCGACTGAAAACCTAAAATATTTTGGTGATTGCATCACCCCTCCCCCCGACTGAAAGCTGGCTACGGCCCTGGGGTTTTATCGAAAACTATATCGTCAACATTTTATCATTATGCGGAAAGTCCAATATGAAATCATAAATGGTAAATATGTTGCATTTATGGAGGGAATTCCACTGTAAACTATAATGTGAATGTTTGATATGAATACTTCCATACAACCATCAATATCCATTCTTTTGAAATAAGATGTTACAACAAAGGGAATATTGAAAACTACAGTGGTAAGAGCATCTTTCTGACTGCTAATTATGTGTATCAACATTTTGATTGCACCTCAGCTGGAGATTAAATCTTATAATAATTTGATCAAAGGGATTGTAATTTTCCCCAATTCGCTTATCTATGTTACAATCTGTATACTTGTTATATTGTGAGCGGTATGTGTTGATAAACCAAAAAGATATGTTTTTTGGATATCAACATTTAGAAAAAAGTGTAAGATACCATTCTATATATTTTCTTAGTGTTTAGCATAGGTAAGAATGGGGGATGGGCTGGCGGGGGTCCGTCTTTGAATAATTCCAAGGGGTTCATATATTATCACAATTTTGCTACAAAATCACTTGGAAAGTGCATGATTTGAAAGATTATTTGGCCAAGGCGTCCGCTATTAACATGAGTATGAATTTTATAAAAAAAATTACTTGAATCAAAATCGAAGAATTCCTTGCCCCGTGTGTTCACCATTCACCCCGGGGGTTCACACTCGGCTCAGGTGGGGTACCTTTTTTACATTTGGTATGTCAAGCCAATGGACCCACATTTTAAGACAGATTTTTCCATTTTCTGGTATAAGATTCGGTGTGGAAAATATGTTACCCCTCAATTGTGGTACGGCATTGGTCCCGGGGCATTGGTCTAGTTGTTACACATATCCTTCATTTGAGGTTGTTTACTCAAAGATCTGCCTTCTTCTCGGGGCATTCGATATTTCGAATGGCCTTGGTCTTATATTCTGGATATTTGGTATCCGGGGGTATGGCATTGGTTCTATATTTGGATGTTTGACATCATCATGATATACCATGACATCTCATTTCTTCTCAGCCCTGAGATGCCATGATATAATGAGCTCGATTTGGCGATCTAGGAGAGCCCAAAATTGAGGATTTTTAAGATCTTTCATCCCAGCTCATATTTCATTTAATTGGGGTCATTAAACTTGTGTACACGTACCTGTGCTAATATCTGCTGTTAAATACAATGCCTTTTATGTAATGTATTGACATTATGTAAATGATTACATGATCTGATGTGCTCAGATCACAGAATATGCCTCGTAATATCAGAGCATGTTTCAAGTGAAACAGAAAGATGCTATGAGTATCAGAATGGTTTGACATGGCATTGGTCTTGTGTTTGGACATTTGATATGGCTTTTTGGGGTTTATTTTAGTTTGTATGAGAACACATTTAATGCCACCCCCCAAATTACAAATCTACATCTATTCTCTCTATCCCAAAGGTGGATCGGAAGCATGAAAAACAGATGCAGACTCGGGACAGTTGCGAGGGGGGCTATAATGGAGAAATTCGTTTTGATTTTGAGTCTAACTGAAATATTTTGTCACAAATATTAATTAAATACGCAAATAGCCTGTTTTATAAATGAGACTAGGGCAAAAAATCTATTCATTAAATCTAAAGCCTAGACGATATCCTCTGTAATCAAGGTGATTTTGGTACACTTCCGCAATTATAAAAACAAAAACATAGACTAAGTTATTAATCTTTTGTTATCATATCAGATTAAGTCAGTTTTGTCTCCGATTGTTATGCAGGTGTGTGTATCGACTCCAGTGAACAACATTAAGTGAATCAATCCTTGAAATTCCCAAATTCATTCCAAATTCTGGCCGTTAACCCCCCCCCCCTCCCCCATGTCTCTTAATTACATTTATTTTGCAAATGATATATAAATTATAGATTAAAATATTTCATTTTCGAATTGCACAAAGGGCAACATGTGAAGATAAAACCGCGATCCTATATTAATACCAATACAATGTACCTCTATGAATATCATAAATTCACTCCTTTTTAATATCAATAGTCAAACAAATTAAGCAGTATGCTACAGTTGGTTATCAATCGGAGTTCACGACCTATTGATTACTCTTTAATACAAAATTTAACCATTTTAGAATGGGTAACTCACACCCCCCCCCCCCGTCCATGTCCATGAAGTGCGTAGACTGACATAATAGTGCCATTTATTAATTAAACATCACTGATTTATGTTGAGACATTCAGTGCGATTATTTCATTTCTTTGTTCAAAAAGTTAAAGCACCAATTAAATACATATTTTTATCACACAAAAGGGGCAGAATACTTGACCTTGTATCAATTCATATCCCGATAATTCTTTACAAGGGAATGTTTCTTATTAAAACATAAGCAGCGCCTAGGCGTCGATTGGGGGGGGGGGGGGGTCAATCCGGTGTTCTCAGGCTATGTACAGCCAAGTATCCTGTTTATGTAAAAACCCTACGTTCCCGAATCACAATCAGACAATTAATTAGTATATTTGCTGTGTCTAGCAATTGATCATACAATTAGATGTTGCGAAAACTATGGGAACTTGTACCTGTCTGTTTATGGATAGGCTGGGAAAGAACAGCAGAGAGAATGGTACATTCGATTGAATATGCTTGTTTTGCCCAATTGTGTATTAAAATGCCCCTCATTTAACATATGTATGGTCACAAGTTAAGTCGGCGATAATTTGTATTGACTTAACTTGAAACAAATTACTCCGAAATCCAAATACTCATCGAAAAGTAAGTTTATCTTTATATTAAGGTAATACAAAATAAATATATAAATAGGCCTGATGTATCAGTGTTTTCAAAGTTTATTGCACGTTTTATCCTTGAAACGCCTTTCTTTTTCTTATCATGATATGTATTTCCTTCACTTAGGATCAATGCGTCGATTAGCATTGCCTGTAACTGATTTATATTTTCAAAAGGCGGCATGAAATTGCCAAAATGTTTAAATAAGTCAATGTGTCAGCGTACATACAAAATAGTCTGTTTAATATTTGCTACATGTACTTGTTCCAAACAGTCTGCGAAAGAATGATTAAAAAATATATCAATTAAAAGTATCAGAGAAAATACTTGCAATCGTTAAAATACTGTATGTATTGCTATTGGTAATTAGGTTAGTTGTTTACACATAATTATGTTGTTCAGTGTGCCAAGAGCGTGTCAAGAGGTGTAAAGAGTTGAATTCATCGCGTGTCAAGAGGTGTAAATAATTGGCACGTCTAGAATCCCGGCGTGTAAAGACCAGTTTCTAGACGTGTCAAGAGTTGGAATCCCATATTTCACGCAGTGGTAGGAGTTAATGGGGTGAATCACCAGTATGGACCCTGATAAAATGGGTTAGAGTTAATGGGGTGAATCACCAGTATGGAGCCTGATAAAATGGGTAGGAGTTAATGGGGTGAATCACCAGTATGGAGCCTGATAAAATGGGTAAGGGTTAAATGGGGTGAATCACCAGTATGGAGCCTGATAAAATGGGTAAGAGTTAATTGGTTGAATCACCAGTATGGAGCCTGATAAAATGGGTAAGAGTTAATGGGGTGAATCACCAGTATGGAGCCTGATAAAATGGGTAAGAGTTAATGGGGTGAATCACCAGTATGGAGCCTGATAAAATGGGTAAGGGTTAAATGGGGTGAATCACCAGTATGGAGCCTGATAAAATGGGTAAGAGTTAATTGGTTGAATCACCAGTATGGAGCCTGATAAAATGGGTAAGAGTTAATGGGGTGAATCACCAGTATGGAGCCTGATAAAATGGGTAAGAGTTAATGGGGTGAATCACCAGTATGGACCCTGATAAAATTGGTAGGAGTTAATGGGGTGAATCACCAGTATGGACCCTGATAAAATGGGTAAGAGTTAATGGGGTGAATCACCAGTATGGAGCCTGATAAATTGGGTAGGAGTTAATGGGGTGAATCACCAGTATGGACCCTGATAAAATGGGTAAGTGTTAATGGGGTGAATCACCAGTATGGACCCTGATAAAAGGGGTAAGAGTTAATGGGGTGAATCACCAGTATGGAGCCTGATAAATTGGGTAGGGGATAATGGGGTGAATCACCAGTATGGAGCCTGATAAATTGGGTAGGAGTTAATGGGGTGAATCACAAGTATGGACCCTGATAAAATGGGTAAGAGTTAATGGGGTGAAGCACCAGTATGGAGCCTGATAAATTGGGTAGGAGTAAATGGGGTGAATCACCAGTATGGACCCTGATAAAATGGGTAAGAGTTAATGGGGTGAATCACCAGTATGGAGCCTGATAAATTGGGTAGGAGTTAGATGAATAATGAGAGTTTTCGTTTGTCCAAAACTTGTTTATGAGTAGACAGACAGATGGATAAAGACGGATGGATGGAGGGGGGCATAAAAGTGGGTGATTCCCGAGGCATATGAGTCAAAAATGTATTTCATATACAGTGAAATGTGTATATCTGAACACCTCTCTAATCCAAACACCTCTCAGTGTGAACACTTTTCTTGATCCCAAATTTGGTATCTCCCATTGACTTACATGTTTACCAACTTTGAAATGTGAACACCTACTAATCAAAACACTTTTGGCTGGTCCTAGAGGAGTTAGGATTAGACAGGTTTAACTGTGCCTGTAAAAATAAGCTGTAAATTCTCGCTTATGTTTATTCCTTTCAATGAAAATCGCTACATTTAAAACATATAATATTTAGATAAAGCAAGGTATTACAGTGATTTCCATATATTCTGGTTTGTTTGTTATTACAGTTTATGTTGTCTACTTACAGTATAGAGGCAGGAGATGAGGACATATCTGATACGACTACTGTGCAATCATCAGACACAGACCCTAGCCATGTTGGACTGAAAAATAGAATAAAATATGTATGTTATGACACATAAAGAATCATCAGATACAGACCCTAGCCATGTTGGACTGAAAAATATAATAAAATATGTATGTTCTGACACATAAAGAATCATCAGATACAGACCCTAGCCATGTTGGACTGAAAAATAGAATAAAATATGTATGTTATGACACATAAAGAATCATCAGATACAGACCCTAGCCATGTTGGACTGAAAAATATAATAAAATATGTATGTTGTGACACATAAAGAATCATCAGATACAGACCCTAGCCATGTTGGACTGAAAAATAGAATAAAATATGTATGTTCTGACACATAAAGAATCATCAGATACAGACCATAGCCATGTTGGACTGAAAAGTAGAATAAAATATGTATGTTACGACACATAAAGAATCATCAGATACAGACCCTAGCCATGTTGGACTGAAAAATAGAATAAAATATGTATGTTCTGACACATAAAGAATCATCAGATACAGACCCTAGCCATGTTGGACTGAAAAATAGAATAAAATATGTATGTTATGACACATAAAGAATCATCAGATACAGACCCTAGCCATATTGGACTGAAAAATAGAATAAAATATGTATGTTCTGACACATAAAGAATCATCAGATACAGACCCTAGCCATGTTGGACTGAAAAATAGAATAAAATATGTATGTTATGACACATAAAGAATCATCAGATACAGACCCTAGCCATGTTGGACTGAAAAATAGAATAAAATATGTATGTTATGACACATAAAGAATCATCAGATACAGACCCTAGCCATGTTGGACTGAAAAATAGAATAAAATATGTATGTTATGACACATAAAGAATCATCAGATACAGATCCTAGCCATGTTGGACTGAAAAATAGAATAAAATATGTATGTTATGACACATAAAGAATCATCAGATACAGATCCTAGCCATGTTGGACTGAAAAACAGAATAAAATATGTATGTTATGACACATAAAGAATCCTCAGATATAGACCCTAGCCATGTTGGACTGAAAAATAGAATAAACTAGACAACAGCAACGCCAAAGCGTAGCAAATCCCATTGAACAGCCATGGCTGGCATATTTACAAACAAAGTATATAGAAAAATGGCAGCCATTTTTCAGAATGGCAACCTTCTACCAAAAGTGTCATTAGACAGTGTGCCATGCTTATAGTATTCACATACCAAATATGAACAAAATCGCTCCACTACTTTTCAAGTTATAGTAAAATATGTTAAAATGGCGGCCATTTTTCAAAATGGCCACCTTCTACCAAAAGTGTCATTAGACAGTGTGCCATAATTATAGTATTCACATACCAAATATGAACAAAATCGCTCAACTACTTTTCGAGTTACAGCAAAAAATTGTAAAATAACGAGTAAAGGCGCCCATTTTTCAAGATGGCTGCCATGTGCTTCTTTAATATCTACATTTCTAGCTTTTTAATGTCTTATATAATTATTTTACATTTAAAACATATTGCTATTACAGTTTTACATATTGCACCTAAATTACTGTATAATCCGCCCTAAAATGGCCGCCATTTATAAATGAGCGGCCATTTTGAAAATCGGCTTTCGAGCAGAACTTCTACCCCAATATATATGTGTACAAAATATGAACAAAATCGGGCCAACGGTATTTGAGTTATTGCCCGGACGGACGGAGGCGTTCCCTATATCCCTCCGAACTTTGTTCGAGGGGATAAATATGTATGTTATGACACATAAAGAATCATCAGATACAGACCCTAGCCATGTTGGACTGAAAATGGAATAAAAATGTATGTTATGACACATAAAGAATCATCAGATACAGATCCTAGCCATGTTGGACTGAAAAATAGAATAAAATATGTATGTTATGACACATAAAGAATCATCAGATACAGACCCTAGCCATGTTGGACTGAAAAATAGAATAAAATATGTTATGACACATAAAGCCACATCTTAAACTGAATAATATACATCTTGTGTTGAACATGGTAGCAATAGTAGTCAATCATATACATGTAGCTCAAGAGTACTAAACCTATGACACAGTGGCACCCAATTCTTTTGCCGGATTTGGCTTGACTACTTTGGAATGCATTGAAGGTGTAAAAATAAATAAATTCAATTCATGTTGTGGTGGTGTTTTATTTCACCACTAGTGGAGGTGACATAAAAACTGATTTTAGTCCTCTACATGTAGAATTGTAGATATGTACATCTTTGAAATCTTCAAGTTGAAAAAATAAAAAAGTCACTGAATACAAATGACTGTTGTGACTTCTTTCGCAAATCTAGTTCAGTCTCATCCCCACGCTCTAAGCTATAAGAAAAATATACTGAACATCTCCACTAGAACACTCTATCTTAGAAATCTTATCTGTAAACATCCATTTAATTTATCATGATGAAAACAGAACTGTCTTTTAATATACTAGAGTGTAGAATTGAAACTAGTGATAAAATCTAGGTTTATATGAAAAACATCATTTACACATCACATTAATGGTATTTTTGAAATAATACACTAAACAAATATTTTTTCTCCAATTGAGTAATTAATTTACTGAGTTTATAGTATCTTTATGTGCTCTTTGGTAAAAGTTAAAATTTCAGACAAAGCTGACATCTATAAAGAGTTGATTTATCAGTATTACTTCAGATCATTCATTTAATTTTTGAGACATATTTTGGTGATGATATATAACACACATATACATACTATACATACAGAGGTCGCACACCTAGTAGTCCTACATAGTTGGACCTGACATCAATATGACAAACCTTGAAGTCTGTCAACTAAGACTTCTATATACTTTGACCTGACATCAATATGACATACCGTATTCTCTGTAATTAGCGCCCAGGGCGTTTAGAAAATTGAAAATACATTATTTAGACCATTCTAATAAGCGCCCATGTATGAAAGAAATCAGAAATCCCGAGGAATTTCATGTATGGCAATTTTTCTTGACAAGAATGCATTTTCTTCAACATACTTTTATAATAATATGACAAGTGCTGTTATTGGAGAGAATACGGTAAAGATCGCTTAGACAATATTGACAGTGGTTGAAGACCCGTCTATGTCTAATTTATTTCCGGCACGCCCACTTTGTCATTATCGCCGATTACCTTCAATATTTCCACTAGAGACTGCTGGATATCGATCTAAAGTTATACATTATTTCTAATTTGATGAGAGATCATCATTATTCGCGCAAAAGTCGTGTAAAAGTCGAGAAACATTAAAAAGAAACCAGAAAGTTCACGACCTTGACATGCGCAGAACATCTGCGCAGTAGCTTTTGAAATTTCTGAATGCCGATAAAGAACAATTCCTTCATTCATTATGGACATTTTGGAGACAATATTAGCATGGTATGGTGTGGGAAGCACCCATCGATAGATATGTATCGAGAGGATGCATAGAATTACAAAACGCGTCGTGTTTACAGCAGTTTTAGGGTAAGTACTCTATTATCGCCCGCTCCTTGATTTTGAGAAATATTTTTTTCCTGATGTATTCTTCAATTCTTGTTGATTCCTCGATGTTTCTTGAACTTTGTGAAGCGGGGTGGGCGCTTATTAGAGAGTGGGCGGTAATTACAGAGAATACTGTACATTGAATTCTGTCTCCTAAGACTTCTATATACTTTGACCTGACATCAATATGACATACGTTGAACAAAAATTGAAGTCTGTCTACTAAGAGTTCTACATAGTCAGACCTGACATCTTTATAACAAACATTGAAGTCTGTCTACTAGGAGTCCTACATAATTTGACCTGACATCAATATGACAAACATTGAAGTCTGTAAACTAGGAGTCCTACATAGTTTGACCTGACATCTATAAAACATACATAATGTACTTGACACATACATAGCCTCGCTCAGAAGTTACTCCACAAAAACAGACAATTCATGAAATATTGTGTCTTCTTAAAGACATGCAAGTTCTTAATCATAGGTAGAGAAGGATGAAAATTGGGCATTTTACAGCAAAATCTCCAAGCATTTCATCCAATGCCATTGTTCCCCCTATTTAACGTCTGTAGACTCTTGATAACACAGCAGTGCTTTTCCTCATGCAAAGTAGTTCAATGAACCAAAAGACTGATACTTTCTAAATGTGAATCAGTCCTGTAACTTCAATTAAATCACAGGTCCATACAAAAACTAGCTATTCCCCAAAATAAGAGAGTTTTAATAACTACATGTAGGTTTAACTGATTTTGAATGATATGAACTCTAATTGTACCATGTAATCTAAAATGTTGTCTTTCTATAGAATATGAGCTAAGTAAGTGTGAAACATAGTCTTACTTGGTCTTTGAGAATCTAACACGGTGGATCTTGCCAGTATGTGGCTGACTGGTGTTTGCTTGGCCAATGTTCTGTCTAACATCCTTGTATGTCACAGCTCCTGTGTTGTCTCCAAAAGCATACATGCTGGCTTGGACTGGGTCCCATGTTATGCATGTTGGTGTGCCTTTACAGGGGGATATATCTATAAATCAGAGTTCAATAGCGTTATATATACAGTTATGATAAAGGCTGAAACAGACAATTTCCTAAAAAGATCCAAAATTAAATATCTTCATGACTTTATATAGTGCTGACACATATTTAATCTTTCATCAATATCTTTTAACATTTAACCATTCATGGATTTAATTTCCCAAAAATATGACTGATCACTGTTAAAACTGAGAGGTGTTCACATTTCAAGGTTTTATAACATGAGTCAATGGGACTGAAGAGAACGTAGACTGGAAAGTGTTCAGATTAGGAGGCCAAGCTAAGATTGGCCAGGTGTGCCAATATACAGGTTTCACTGTATATATATAAGGGTTATGTACTGGGAGGTTTTGGATATGGGGTTTATCAAGAGGGAGATATGCATATCTACCTGAAGGACCGTAGATGTGCATATCTCACGAGGGATGAACCCTATATCCAAACCGACCGTACATAACTGCTTTATCCTATACCAAGTAGTTTTCTAATTTTCTTTCAATTTTTTTCAATTATTTTTTATTTTTTCAATTTTTTCACATTTTTCTATTTGTTTTCAAGGGTTATGTACTGGGAGGTTTTGGATATGGGGTTTATCAAGAGGGAGATATGCATATCTACCTGAAGGACCGTAGATGTGCATATCTCACGAGGGATGAACCCTATATCCAAACCGACCGTACATAACTGCTTTATCCTATACCAAGTAGTTTTTTAATTTTCTTTCAATTTTTTTCAATTATTTCTTATTTTTTCAATTTTTTTTTCGAAGCGGGAAGATATGCCCCGGAGCGGGAGATATGGTGGGAGATATGGAGGTTCAGGATATGGAAACCTCAAAATTAGGATACAACATATATTTTACCAACTTATCTCCCTAAAACTCTACTTGGCATAGGACAAATCAAGTTATGTGACCTTTATGGAAGAGAAAATTAAGATACAAATTTCTACTATTAAAGCAGATATGAAATGGTATTGTAGCGTTTGCGGGTATTTATAATTTATATTTAAACATTGCAGCTACATTCCTTTCCTTCACTTACGTTCGTTTCCATTCAGAAATATTTCTTGCAAATTTCGGTGCGATAATTTAGTCACCATTTTAATTGTTTGCGATCTTTTCAATCACTGTTTTCAGCATATTTATTAACTCTGCAGCTTCTTTTATCTATCTGTATGCATATTCTTACGCAATGTTCAGTATTTTGTAAGTATTTCATTTCAATTGACACATTTATAAACTTTTGCAAACTTTTCATGGGCGCCGCCATTAATGACGTCACATTTCCCACAGTGCACTTCGTACTGATTGCGGGAAATTCAAACAGAGGAATGACGTCAGATTCTAAGAATTAAAATCTGTGACGATAGAACGCTGCATATCAGCGGGAAAGAAAGATTTTGAGCTAGATTTCAAAGAGTGAGGACGTTTTGACGAATTCTCTTCATGTAACTTCATAAATCATGTACTTTTGGGGGGAGGGTTGTAAATATCAAATAAACTTGTAAATATGTTAACCAATAAGCTAGTCTGTAGTCTTTTGTATGGATTTCAAGTGAGAGAAAGTATTGCCACGGGACTTGGAACATTTTCCGTGGCTGAGCCCATGTTTTATGATCATGATGTAGTTTATCCCTACTTGATCATATGTGGTTTATCCCCACATTATATCCTGTCATACTTGTGATGTTGCCTTATCTGTGGTCTATCCCCACTGGCATAATTTTCACAATGCAGTTTTATATGCAGAGATGTGATAAGCAGTTATCACAGTATCAACCAATCAATGTAAATCATTGTATGCAGTGTGTCGCTTTATTTATCACATTTGCAATGCTGTACAGAGTGACCCACTATATTGGTAACTCGTGAATATTGCTGCTTATAGCAATAATAATGCTGTATTCCAGTAGCTGTTAATCCCATAATATCACACATTCCATAAATTTACAGACACTACCACACACTACCATTATACTTCAATTCTGAGACATACATTCATAACAATCATATTTTGGAGATCGTTCGGTTTTTTGATGTAGCAAGAGGGAAAAATATTCTACCTGGAAAAAATCATCTAAATTAGGATAAACATTGGAAATAACCTTACCTACAGTCTCTGTGGAGCAGAATTGTATGTATAAGATACTGAAATAATAACTGAGTGACAATTGGAGGAAAAATATACAGTGTAAGTCTCCAAATTCGATAAAAAAATGTGACTTCCGGTTTGATTATCGCCCATCCAAGAATTTAAAAATTCTATTGGATTATATACGAACATTACATGATGACAAACCTAGAGGAACTAGTAAAAAACGTTGATCTATGGATCAAATTAGAAGCCAAAGGATTAGGCAGGATTACAGAGCTCGAACTTAGAGATGCAATCACTAGCGGTGCTGAAGCTAATCTAGGTAATGAAACAATTCTAGAAAAAAACATTCTTGGAATACAGTTTTATCAGCACTCATATATTGTATATACAGACAGTCCCAAATCTAAGGCCCTGTTGATATCAATGGGATATGTTCTCATTAAGAATAGGCAATATAGACTTAGTGACTATAAGCTTGAGAAAGACACTTTGGAGTACAAACATAGCAAGGATATCCGAATATCTATACACGGCATTCCATTGCATGTGTCCAATACTGAACTTGAGCAGTGGGTTGATTCATTCGCTCAGCGTGTGTCTGAAGTGCGTTTCCATAGAAAGAGTAAGGACCATAAGAACCAGGCAGGAAGTATTCTAACGGGTCACCGTTTCTGCTACGCAAAGAAGATCATACAGCCACAGAAACGTTATTCTGAATACCCCATTGAAGACCCATTGATAGATGGGCGATTAATAAACATAGATATTGTTATATATCATGATTCCCAGCCCATCAATTGCCGCTTGTGCAAAGAAGATCATGCGGTAAGCGAGTGTCCAAAGAAAAGGGTGATTACGTGCTTCGGCTGTGGCCAGGAAGGCCACAGAAAATCAGAGTGCCCAAGATCAAAAAGACGTGACAACAGATGTTGGAAATGTGGATTAGTTGGCCACGAACAGAGGACGTGCCCAGAGAATGAGGTCGCCAAAGGTGTAAGAGTGGTAGAGCAATTGATAAACAGAGCTCTAGGGCCAGATGAAACAACTCTAATGACGGATTCACCAGAAATCTTCAAGATAGCAGATGAATATATCTCTTCTGCTCCAATACCAGCTGGTACCCTAAAGTCCCAAGAGGCTCCTGCTACTAAGAAGAGTGCTACCAAATCCCCGAGTGGTATCCCAATCCCAACACTCAAAAGGAAGGAAAGAAGTCCCCTCATTGAGTCAAACTTTGACAAAAAACATAAACTAGGGTCCCCTATACAGCTATTAGATGATCTTCATATATCCCCAGAGAACAAAAGGCAAAGTAAGCACAGCATGGTAAATGTGGCACCAGAGGACAAAGACTAATATGTTGTTGTTGTTTTTTTATAAGTGAAATATGGTTAACATCTACTCTGGCAATGTACGCGGACTACGGAACAGATTAACCCGATTCACATTTTTCAAATTTTTGAATGAAATACATGTAGACATAGCATGTCTACAGGAGACTTATGTGACTGAAAATGTGATTAATCAATGGAAAAAGGAATGGGGAGGAACTATTATATATAACCCAGGAACAGTGCATAGTAAGGGAGAGGTAATAATGATGAGAAAAGATTTTGAATTTTCAAATCTAAATATCATCCAGAAGCAAGATAGAATGATGCTAATTGAATTTGAGCATGACAGTGAAAAATTTACATGCTGTAACATATATGCACCTAATAAACAAGGTGATAAAATCCAATTCTTTAAAAGAGTTCAACAGCAGCTTTTAAATATAAACATGAATGAAACAAATTTTGTTTTTTGCGGTGATTTTAATTGCTGCATTGACTCCAAGGATAATTTAGCTGGTATGGCTCACCATAAATCTGAAACTGATTCTTTTAATGAGATGATATATTCGACTGATGTAATCGATACCTGGAGGTTACATCATCCAGATCAAAATGATTTTACATGGAGGCACAAGTCTCAAAACATTGTCCGAAGAATTGATTATGTATTTACAAATAATAAAGCCTTTGGAAATGTATTATCAATTGAGTTATTTGATATGCCAGGGTCAGATCATAGAGGAATTTTAATGAACTTTTCAACTGATGTAAATGAGAAAGGTCCATTTTATTGGAAATTTAATAACAGCCTTTTAACCAATATAGAATTTGTTAATCAAATGAATGATATTCTCATACATGAAAAACAGAATCTCAATAATCTCAATCCCCAAGTTTTATGGGACTATTGTAAAACCAAAATAAAAGATTTTTCTATATGTTATGGTAAATTGTTAGCCAGTAAAAGACATAATGATTTGAAAATAGCCAAGCTAAATCTGAAAAAGTGTAGTGATTTATTGGCCAATGATCCAGAAAATGTTGATCTGAGAAAAAGGGTTAATAATCATAAACTTTGTTATGAAATAGCAGCCACATGTGAAGCCAAGGGTGCTCAATTGAGATCCAAGGTTGACTGGTGTGAAAAGGGGGAAAAAAACACAAAGTATTTTTTATCATTAGAAAAGGCCAGAGCAAATAATAAATGTATTAACTCCATAAAGCTGGCAAATGGTGAGGTAGTGAAAAAGCAAGAACTAATTATAGATGAAATAAACAGATATTATAATGACTTGTATTCTAAAAAAGTAATTTTTAGACCTGTTCTATTAGATGATTTCTTACAAAATGTACATATACCTAAATTGACTGAAGAGCAGAGTCAACTTTGTGAGGGGGATATAAGTTATAATGAATGTTTAACAGCACTTAGGTCAATGAAGAATGATGCTAGTCCTGGACTAGATGGAATCTCTGCTGCATTTTACAAGGTATTTTTCATGAAAATTGGCACAGTTTTAGTACATGCATTGAATACAGCTTTTGTTAAAGGTGAAATGTCGTGTTCTCAAAAAAAGGGTTTAATGGTGCTCATACCTAAAAAGAGTTTGGCTAAAAATGAATTAAAAAATTGGAGACCATTAACGCTTACGAATGCAGATTACAAAATAGCTGCAAAGGTAATTGCTCTTAGGATAAAACATGTTATTAAGCATATTGTACATGATGATCAATGTGGCTACATTCAGTCACGTAGTGCGGCTCAGATTTTAAGAGCCATAGATGATGTTATGATTTATCTTGATACAAATAAGCTACAAGGGATTATGCTAGGAATTGATTACACGAAAGCGTATGATTCAATTTCTAAGGAATTTATGATGTATTCGTTAAAATGTTTTGGATTTGGCCCAAGTTTAAGAAAATGGGTAGATGTTTTAAACAAAAAAAGTCACAATCACATTCTTCACAATGGGTGGATAACTGGTGACGTCAAGCTAGAGAGGGGTATTCGTCAAGGCTGTCCACTTTCTCCCCTATTATTTATTATATCATGTGAATTATTATCTTGTAAAATACGCTCTGACCTTAACATTCAGGGTATTAAAATGCCAGGATGTGAGGAAGAATTAAAGATATTACAATATGCAGATGATGCAACATTATTCCTTAACAGTTCGGAGTCTTTACAGAGATCTTTATCGGTACTGGAGACTTTCTATGAAATGTCAGGTCTTAAGATTAATATGAGTAAAACTGAAGCCTTGTGGTTGGGCATATGGAAGAACAGAAACGACACTGTTGGAAATGTTAAATGGAAGCTTTTCCCAGATAATTGTATAAAAATTTTAGGTATTGTTTTTAGCACATCCATTAATGTTGTAAATAACAATGAAAACATAGACTCAATATTTAGTAGGTGTCAAAAAATAATGAAATCATGGTCTGGTAGATATGTATCAATCATAGGCAAAGTAGTGCTAGCCAAATCATTATTGTTATCACAGTTTGCATATATAATGCAAGCCTTTATTTTGCCAGAAAATATCTTAAATAGAATCAACACTATGATTTTTAAATTTTTATGGTCAAAGGGTAAGTTCAAAGAGGATGAATTAAAAAGGTGTCCTGATAAGGTTAAGCGTGATGTAATGGTTCAAGATTATAAAAATGGAGGGCTTAAGATGATTGACTGTAAAGATATGCAAAAAGCATTTTCTATCTTATGGATTAAAAAACTCCAAAACCCAACTAATGGGCACTGGAAATGCATTCCTAGATATATGTACAATACAATGGGTAAGAACCTAAGTGTTTTTAACAGTAACATTTCAAGTGTTGAGTTAAAAGGATGTGAAATTCTAAACTCATTCTACAAAACAATATTGACAACATGGTTAAATCACAGTGAGTACAGTGATCCAAATATATTATGGAACAACAAAGATATAACTTGGAACAGATCTCCACTATGTTTTTCAAATTGGATAAAAAATGGTGTTATATATATAAATGATATTATTTTAAACAACAGATTAATGACATATGAAGAACTTGCTCAAAAAGTAGGAAGAAATGGTCAAACACTTTTACAATTTAACATGTTGAAAGCATGTCTAAGGCAAGATAAAATTACTTCTAGAGTACAGTGCAATGGTACTTTATATTTTAAAGACACAGATTTAAAAAATTTGACTTCAAAGAACATCAGGGAGAAGTTAGTCTTAGCAAGAAAATGTGATGTAATTCTTAATGGAAATATTTTAACACAAGATATATGGTGTGAGATGTTTAAATGTACTAAAGACACTTCTTTATTGATTATACAGTGGAAGATACTCCAAAATATACATGCAAATGGTGTTTATCTTAAGAAGTGTAACATAGAGCAAAATGACAAATGTAAATTTTGTAATGCTAGAGATGACTCAATGCATTATTTTGTGAAGTGTCCAGTCATAAAAATCTTATGGGCCAAGTTGAATTTAGATGAAAATCAAAAACTTGGTATATCTCAAGTAGAAAAAAATGTATTATATGAATGCCTGTTAATCAAAAAAGTCATACATGACTTCAAAGTATCCAATGGAGAAGGTAACCTAACATTAATGTTAGAAAAGGAAAAACTTGTAAGAACTGTGTAGAAATAATTTTACTTCTTATTGTCTATACTGAATGAATAGCAGCTCAAAGAGCTCATTGTAATATTTTTGTAAATTTTTCTGTTTTTGTATATAAGTTAAGTCTAATAAATTTTAATTAAAAAAAACAAAAAAAAAAACAATCATATTATTTGGCACCCCGGCTATACTACAATTTGGTGGCAGTGGTGGGATCTCAAACCAGTAATACTGGGTGTCCAAATAATTCCTGACACACCAATATGTGTGTTTCCAGAAACCAGATGTCCAGAATAAGCTTTGAATGAAATACTGAGATGATCAATGTTTCTAGTACCGCTGACAGACATGCTACATGTACGTCATGTATATGGACTGCTGACGAGTAGATTCATTTTTACATGTTACTACATACAGTACTTTGTCTTCCAGTTACTCCAGAGATGTCAGAATCTTCCATACCAGCTTCTGCTAGGCCTTATCCAGTTACCACAAAGCTGATGTGCGTAGTTTTATAGGATCCAGAAGTCCAGTCTCCAGGTATCCAGAATATCATTTAATGAGCTGATTAGTTACAGGGCATTATAACTGGTCATAATCCGGTTACTCGAGACTCGTCAGAGTCCATACGAGTGATTTCCAGAATTCCTGATATCCAAGCAAATATGGAAAGTGAGCAACAGGCGAGACACACTGCCAATATGCGTGTGCCAGCAATACCACATGATGAAAGGTATAAATATCCAGAGCCGTTCCAGCCTAGCAATCTTAATGAAGATGCCATGTTCAGATTAGATGAGATTAGAAAATGCATCAAACTTCTGCACAGTGAAGAAGAGAAGATCCTCCAGACCAAGAATACAACTATCAATATTACAGATATTAGTGAGGTTCCAGTTCCTGAAAATGATGCTGAAAGATATAATAAAGAAATTCCAGCCAATGAAATCATGCCAAGATATGAATACTGTGCTCCAAATGAACAGAATGTAAATAAAAAGCATACCACAGAGTATCGCGCTGCATGTAAGCAGCATGTAAATAAAAAGCATACCACAGAGTATTGCGCTGCATGTAAGCAGCATGTAAATAAAAAGCGTTCCACAATGCTGCAGAATTGTGAGTATTGCGCTGCAGGTGAGCAGCATGTACAAAGTGCAAAGATGGGTCTACCACCAAACAAGCGTACCATGAAAGATCATGAGTATTGCGCTGCAGGTGAGCAGCATGTACATACTAGTGTAAATAATATGGGTAGATCTAGTGGATCAAATCTACTGGATTTTAATGAAATACCCATTCCAGATCCAAAGCCGGACCAGTCCTTGGGTATAAAGAAACCATTTAGAGATAACCATCCAGTTACGGAGGTACTGTTACGTCCTGATGAAGTGTCCCGAATGAGGTATCCATGGACAGCTCCCTCTTTAAACCCGTCCAACGATGTGTCCAATACATCAAGCCAAAAAGAGAGAAAGACAAAACAATATGATGGGATGACAAGTTGGAAAGCTTTTAAATTCAAATTTGACATTATAGCAGACATCAATGAGTGGAATGAGCGAAGACGTGCCATTGAACTATTAACATGTCTTGATGGCATTGCAGAGAAAATCTTCGATATAATCGAACCTTCCAGAAAATATGACTATCAATATATCTGTGATACAATAAAAGGCATGTTTGATCCTGACTTCCAAGAAGAGAAATATCGTAACCAACTCAGACAGCGTATGAAACTTAAAAGTGAGAATGTTAACACTTTTGGGCATGATGTCATACGTCTTACTAATTTGAGTTTTCCTGCATTATCAGAGAAATCCAGAGAAGCAATTGCATTGGACATCTTCAAACATGCATTGCAAATATCAGACTTTAAAATCGGTTATCATGTTTACTCCAAAGACCCTAAAAACATGCGAGATGCGATCAAGGCAGCCATCCAGATGGAGTGTTATACTGATGATAGGCCAACACACATAGACATCACAGAGAACAACCTCACAAATTCTTTATCTGCAATGTTTGCTGATAATGGCCATACTCAGTCAACAAAGCAGTCCAAGGATGAACCTGCAAGATGCTATTACTGTAATTTTATTGGCCATTATGCCAAAACATGCAGATTTAAATATGCAGATGCTGACAAAGGCTATATCACTCCTGATTATATTGGTAAAAGACCCTCAAAATTGTGGTCTAAATAGCTGAGAAGATGCAGTCTAAGACTATATCACAAAGCAGATGAGATGTTACCAATATGTAAATTCCATAGATGAATGAAAGAGCAGAAGAGACAACCCACAAGCCCAGTGGAAAGATGACCTACAAAATAACAAGACCAACAACAGGAACAATCACAATGAACAATGACATTTAGTATGATAAGTGCAAGCATACACCTGTGATACAAAATTTAAAGGACTATGTTTAAATAAAATTTATGACACTTCGGGACGAAGTGTATAAAAGAGGGGAGCAATGTAGCGTTTGCGGGTATTTATAATTTATATTTAAACATTGCAGCTACATTCCTTTCCTTCACTTACGTTCGTTTCCATTCAGAAATATTTCTTGCAAATTTCGGTGCGATAATTTAGTCACCATTTTAATTGTTTGCGATCTTTTCAATCACTGTTTTCAGCATATTTATTAACTCTGCAGCTTCTTTTATCTATCTGTATGCATATTCTTACGCAATGTTCAGTATTTTGTAAGTATTTCATTTCAATTGACACATTTATAAACTTTTGCAAACTTTTCATGGGCGCCGCCATTAATGACGTCACATTTCCCACAGTGCACTTCGTACTGATTGCGGGAAATTCAAACAGAGGAATGACGTCAGATTCTAAGAATTAAAATCTGTGACGATAGAACGCTGCATATCAGCGGGAAAGAAAGATTTTGAGCTAGATTTCAAAGAGTGAGGACGTTTTGACGAATTCTCTTCATGTAACTTCATAAATCATGTACTTTTGGGGGGAGGGTTGTAAATATCAAATAAACTTGTAAATATGTTAACCAATAAGCTAGTCTGTAGTCTTTTGTATGGATTTCAAGTGAGAGAAAGTATTGCCACGGGACTTGGAACATTTTCCGTGGCTGAGCCCATGTTTTATGATCATGATGTAGTTTATCCCTACTTGATCATATGTGGTTTATCCCCACATTATATCCTGTCATACTTGTGATGTTGCCTTATCTGTGGTCTATCCCCACTGGCATAATTTTCACAATGCAGTTTTATATGCAGAGATGTGATAAGCAGTTATCACAGTATCAACCAATCAATGTAAATCATTGTATGCAGTGTGTCGCTTTATTTATCACATTTGCAATGCTGTACAGAGTGACCCACTATATTGGTAACTCGTGAATATTGCTGCTTATAGCAATAATAATGCTGTATTCCAGTAGCTGTTAATCCCATAATATCACACATTCCATAAATTTACAGACACTACCACACACTACCATTATACTTCAATTCTGAGACATACATTCATAACAATCATATTATTTGGCACCCCGGCTATACTACAGTATTTTTAACCTAAAGGAATCCATATAATTTTTTGATAAATGTATTTGGACATGTTTTCTCATCAGTAGCGTGAAAATTATTTCACTCTAACGATCGTTATAGCTGCTTAATAAGCAATATTTGAATTGGTTGTGACGTTGTTGGCCCCCACGTGATCTCTCACTGGTCCTCACGTGGCCAGTTTTGGTCCATTAGATCATGACGTCATATTGCCAAAATGTTTTGTTATTTGTTTACACAACAATCCTATGGTTGCCGTGACGTTGTGATTACTAAGGAACCAATAAACCAAAGCTATATTTTGTATATGACTTTACTAATCACGTGGGGGCAAATTTGATTGATCAGTTAGTTTTATTTCGTTATCTATGACCGTTAGCAGTTATCTAACATTTATTTTATAATGGCTATTGCAAGAACTCTACGTTGGGCTTACAATGGAGAAAACCGCATTTTTGTAGCTGCAAGTTGAGAAAAGCTATTTCAGTTGTCCTTTAATTATATAGCACAGGGGAGAAAAAGGTTTATACAGCAATTTTATGACTACTCTATTTTCAGGAAAACATGACTTATTCAATACAGTCTATGTATCTCAGTTCTGTGCACTGCAACTACAATCAAATTTTTAATAGATTGAACTTCCAATAAAATTGTATGATCAAAATAGCACATTTACTCTACCTAATATAGAAGCTGCCTTTTGTTTCCTCCTATCCCATAACAGAACACGACCATCCTGAAAATAAACAAGAAATAGGGTGAACAACATCACACACTTGAATAGATTTATGAATTCATTTCTCATTTATTCCATATTATTTAACATAAAATACATTACAATATTATTGCCTACATTTTTCAACATTGACAGCAATGTAAGTTGTATGTTATGATGAGGGTCCAATAAAAAATGAAATATTTAAGGTGGACCAAGTCAGAAGACAAGCAGGTTCAAAATTTCCCAACTAAGACCATTGTCATGCGGTTTATATGTTGGCTCAGTCTTCCCTAACTCACACACAAGTGTGCCCAGCAGCACAAGATAGCGACAATATAACACAAAGTGCGATAAAAATGACACTCACCAAGGAACATGATAGGAAGAGGTTCTCATCAGTTGGGTGTGCAGAAACTTGTAAGACATGGTCCTGGTGCCCCTTGTAGCTCTTCAATAGACAACTCTCCCCAACGTCCCATATGTTGATGCTACAATGCATGTTTAAGTTGATTAGTTTTTAAATCAATTTTGATTCCAAATGTTCTACTCTTAGAGGCTCATTTTACATTAAGTCATTTGATCTATGGACTCTGAATTGTTCCTCTTCTAGGTGTTTCACTTAGAGTTTCACTGTATTTGGAATCTTAAGAGCCTCATCCCATATTCTCCTCTTTATACTACTCCCTATCCTTTGTGACATCTTTCCACTGAAAATATTTTAATAGAACTGAATATTCTGATGCGTTTGAAGTGTAAATATTTTCATTCATTAAATAAAATACTGAAAAATAGTCTTCCAGTCATTGATTAGTTAATTTATTACATATATATTGACTAACCATTTATCTATACTACTGCTGATGATCTGATTGGCTCCACCACTAAAGACATCTAGTGATGTCACAATATCGTCATGGCCACAAAGTTGACTGACGGGTGTGAAAAGAGTACCTTCAGTCTCATCAGTTGTCAACCCCCAAATGTCAAGGTTTGCTAAAAAGTAAAATAATTGTTTCTAAAACAATCAATCCAGATACACAATGATAAAATACAATGGTCAGACTGATAGACTTGTTTTATTAAAGTTAATGTACTTAGTATAAATCAATCCTAAGATTGGTATTATCTTGTTTGTGAATAATTATTTGTGTGAATTATATAATACATTAGGAATTCATAACTTTTGGTGCAACATTGGAGGTTTGAAGAACTCTTAGTACAGCATTTACATTTTAAAAGTTTTCAAATTAGAACATTAAATTTTAGTGACATTTAAGATTTTTGAAACTTGATTTTGAGACAAATCTAGATATAGACTATTATTATATCACTATCTAGCTAGCGACAGTATGATTGGTCAAAACCAGCTCACATGTCATGGGATATCTGGCGGTATTCGATGGCAATGCTAATCAGATAAGACAACCGTGAGATATCTAGCGATATCCCACGCTCCCGGGAATTTTCAAAGAATTTGTTTTCGTTCAGTGTAAATAATTTAGTTCAGTGTAAGTCAAAATGGCAGACAAACCGAGAAGATTCAATGTATTTCAATGTTAACCTATGACTTAATAATATTAGGGATGTGATATAATAAAACAAATATTTCACTCTATTTTCGGTGAATACCTGTAGCACTTTCACAAGGTGATATTCCACTTGCCCTTCGGGCTTCGTGGAATATCACTTGTGAAAGATGTACAGGTATTCACCTCAATAGAGTGAAATATTTGTTCAATATTCAATAATATTGAAGATGCAGCGTCACAGAGACTTGAATGTGGCAAATGTGGGGAAGGCCCTACATTGTATTTTTTATCTGCACTTACCAGTATCTGAGCTATGAGCGAGTGTAGTCCCTGTTAGCCATTTCACATCAGTCACGCCAGATTCGACCTGAATTCCAGCAGTACATTTCTCTTTATACGGAGCATCTTCTGGGTCGCTAAAGTACCAGAGTGAACCATACCAGTACTGGCCAGTTAAAGTTCCTGCACCTAGCAGGAGACCACCATCTTGAAAATAAAATAAAATACCAGAATAGGAGTTTTGAGAAATCTGAAGTGTTATTCCATTCTGCTCCTTTCAAAGTCCTTGAGATCCAGGACATGCAGAACCTGTACTCATACATTTTGGTTTTTCAACAATTATATGTGGTCAGAATACAGAGATTCTCCTAAATGTGCTTTGCTGTCATTTTTTAAGATATGTAAATCTTCTATTTCCAAAGTGATCTTTCTGAAAAAGACAATAATGATCAGGTTTGTCATAATAAGTATTTTGAGGTATGATAAACTGTCAGTAATACATGCTGTATATTCAATGGTTTGAAGTTTGATGGGAAGTAACAACTATCTACCTGTCCTATATTGACTAGATAAGAATTTCAGGAAATTCCCAGAAATTACTGACGGTTAATTGGATTGGTTTATCATAGATACTAGTATTCCGTAATTCCGCGATGTGGACGGAATTTGACAAAACTTCAATTTTTTGCAGAATCCCTGATTTTCATGAAAATCCCGCGGAATTACCAGAATTTCCAGAAATTACATATTTTACGATCTCCTACCTTTGCGGGGTATTTGAAGAATGTCTGTTTATGTCCAACAATCAATCATTATTGAGTACAAGTACGATTTCACCGTGAAATTCAACATTCTATCACTTTTAAATTCGCTAAAGCGAGTTCACTAATGACGCGCAGTTCTTACCTAGAAAGTAGCTGACTTCCGTTTCTGTTTGCTACGTAAATTTTCATCGTTTTAAAAGATTGCAGAATTTTGACTTTTTTTGAAAATTTGTGCAGAATTTCGATTTTCTCCTTGCAGAATTTGCTTTTTATCTTGCAGAATTTTTTGCAGAATTTTGATCTGTGGTTTATGTGTTATAACTCGAGGGCACCCCAGGGGAATGACTAATGAACGAGCAAAGTGTAACAAGCCAGAAAAAGAAATCGAAAGAAAGTTTGCTAAATTCAAGGCTCTGGCTGGGAATTAATATGTGATTGGATAACTGAGTTGACGGGTTTGAAAAACTGAGTTGACGGGTAACAGAAAATGAAAATGAAAAAACTGTGAGATGACAGGTACCAGAGAATGAGATGATGAGTATGAAAAACTGAGTTCATGGGTGATAGAAAATAAAATGATATTGGTCAGACTGAGATGATGGTTACCAAACACTGAGATACGACACTTCTGTTAAACATTTGTCTGTTGAGGCACCAAGGACTAGGTGAAATGCTTTTAGAAATAAAGCTCCAAGAAATCACGTTCTCTATTTTATATTGTCTAAGTGCCTTAGCTATCAATACAAACTTGGGTAATATTTCCTGGAGGGACATCTCGTTAACGCCTGGTATAGCAGGTGTGAATTTGAGATGATGGTTGGCAGAACTGCTCTGTATCTTTGCCATCCTATTTACATCACAAATCCTGTGAATAATTTGGTTGTCTCTTTGAAATTCGAAGTTGAATTTCTAATCTCTGAGCGCTATTTTAATTTTGAAAGAGATGATACTGTTTTTCTTAGGATCTGTCATGTGCATGCACTTTTTTAAAATAAAACAGAGACAAGGACGGGTATGGGTACTGAGATGACAGATAGATCTGTATATCCCAGATACGTATAAGACTCAGGGCTGTCAACTTGGGACCATCTAACATGAGTGACTTGCAAATGTTGAACACCTTCCTTCGCATTTTGGACACCAACACTGGTCAATATGGGACACCTGAAAATGTTTTCGCTCACTAACGCTCACGGTTTACAAGTCCGTTAATGGGGGGACATAAACGGCAATCGCGTTCAAAGACCGAATGGAATGCGTATGCTTTTTTCTCCGTTCAGATTTTTACCGTATCTGAATTTCATAAAAAAACAATTTTTAAAAACATCAACATAATGAGTGATTTCTGTGATACTTGATCATTCACACTAATTAAATTGATTTCTATTTTTCCAGCAAATGCGTCACAATCAGACCTAATGCGTGAGGGTTGACAGTAGACTGTATCCTTTGTCTGAATAAATATTCAGACTGTAAGTCACCTATTGTAAAATGTGGTGTTGTATAAATGTTACAAATAAGTTTGTTTAATGATAAAATGATTACCTTATAAAAAACTTATTTTTTCGTATCCTCTTACTGAAGATATTCATAAAATGTACAGACCCTTCTTGTAGCGAAGCCATTGATTAGGTCAAGCCATTTTGGCAATGCCAATTCTCACGATAAACGAGATTTAGCCAGTGACGTCAGTCTATTTGTAAACATATAACACGTGGAGCGGACGAAGCAACATTACGGAAGCGTATTGATATATTCCATTTGTGCGGGAATTTATTAGATCTAGTCATTTATTATCATTATCCCGATTAATTTTCTTCATTTATAGTAAATAGAGCGGAAATATTCATGAAGAAGGCCGAGGTAATCAAGTGGTCATGTGTTGTCAAAGTTCAAAAATTTGCATATCTCGTTTGGATCTCGTGAACTCAAACGTCCTTGACATTGATTTCGCGATCTACTTATGAACACATCCTGAAGTTTTGGTGAGTCTGAACATTTCATTATTTTATATCAACTTGTACCCGCCTTATACAAATATTTTTACTTCTAGTTTAGATGAACATCTCTTCAACATATTCACCAATTTTCAAGGTGAACATTCTTGTAATAAACGAGAAATTAATGTGCAAAAAATATCACCGCGATTTCCACAGGAAATATATCAATCATAACAGACTGAATATTATATTTGGTCTGTTGGATACATACTAGGGTTGACAGGGATGAAGACTGAGATGACACGTATGTTAAAGGATGTTGGACTGACTTGATGGGCAGCTTCGATATTGTGCAATGAAAATCACAAAGGTGATATGGTTTCATTAAGATTCGGGTTCTAACCTTTAGAAGGTAAGTCAGACTCCCAAACGTCAGCTAACTCTTATATTTAGCATGTTAGCGACGCAGTCAGGCCTTGAAAAAAGTAGTAGCCTAAAAATCACACAAGAATGAAAAGAAAATAGAAACGTGAAAGTTGAAGTTCATACCTTCAAACTGTTTGCCGAGTTTCTTTCAGTAGTGTAATACATAGTACATACCTGAATTAAAGTCTAGTGCCTCTAAATGACGGTCTATAACTGCTGGAGTTCGACTCATATCAATATTTATTGTATTTTTTGAAGTGTTTGATGTTTCACATGTGAAATTTTATGCAGTGGCGTGTCATGACCTATTTTCTAATTGGACAGCGTAATTCAGCAGAGTTCTCAAACTTCTGAAAATCGGTGCGGTCATATCATCGAACTTTTGCAGGTAAATACAGTCATTTTACTTACATTTGTAGTTTCAATTACCATAGAAACCTTAAATTGTTCATAAGCACTTACTTATATAGACAGGAGAGCCATTGTAAGAGCACAAATCCAGTAAATCAAGCACTTCCGGTTTCAAATTTAGTTTATATTTTTTGGCGGCTTGTTTCGAAAAAAGAACAATCACTACTAAAACTACCACATCCCTTCTTAGATGCACCTAAGGTTGAATCCAGTACTTGTGTCATATATTGTTATTTTTTAGATTTTCTGTCTATTTCCAACTCACATTCTTACAGAACATAGACTATTTAGCAGGCCCGTAGCCAGGGGCAGGTTAGTCCAACAACATTAGACCTAGCCTGGGCCTCGTTTCTTATCTGACATGTCTTATGGCCCCGGCTAGGTCTAACCTCCATGATCATTTTGCCCTTGTTGCGCGTTCCGCAGGTTTCGACCAGCGGAACTAATTAACACTGAAAACATGGTAATATTACTAATAAAGAATGTGATTCAAGCATGCATACATACCTTATGAATACATACACACCATCCCGTATCCCCCTTAGACCCTATTGATGCATAATTACGAAAATATTGGAGACAGGTTTGGAATTTTACGAAAATGTCGGTCAGTTCCGGTAACATCGAAATTGCAAATCGTTTCAGGAATTGACCGTCATTGCGACACTGCATCAACGAACAGTAGGTTTGCAATTAATAACTAATTTGCGTGTATACAAGCGCTACATAAATCAATCAAAGATACCTGTTATCCTCAAAATTGATCTTTATATCCCGAGTAATCGCGTGATAATTATCAATCTATTTGACAACAATTTCGTTTCAATAGTTTAAATTTTAACCCGGGACGAACAGACACAATGACGGACATGCGGAATGTCATTTTAGAGATTGGTAAGTTTAACCTCATTTTACTTGTATAAATGACCATTTAATACAATAATATTGTGTTGAATCGCTTGATGTTATGTGTTTTTATATTGTTGTCAATTAATAAGTAATTTCATGCGCGTTTAATTAATAACTGATAGTGAGAATTTGCAACAAATGAAAGCATACCACGGAAGTTAAACCCAATCACGGCAACAAGAACATTCAGATTAATAAATGAAAGCCGTGGTATTGGGTTTAACTTGTTGAACTAGGGGCAGGTGGGTCAGGGGTGTAAGGGAACCCCTGCTGGCGGAATATTATTTCAAAATCATGCAGTTTTCACCATTCATCATTTTGGGCCAAAATAGTCAAATTTGAACCCCCATGGAATTTTTTAAAAAGTGAACCCCCTTTACAAAACCAAAAGCTGTCTACTGGTTACAGTAGTTCACAGGCTGGTATCGAAAGATTTGTCCGCTGTGACGGAGCATGATATTTTTCATAAAAACACTAAGAATGCTTCACGATTTATTTTTTAACTCATATGTTTCGTTATATCAAAGATAATTACTTACTCCATGCATTGGATACATCATTTGCGTGTAACCTTCACTTCTGTTTGAAGTCTAATAACGCTAGGAGTAAAATCTATTGAAAACGGCGCCATAGTATCAAACTCTAAAATGTACCATTTCTTTTTTAATTTTTTAATGGCATGATATAGTGACACGATAATATTAACATATGTTTTCACCATAACTCTGAATGTATTAATGAAATATTAATGCATTTGGGTCTTTTTAATTTTTTTATAAAAAATAATATTAGTATTTTTTGTCCGCTGTGACGGAGCATTTTCACAGTTCACATTTGCAACTGCTCCGTCACAGCGGACAAAAAAATTAAGCATTATTTTCTATAAAAGAATTAAAAAGACCAAATACATCAACATCTCATTTATACCTTCATAGTTCTGCTGAAACCATGTGTAAATATTATCCTGTCACTATATCGTGCCATTAGAAAGTTAAACAAGAAATGGTACATTTTGAAGTATGATACTCCGGCGCCATTTTCAATAGCTTTTCTTCCCAGCGTAATTGGACTTCAAACAGAAGTGAAAGTTACCCGCAAATGATATATCCATTGCATGGAGTAAGTAATTTTGTATGGTATAACGAAACATGTGAGTTAATAAATCGTGAAGTATTCTTAGTGTTTTTATGAAAAATAGCATGCTCCGTCACAGCGGACAAATATTTCGATACAAGCCTGTGTAGTTGAACAAGTTAAACCTAGTCTCTGGGCCTTATTTCTTATCTGACTATTTCGTGGTCCGTGACTTAGGTTCAACTTCCATGCATATTCCAACAACTACTCTGAAAATCAGCGCTTGTAAATAATTCATGTATCTGTGATATCACTCCTTGAATAATGAGATCCAAGCAAGTGGAAGTGCCTTTGGTAGAACATAGGTCTCAAACTTGATGGAAATGACATTTTCTGCAATTTTTAAACGATTATTAACATGATAGCGAATGGACAAATACCTGCTTTATCTGTTTATTAAAAAGATTATAGCTCATGAAAACCTTGCTTAACTGTTTATGAAAAAGATTATAGCGCATGAAAACCTGCTTTAACTGTTTATGAAAAAGATTATAGCTCATGAAAACCTGGGTTAACAGTTAAGGAAAAATTAAACCTCATGAAAACAAAATAACAGAAAAACCTTGTGAAAACTTAGGTTAACGTTCATGAAAAAGGTTTAACCTGCATGATGACATTTATGAACCTAAATTAACTAAATGACCTTACTTCCATTTATTTTTAATTAGCAATACAAATTTGTTGAACATGAATTTTAAATTAGAATTTAATTAACAAGCAACTCACTTGTTTAAACATTAATTTTGAGGTATACCGGTCCGAACAAATAGTAAATATACATGCTGTAGTGTATACTGAAATATTTGACCTTTTCAAATATTTATTTAAATTTTATGTTTGTCATTTCATTATTTAAAGTTATCATTAAATTTGTAATAAAGAAAATTTTCTGAACTGTTCAGTGTTCAGTTTATCTGAAGGGTTGAATCATGTATAATTGTTATTAAAATTATTCAGTAAAGTGTCATATTTGTTTACATTGTACATTTGAAAGTATGAATCATTGTTACTCACTGTTTGTTTCTATTTATAGATTGTTTCACATAACCAAGAGCAATCAGTGTTAATTGTCATGGTATCTCAAAGTACAGGGTAATTAAAAAGTCAGTTGGTGGCGATACCAATTACTACTGCTGCTATATCATGTTTGATTAGTAGGATCATGTCATATAATTTTTCAATAACTCTTATCCTGGATGTGAAATCTCTACTTTTTCTCAAGTTTCTCTACATCTGTTTGAGAAGGTGTTTAGTCAAGTAAGGGGGGGGGGGTCACAGAGGCGTGTAAGCTAGACTAGTCTCTGTTTTCATTAAAATAAGTTGACAACCAACCACTGTGATCTTTTCAGCAGATGAACAACTGGTTCCTGCATCTCATTGAAAATTTAAAAATTAGATGTACAGTTTTACTTTTGCAAATCTGTTAGCACCATGTTAAGAGATGAATTAAGAATTTTGAGGTATTTTGATGTATTTTTGCCTAATTTGGTAAAATCAGGATTAGCATCTTTTTTGGAGAAAAATCTGAAAGAAACATTGAACATTAAACGATGTATGTGTTATTTCAAGGGCAATTCAACATTCGAGAGTTGGCCTCATGAAGATCATTTTTATGCAGTTTGCATCTTTCTTTACCCTTTGCATTTGTTCGACTTCTTTTGAGAAATCCTGAATAAAATATATATGGTTTAATGTTGTTGTTTTACAGTTTTATGAACTCTTAAAAAGTAGTTTTTCACCTTGAAATATTTGTTTCTATATTGTGTTTCTATATTGTAAAATGCAAATAAAGAAATCAATTGAAGCTTTTTTCAAAAGTCGAGAATTCACATGTTAAACCCATTTTAGAAATTGGAAGTTCTGAATCCTTTTACAACAGTGTTATTTTCTTGCTCAGCTGTTTAATGAACATCAACATGGGAGATTTGTACTTGAACTATACAGAATTAAACAGAATGGCTATGATATGATTATGAGCAAGTTTGCACAAAGAGGAAATCAGATTTGGTTTATAATACTGGGCTCAGCCATTGACCAAATACCCTTTCAATGTACAATTGGCTCAGATATGAACTTACATGTTTGTAAATAAACTCTCAGAAGTTTTATACACAATTCTGTGACATACATAAAAATGTGTATAATATAAACATATGAAAAAAAAGGTTATACCCTAGCACAATAGATAGATATTATGAATTCAACACACGAAAGCAGCAAAAGTTGAACTTTATTTCTAAGGGCATTGATATTATATTATTTAGGTGTAGCCAGTATTGATAGATTGACGACATAGTTCACAATTTGAGTTTAAATATACATAGGTATACACATGTTGTGGAATTTTAACTTTCCAAGAATTTAATTTCGGGAATTTTTGAAACAAACATCTTGAGAAGGATTAAAAGTTCTCGTGGATTAAACCAATGTGTATGTGAAGTCCTTGGATAAACAGGACCATATTTATCACAAACAGGAGATCTTATGATGGTCATGGGTGTATAAAACTGCCAAATGGATATGTACTTTTAATACAATTGCAGTGATAAAACATATGCTATATTGTAAAGATATAAATAATTTAAGGTAAGATTTATGTTTGAGTAGAAATTATATAAACTTTTAACATTTTTAACATATGGGTTCCAGTTGCCTGATTACATGTAATTCACATGTGGGTACATATTGTGTAATACCAATTGGATGGCTATATCCTTTTCGCATGACTTATTTGTATTAAGACTTATCAGTTTGTCATCTTAACTGTCAGCCACATGAATATTTTTCATTATAAGCTTATAGATTGGTACAAATTGTTTAGTGGCATGCGTGCATGACATGCAGCTTTGGCTTGTAGAAAAATATTTGTTAACAATGATTTTGCAAATGCTCACACACCGTGGTCGAGTATATTATACTAAAAAATGTAAAGGCAGAAAGTGTCTATGATTCTGATCCTAAATCATCCCATGATGTTTTAAGGTAGTTCAAAAATTAAATGAAATGGGGAATGTATTTCAAAACCTAATGCCAAGATATACACATTATTATAGAGCACATAGTTCAACTCAAAATCAAAATCAAATTACATGATAAAAATATGTTTCCATATGTAAAATTTGTACTGACTTTCATAAATTTGGACTGACTTTCAGTAATTCATGATATGAACTTAAAATATATGAAAGCTTGAAAAACTGGCTCACTTTATAAACAGCATGACAATATCCAAATTAGATAATTACCACAATTTCAATCTTGAAAAGGCAATTAATTTTAAGATGCATTGATAATTACAGAAAAGATGGTAAACATCATTTGAAGTCTATTGATGTTATGATCAAATATCATTATTAATTAACAAGATCATATGCAAACATATGATTTTCTCTACTTCTTATTTCGGCATGCATGTCAAGGTGGGTGTTAAAGGCTTGATGCAGTGCTAGCCCTTATACATGAGGCCATATTTAATTGGGAAATTACATTTTACAAATCATTTTGGCACATAAATTGTTTGAAGGACTAATACATTGAGAAAGTCACGACTGCCTTACTGAATTACAAATCCATATACTTGTGTTCGGTTAAATATAAAAGAATTTTATATGAATCAGAACAGATGTATATTTAAATCATAGTATTGACATTATTGGAGGTTATAAAGGAAAGTGGCATACCAAATAATTGGATTGTATATAACTTAATAGTCATGAACAGTAGTGTCAACTGAATTGAAGTACCAGGTTACATTAAGGACTTTGTTGTGGAAAAGGTAATATAATGAAATATCCAAAACATTCATTCGATTGAGAAGATAATGACAAAAACCTCTCGGGTAGGTTAAAGTGAACCATTATTTTTGTCAAAGCACTGTTTTATTCAATCAGTCAATCCATCCATCAATTGACAGAAATGTCGTCTTTTTATGAAAGTGTTTTGTGTTTAACTGAGTTCATATGTAACTGTGTATAACTCAATTTAACATCCTACTAAATGCAGCGATTGTGGGACCTGTGTTCAATGTTGTTTTTTGTCGATATCTTAATTGTGTGGTTTATGTTATTTTCAATGTAAGGTGTTTACTTCTCTCTTCTGTGTGAGCATATGTGTTGACTACTCCTTGATATGTTTTATTCAGGTGTTTTCCAAGGATTTACATGTTAAACCCAGCGGCTTTAGAAAATTAACAAACTACTTTGAACTGTAATGTTAACCAAAGCATGCCTTAATTCTACTACACATTTTATTCAGGAAGTGGCAATGATTACTTTGTGTGTCTATGAATTTATAGGGCAACTCCTATATGTAGGTGTGTGCAAGTATCATGTGTTTAGAAATTCATTTTCAGTGAAAAACTATAAAAACATTTAGCTTTCACATCACCCTCTCATAAAATACTGTATCTTAACCATAATATATGTATGTATATGATATAAAAAATGCTACCCTCTATGACTTTTTCTTTGCTTATAGACCATTCACTGGCGGATTAGGGGGGGGGGGCTGGGTGGGCCCAGAAAAAAAATTGGGCCCAAAAAAAATGTTGGGCCAAAAGAGGCCTTAAGGGTCCAAAAAGTGGGCCTTTTTGGTCATAATTAGGCCTTTTGAGGCCTTATTTTTTAATTTCAGGCCAAATTTTGAAGAAAATGGGCCTCAAAATTTCAAAATTTGGGCCCATTTTGGGGTTTTAGGGGCCCAACAGTTTTTTCTCTGACCTGAAATTTGGGCCCCCCCCCCCCTTGTTGGTTCCCAGATCCGCCCCTGCCATTTAGGCATTGTCACATCATATTTATGAGTTTTAATTACACCATGGATATGAATAGGTCATTTGTTCAGTCTTTTAAGATTCCTGTCTCACAGTGTGTCAAAGGTCAATTAAACACCCTTATTACTGGTCCCACAGCGAATATCTTCTTTGGGAGTAAAATATACCTGGATAGGCTCCAACGCATTTCTAACTGTTATACAGTTATACTTTGTGCCTTTCTGGGAATTTGAATATTTTAGTCCTTAGATAGTAGTTGTTTTGTGAATCAAATAAGGGGCAGTGGGTCAGAAATGTGTTTCATACTTTGACATTCCTTTTATAAAAAGCGCCATATTCAGGGAGTAATTTTCTTAAATAGACCTATCATAGAAATAAAAAACATAAAAATGTATCAGAAGAACTTAAAATTGATGAGATTTATATTTGTGAGCAAGATAAGAAATATGTCTTGGGGCAATTGGAATATGAATAAAAGTGAAATTAGCCTTTGAGTTAAGGGGATGATGTCTACATAAATATTAAGTTGTAGAAAAAGATGTTGATTTCTTAATGGCCATTCCCCCTATACACACAGTATATGAAAATGTTGAGTTGTCTTTCACTTGAATTTTTTCAAAATCAAAATTCTTTACAAGTGACATTGTTATTTACCTCTCATCCCTAATGAAATTAACCTTGTCCTGGTGAACTGGTAACATTTATCTGTTAGAAGTTTACTCAGATTCTTTAATTTAATTGTTCTTTTATTAGGAAAAAAAATAGGTTACAGTATGAGAATAAAGTTCACTGAATGGTATGCTCCCTTTGAGCAGTCTCGGAATCTAAAAAGTCATTTTCATTGGTGCCCCAAGTTCATTCCTGCAAGTTTTTCTGAGAAAAAAAATTATCAGGAATACTTCTGTTCTTTCACTGATGCTGATGAAAACCAAACAATTTACATCTATTGGCCTATCTTGAACAAACATGGGAAAATGTCAAAATGATAATGTTTAGCAGTAAATTTTTATTTCAGTTTTATGTATGTTTGAGCATTTTGCAATTTGTCATTGTATTCAAATACTATGTTTAAATCTTCGTTGTTAGGCAGGTCAACTTGATCATACTATTATGACTTGTTTATAGTATAAAAAATTCAATGTTGAAATATACAATTCATGAAAATAACAACATATCTTAACTATATAAAAAATAGTTTAAGACTGTAAACATGTTTTTTGAAAATGCCTGGTAATTTGTGAGTCACTGATTGATCTGCATTTTGTGCTAGGTGGTATATATTTAAAATATGAATCCAATTATATCACGAAAGAAAGCCTTTACTCGCATTCTAGGCCAGTGATTTGACAACAGAAGAATAAAATATATACAAATAAAGAATAAAATATTTATTTTGCACTTGAGGCTCTAAACATTTGATTAGTACAAGTATATGAGTTCATTCCATTTACTTATCCCTGTAATTGTATATACATGTACAATGTACATACAAATCATATATAAAGACTGCCCAGAGGTACTGCCAACCACGTTGATGGATGACAGTATCTTCAGATAGCAAGCAGAGTGCAATTCATATGAGCAAACTTCAACATATATACTGTAACACATCCTGTTGGATGGCAGTATGTATGTTGGGAATGAATGAATTATGTAAGAGAGAATGCCATAGATCATTGCGCTTAGTCACCGTGAACCGCTCAGTCACCGTGGATGAGCCGAGATGCCTGCGTGTGTGGCAGTCATTGACATGGAATGTTGTTGACATCAACAAAACAAAATAGGATCTATAATAGTATAGTTTTTTAATCAAAACTCAGAGTCAGAATTATGTTCCTGCAAAAGTTTTTGTGTACCCCATATAGAAAATGGTTGGACCCTTATACTTGACTTTCACATGTCAGTACAAGTCGATATATAAATACAAAGGGATTAGTTTCAGTATTGAACTTTTATGGATTAATGATTATGTCATATCCCAAACACGAGCTATATACCTATTAATCTGGCCATGCATGATTTGAAGGGATTTGGTAGTTGGGGGGGGGGGGGTAGATGTGTGTGTATATTAATAGGGGATGATGTCCAAATGGTGATGATTGCAGGAAAACAGTTTATTTCAGAAGGGGGGGGGGTATATTTTAATGATGAAAATATAGCAGGTGAGCTGATCCTAATTTAAAGTTTTTAAAGTTATTTATTGTTTATGGATGAAATAAATATTTTTATGTTCAGGAGACCAGCCGAAGGCATCATCTTTGATTTAACTGGCCCTTTAATCAAGCAATTACTTTCTCCAGGAAAAGTGTTTAACGTGTATGTAGACTTACTAAGAAAATATATTTATAATGTTTCGTTTTCTTTTTGAACAGGGTTGCTCTTTGAATGAGAGTGCATTCTGTGAATAGCGGAACACATAGAATCTTATAAAAGAATTGGCAATATTTCCAGACGCAAGTCATATCTGGCATATGGCTTGGTCTGGATTAAAGTCAAAATTACAAATTGGCCAACACTCATGAAAAGCATTTTGGCCACTTGAATTTTCAAAGAGCACTCATTTGTCTAAATGTCTTGTATTTGAATTCCACATGTATGTGTCTGGAGGGACTTGATATAATTTCAAAATGTTATTTGGAATGTCTCAAGACTGTAGACTCTATCAGCAGTTTTAGATTAACTAAAAGATATAACTACTTGTATTTTCACTTTGTGTCTATTACTTTATTTTTCCAGGTGCAGAAAAGAATAACTTACTGGAATCTCATGGAAATTTGGAACTAATTATACAATATAGGATATTGTATATGGTACAATACAATATACTACAATAGGATGCAATATGATACAATAAGCCATTGAGCTACCTGAAACAGCCACGTTGCAATAATATATGGATAGTATATTGACTACTATAATATACAGACTGCAATATTTTATGGATTTACTGAATTTATCTTAAAAAGATGTCACCAACAAATGAAATGAATCTAGGATTAATATATTTATTTATCATTTCTTTACTGTTATATGAAATAAAGACAGAAGAAGCAACAGTTAATTTTCTACCAGACTGTGGAGCTGCTGATAATGAACCACAAAGTGTTCATGTGACGATCGAAGAAAATTCCATCCAGCAAAGTTCATATATTTGCTTTGATAGAATCTGCTCAGATTTCGATGATGATTTAGATTATAGTTTGCAGGGCAGTGATATGGATAGTGAACTCTTTTATTTGGGTTTGGAGCCTGAAAATGAGTCTGTAACATGCTTGTTTCTATGGCAACCACTTGATCGAGAGAAGAAAGCAAGTTATAAGGTATTGTATTTTTATTTTTATTGCCAGATGTGGGATCAACCTTGATGTCAAATTTTTAATTCATTTCATTTTTATGTCAGTCTACCGCAAATGGTAACATATTGTTACAGTCTCCAACTTTTTGTGAAGGGTGTTCGTCATTTAGTAGGTGGTGGTCGGTGCTTGTTGTTTGTAACAAATGGCAGGTGATGACATTTTGCATGTTGATCCCTAGAGTGATAATGTTCCTTAAAAATTATGTTTGCATTCAGCGTTCAAATTGAACTCATTACATAAGAGAAATCTCAGTATTACATTTTAGAATAACACTGTTTTTGCATATTACTTCACTATAAGATAAACTTATTTCCAACTTTCATTTCAGTTGACTGTTAAGGCTACGGAGTCCCGTCCCTATCCAAATTCAGCATATTTTTACGTCATCATTACTGTAGCAGATATGAATGATTACCCACCAACGTTTCGGAGAGCAAATTATGGATTCAATGTGTATTCATTTACTCCAGTAGGGAGGGCTTTAGCAGTATACACTGCAAAGGATTTTGATAAAGGAGAAAATGCAACACGATTATATAGTATTGAAGGTAATATATCTACATACAGTCAGCTTCATGTTTTCATGTTCATTCAAGTATCATTTGCATTGGGAGTATCATTTGCATTGGGAGTATCATTTGCATTGGGAGTGTCGGCTGATGGATTAACCACTATTTTTATGACCAACTCATTTAAATATTAATATGAATAGTAGGTATTGTTTTGAGTTTGCCATAAGACTACATTGTAGCTGTTAATTCATCAGCTATCAGCCAGCAGTTGCATTTTCGAATGCTATCTGAATTTAGTTCTTAAATTCTCACATCAGGCTGACTGACTTCTATTAATCTGACCAACAAAGCTTAAATGTTAAATGTTGGTCTTCAATATAAAGTTCTGTACATTTTGCCACAAGATATAAGTCAGTCTCACCGCAATAGGACAAAAATACCATCATATGTTTCTCGTTCAGGTTAATTGCCCATCTACTTTAACTTTTTTGATGAAATTAAAAAATAAAACTATAGGACAAAGTTATCTGCAAATACAAACTAAAATGTAAAAAATGTTTCGATGTACATATATGAGCTTTCAATCGGTTATTAGATTAATAGATGTCACTGCGGTTTGTTATTTTACGATATAATTAAGAATAGACAAAGACAAATGAGATAAGGATGAGTCTGGGAATGAGTCTGGGTATCGACTTAGAAAATATTGAAAATTGTAATGTCTGAAAAACCAACTCAATCACACATATTATTAAACTTCAATATCTTATCCTTCTTCTGAGATTACAAAAATATCAATTTGTATCACAATTGATGAAGAATATTGGCATCAAAGACAGTGCATATCACTTTATCAGAATTGAAAAAAAATCAATGGCAAATATTAAATGAATTATTTATACAAAAAGTTTGAAACATATCCAAAACATTGGCTACTTTCTTTGTTTAGACATTGAATGTTATTTCTGGATAAGTGAATTGGTGTGTATCTGGGTAATTAAGGGATTTAATAGTCACTCAAAGTTACTGAGCATCCAGTTTTGAGACTTCAATTGTGTTAGTGATGTTACACATATTTCAGTCAAATTCATGCTGAGCACAACATTTTGGTTTCAATTTTATAATCTCTATACATGACCCTGGTGATGAAGAGTCAGAATCAGTCAAAAAACCTAAACCGGAAAACTGTGCTCATTGTGAAAACTAAAAGTGAAGCAACTTTTTTTCTGATATTTCTTACTTCAAATAGCAACCATCTTGTTTTTCTCCCTTCAAATTAAACTGGCGGGAAATTCAAAAGTTTGAAAAAAATTTTAATCCTTAAATATATTTCAAAAATATGATTTTCTTTTTTATGGGTCTTAAGGATGTTCCCTGGTCAGATAGGAAAATATTCAATAGTATTTAACTTTTTCTCAAAAATGGTTTTCTGGGATTCTCACGGGCAACAAAGAATATTAAAACTTTAAAAACCATATGTTAGTGTGCTTTTTTCTGAGCAAGAGGCCTCTAAAGTGTCAATATTTGACAAAAGTGGGCGTGGCACTTTCTCATTGAAACCCATGTTAAAAATCAGGTTTTCACCCCAAAACACACTTTTGAATATTTAACTTTTTCTTAAACTCACAGAAACACTTAGTTATGCTATGTACTTCACATTTTTAAAAGAAAAATTAGGGGTTGGTGTTCATCGTTTTCAACTTCGTCCAGGGAACATCCTTAAGTTATTTCTTCTTTTTATGTCATACATGTTGCCATTGTTTTTTTTTTCTATGATAATGACTATTTTTTGTTGTTGTTAAGATACTTATTCTGACTCTCAGCAGAGGGTTAATTATGCACCAAAACTCGTGAAAAAGTAAATATACTTATCAAATATAACTAGGACAGTAATAAAACCATATTTCACATACATTTGACTGAGGGACCAAAAGGGCATATACCCAGACACATCCTTTGGCATATTATGTGAGGGTGACCAACCAACATTTCATTTTTTTTATTTGGTTAGAATGTTTTTGTATGTTTGTCATTTTTATGTTAACAGTCATGTTTGATTTGATTTGAAAACTATATTTATTCAGTACAAAACAGGTCTTCCTAGAGGCCCAGTTAAGCTTCTGTTCAGCTTAATATGAACTGAGACCATCATAAAACATAACATATATCATTTAATGTTAGTCTCAGATATGAACAAGATCATGAGTCATTACATTATTCAACATGTCATCTTGAGTGTGTAGTTTGGGGGGGGGGCTCACAAGGCTTGTACTGCAGCAAGACTATATCTACTTTTTTTATGAAATGTAAGGAAAAAGAATCTTGAAAATGTGCTTAATTTTCCCTGTTATTTCAGATATGCGGATGGAACCCCCATCAGAAGTAATTGATCCATGGGAGACATTTGCCGTTTTCAACAATACTGGAGGCATTTATTTACTCAAGCCTTTAACAGAATTTGGCGAGTGTTATATAAATCTAACAGTAGGTGTTTGAACCATTGTAAAAAGTATAATGATTATCCCAATAAACCAAGTTATAGAAAAGCCGTCCATCCATTCATCCATCTGTCCATCTGTCTGTTCCTCTGCTCAAGAAGGAATTTTAGATTTGGCCACTAAATTCAAGACCACCATTATTCATATAAAATATGTAATCTTTGATGACTTGAATACTAGTTGACAGATTAGGTTTAAATGTTATATGCTGATGCCTAGGGACAAAGGAGCCTTGCTCAAGAATAGATTTTGAAGATGGTTGCTGTATTTCAAAATGGTAGCCATTTTTCGTATGAAAAAGTGATCTTTGATAACTACTTGTAAATTACCAGTGAATGGATTTGGTTGAAATTTTACATATTAATATAATTTATATATACTCTAGAGATGGGAAATTACCAGTATATCCCAACCAGAAATAACCAGTATATCTCTCAGATGATATGTACAATCCCTCCCCAGGTATCACCTCTATACTGTAAATTACATTTGTATGTTATAGGCTACAGACATGGGTGTGCCACCTCTATCAGGCAGTACAACAGTGAGTGTGGTCTACAATTCTGGCACCAATAAAGCACCAATTTGTGCAGATACCATGAATTATGCCCTGAGGGGCCCTGTTCCTAAGAATTACAGGATAGGCAGTATTGAATGTTTTGATGAGCATATGAACCTATTGCAATACAATATTACTGAGTTTCTAGGTAAGAAATTTATCCAGTTTTGAAAGTTTTGTTGTTTTATTTTTTATAACTTTTATTGACTTTTATTTATTGTATCATTACATGATGACATTAGTCACATTATTAACATCCAGGTATCAACAAGAGTGAAATATGAAAATCTATGAATCCAGTTAAAATTGTATGTTGTGTATGAAAGTTTGAAATATTTACATTTTTACTGAAAAGTCAACTTTCTGTAATTCTTCTAAAAAATATATTCATGCAGATGCAGAACTGATTTTATTTTACATTGCATAAAAACTGTATTTTATTTGACTAAAATTTAGTTCTATTAAGGTATCCTTGAAGGTCTCTCATATTTTCTTTACAATTAATTTTTCATTTTCTTTTACAGTGCCAGGTGAGACATCTACTATTAGAGTCATCCACTCTGTTTACAATTTTCACTTAATTGTCATCCTCTGCATAATGCGAACTCTTTGTATCCTGTATATTATACAGTGTTCTCTGTAGGATTCCTATTTCAATTTTATTCAACTTTTACATTCAGGTAACTGCAAAATTTTCATTTACACAACTCTGACTAAAACAGTTGCAAATTTATTTTGGAATATCTAGTACACTAAGGTGGGTGAGGTGATATCTGGCCCATCATGCACGTATGACAGGAAGGTCAATTCTTTTACTAAAAAATGTGCTCTAGAGACATCTCATTACATCCAATATTATGGGGAGATCAACATATTTTCCTTGTCTCTGAATTTATGATTGTTTTAAAACCTTTTGATACTTAAATTGGTATTTTGAAAGTAATATGTTTCTTTTGGGGATTGCTTGATAATCAACACCAATGGGGAAATAAAGGAAATGTATTTTAATATGTTTAATATTATATGCTGCACTGGTGCTGGTCTGGTTGATTCTCCCTGTTGCATACTTGTGCTGTATTTATATGTTTTGTTTTACACACTCTCTTGAATTGTAACAATGAAAATCTTGCAGCTACTAGAGAAAAAATCCTAATGAGAACATTGTTATGAATATATGTATTGTTTTTTCCAAAGAAGGGACTTTTGACGTTCCTTATGTGGATATGTGTTTTTCCAAAGAAGGGACTGATTGAACATAGTTCCTTATGTATTACCGACTTTTGATTTCTTAGCTTTACTCTATTACTGTGGGACACATTTTGATGCAGTTTTGTAACTTTCAATTTGTAAGATTGCAGTGATATGTTCATCCGTACATTGACTAAAAGTTACAATGCTATCAAAAACTGACCTCAGTGCATTTATTAGGGCTTAGTCAAAATGCTAAAGTAAATTTACAAAGAGCTCTGCCCATCCTTTCATTAATTGAAAGACTAGTGGTGTTGCTTTATATCAACTGTTATCATTTTTGCTTTTAACAGAAATTTACTTTCTTGGAAAATGTCACATCAAAACAAAACATTACATATAATACAAAATGGAAAAATCACGGTTGTGCATATTCGTAAATATGATGAGACATGGATATGTTTTATCAAAAAGACGTTTTATGTGAAACTTTTTGGGATTTGACCTTGCCCTTAATAAGTCTGTTTTGGAAAAAATGATCATTGTTCCCCCACACTTTTTATGTACTAACACTGTGTGATTACAGTGAGTTACTCAAATAACACGTCTACCTTGTTGCCGTTAAACCCAAATGACACCTCCACATCCCCTGGTGATGTCAAAATACATGTTTCCACCACCCCTGCTGGCAGTCCGGCAAATTCACCCAGTACACCCGAAATAACTGTGCCAATAGATGGCAGAACTGAAGCATATGGGCCATCTGGTGATCAGTCGAACACATCAATGGAAACAGAAGAGGGCAGTGCTGGATCTCCACATTTGGATTCATCGTTGGAGGAATATTTAAAAACTTTTGATCCTCTGTCGGAATATATCCATGGCGCAGATGGTAAAATTCATGTTTTTTGCAATTATATTTAGTTTTGTCTTTATCTTCTGGTTCCCCTTAAATATTGGAATGATTCTTGGGAAACTCGGGGACTTGATACGAGACTAACTTGATAACAAAATATTATATATTCAGTACCAAAAGAGGGTAGGTACTTTGATTTACTTGAAGTTTAAATTCATTTATTTCATTCGCTTGTTGTATCTATCCCTAACACCCATTAGAGAAAATGTCAGAAATCATGATTTTTGGTGATCCCTTGAATATTCCCTAAACTCACCTACCCCTATTAACTGCTTGTAAGCCCTCTCTGGAGATATTGTATTTAAAATGTTTAATTACCAATATTGTCTATTTAAAACTTTATGTTTATAATATATACTTTAATACATGAATTGTAATAATAAGCACATATACAAATTCATACACCACAATAAACCATTTGCCACCATAAAACCAACAAATAAATCTATAATTAAAGCATTGCAACATAGATTAAACATATGAATACTTAAGCAATAAAATTTTTTTTTTAATAATTTATCAATTGTACAAATAACGTGCATGCATTTACACATATATGAAATTTTTTTTTTTCATTTTTGATCCACATATAGATTCATAAACATTAAAGTTTATTATATATTTGTGTTTTAGCTGAACCCTATTTCTACATAACACAGACAGGCAATCTGAAGGCCTCTAGAGTGCTTGATGGAACCACCTACTCCAAGTTTGCCTTTAGGATCATGGTAGAAGATCATGCAGGCCTCAGTGTTGAGATGTTTATAACAGTGGCGGTAACACGTAGGTTCATTTCATGATAGTAGCATTCAAAGCATTCACTTAAAATCAAAACCAATGCAAATATTATATCAAGTTGGCTTATTACACAAAATTATTATCATTGTTGAATCATTTATATTAATGTCTTGCCCTCCAGAATAAATATTAGCTTGTATAATGTAATGCTAATTCGTTGATTTTTATGTCACCACCAGAAGTGGTGACATATTGTTATAGTTTCCAAATTTTTATGGATGGTGTTCTGTGGTTGGTGTTTGGTTCTGTTATAAATGGCAAATGGTGACAATTTGCATGTTAATGCCTTGTTTTACAAACCATTTTAGTCATAAAATGTCATGAGTATTCACCTGTTCAAAGTAAATATGTATCATGATTATTATCTATTGACAGTATATATTATTATTGTCTAGCTATTATTCACTCTTAATGCTCCAAGTTGTTGTTTGATAAAATGAATATCCAGATTTTTTAAGTCGATGAAAAGACAATCGAAAGATTTATTTACTTTAATTTGGAGAATGCCAATTAGGCAATTTTCATACCCCTTTGACATTTTGAAATTGGCGGTATGATTCATGTTTCTTTTTCTCTACTCACTTCCACATTTTGACAATTATGTTAGATGTGTTGATTTATAAATTTTGACGACACAATCTTATGACACAACAGCATTTTTGGACTATTTACATTTTATAATTTATTAAACATTTTCTTTCTCTAATTCAGCCTTGTATTTTCCTTGAATATTATGCGTGTACTATCTCATAACTTTAGACATTGAGACAAAGATCATCTGCACACTTAGACAGCTTTCTGATATCCCTCCACATTTGTTTAATCACTCTACTCCCCACCTCTACCAGTTCTATTACCTGACCATTCTTCCATAATCCCTGGACATTTTTCCACTTAAATCGACATATGGCGGAGTCTTCTTTGAAACTTTTCAACTCAAGTTCAAGACCAGTTGTACACTTCTTTCTATTTCCGCAAGGTGAGAGTGTCCACATCTCTGATATGAAAATTATTTTAAAAAGGTCGTCATGTATAATTGATAGCGTGCAATGGAGGACTTGCTATATAGATGGGTTAATAGATGGCAGTAATGATTTTGGTTGGGCAAGAATGCTATTAATAATGTGGAAACCACATAATTATTAGTGTGGATGCCACCTACTATGTCTTATTATGTAAACTATGTTTATTCTTACTAATAAATTGAATTGAAAAATTTAAACAACTGACAAAAATCTTTTAATTTCAATGTCAATGGGGATCAAGCCTTTTCCAGAAAACTAAAAAAAATCCTAAGAAACTGAACACAGGAAAATATCTTTGAACATCAAAAAGTTCGTTCAACAGAAAATTACATAAAAATCCAAATATGTCATCAAAAATAAAAATGTAATTGACATAAGTATCAAATTTCATGCTTGTTTACAACATTGGTTACGGCTCTTACTTTCCATGTCATTTTAGAGCAAGAGAATCAGCTTTTTTATATTGCGAGCTCACATAATGGTATCATATTAATTGGTTTTAGAATATTTACCTTTAGATTTGCACTTTTTGCACATTTCTTTATCTTCACAATTCAACTGACACAATTCACACTCCAGTTTTCCATTGGCACATGTGCATTTCTTGCATTTGCCATCTTCTTGTGGCAGCATTAAGGGACCTGGACCATATTCCCCTTCCTTACATACCCTCTTTGCTAGACATATAACATCAGTGCTACATTTGGTGTTATCTTGACTCATACACTCACATTTAGTACATTTATAGTAGTCCAGTTTATCCTCCGGGTCTCGATACCATTGACCAGCTTCTTGGGGATGAATAATATCCTTATAAGTACATGTTATGTACCTACAGCATATTGAAAATATGTTTGCTTTGTGTGTCACACACCTGTATCCATCAGGGCACGGAATGCTTCCACCGCCTCTACATTTAAAAGGAATTCCTTCTTTATCCAAATATGGATCAAGGCATCCATTTATGTTCATCTGGCAGCATGTGAAGTTATCTTTTTTTGAGCAAGTGTATGTATTTGGACATGGTATCCGCCATCCTCTGTTACTACACATTTGGTTCAACTTTGGTTGTCCATTTAGACAGGTTATCCCAGCATTTGGTGTTTCCTTTGTAGTCATAGGTTCCTCTACTGTTCCTCTACGGTTCCTCTCTTTTCCAACTGTGGCGATAACCAACGTTAATGCTAAGAACAAAAGAGCTTTGAATATCATGATATCGATATTCTCTTTTAGAGTCAGTCACTGTTGTGTTTCTATTAATATAGAGTGTTGACAAGAAATTGTGAACTGTTGTTAACCATAATTGAATTATGCAGGCTGAGCAAATATGACTAGAACTAATAAAAAATTATATCCGTTTTCAAATGGCATAAATTGACTCATAATTACTTCAAATTCGAAAATATTCTGATCAGTTGATATGGATGTGAAATATCTATTAATTGAATTTTCAACAATTTACTTCTCATTGCTCTTCATCTTACTATATATTTTGATTGTTTTATTCAAAAGAAACAATAAAATTTATTAAATGTTTCTTTGCTTTAATACCACCCTTGATAAGAGTGGGGAGGGGGAGGGGACTGTACATTCTTCTTATATCCTAATTTTTCAACCATTTTCTTAAAAATACGCAACACAACACAAATATTCTGCAAATATGTATCTTCTCACCAAATTGTGCCATTTTTGTGTCACCTGCACTAAATATACAATAAGACAATAACATGTTTATGTTAAAATCAGAGCTACTAAGTTTGATTTTTGTTTTATTAGCTAACCGACCAGTTGTATGTGGCCCTGTTGACACAGTTAGTGCTGCGATACAAGAGAATTTCATGATCAGTCAGCCATCTTGTTTTCACATCATCGAGACCATATGTTCGGATAGAGATGATGATTTAGACTGCATAATTGAACCAGGAAATCCCCAATCTGAAGAGTATGAAGACAGTTTTGTATTAGAACCATTCCAGTTTGGGAACTTTGAATGGTGCCTTGGCCTTCAGGAAAGTACTATGTTTGATAGGGAGAGAATCTCTCAGTTAAAGGTTAGTTTTCCACAGGTGTCTTATTTTAACAATTACCATCCCTATCTCTAACTCTATCATGCTAATGATATGTAATCCCCATGAAGGGTTGATACACTGTTACAGCTATTCAGAATTTGAAGTCAAAATTCAAATTCAAAAGTTAAAATTGTTACACTTTTTATATAACCAGGTGACCATTTTGTCATGTTTAAGTGCCACGTCTATAAAAGGTGCCTTCCCATATAAGGAATGTCATATTAAGTCAAACCAGTAATACCATGTACCAAGAAATGCTTCAAAAGATTACATTCAAATTCAAACTCCCATGAAATGGCCATGGACATGAAATTTAAGCCTGAAGTAAAACCATTTGCAATAGTCATGCACATAAGCTCATTAAGATGATGTACATTCTAACCTACTCAATGGATTTATTGGTGATTTTTAGGGAAAGGTGACTTGTACAGAAAGGAACAGCATACAAAAGTATAGTGACAGTTACACAGTGCTGTTGAATATCCTTGATGTTAACGACAATACGCCTCAGTTCTTGAATGAGCCATATGATTGGATGGTTGGTGAGCTGTCAATAGGGGACAAGTTTGTGGTTCAGGCAATAGATAGAGATGCGGGAAACAATGGCACTGTTGTGTATTCATTCAGTAAGTATGACTCAATATCAAGCCCTGTTGCAAAGGGAGGATTTACTTCTCAAAAATTCCAGGGGAGCTCATATTTGACAACTTTTGACAATGGTGGACAGACTTATAATATTCTAGTGTTTCAAATAACTAATTTATATTGTTATGTGCACTATAGATGGCAGTTATGATAAATGGACTCCCTTTCGATGCATCATTAGAAACATTTTGGGTCTGTGCTGCCATCTTTATGAACATTCTTTCTGTCGTAAAAGGCCTATGATTTGAAACATTAAACTCTTATGATGTCTATTGAATGTTTATTTAATTTCTTTTATTTGCAAAGATGGCAGATAAATTGAATTACATATCAGTCAACTTTGTACTTGTAATTATCCTACCGAACAAAGTTCAAGGAGGATACTGAAAAGCTTTTAGTCCATCTGTTTGTCTCCTGTCGGTCAGGAGCGCAGCGTGAGAAGAAATTTTCAAGATGACAGCTGAATTTTTAAATGGCTGACATTTTGCGTAAAAACATAATTCAAATACCAGTGGACAGATTTGATTCAAATTCTATATGCTGATGCCAATATCTGCTAAAAAAATTCAAGATGGTTGCTATTTTTTCAAAATGGCCAACATTTGGTGTTAAAGATGCATAAAAAACATAATCTTTGATAACTCAGTTACCAATGAATGGATTTGGTTCAAATTTTTTATGCTGATACTAAAGGACAAAGGAGCTCTGTTCAAGATGGCCGCAATATATCAAAACGTGTTCTGTTCGATGGGATTTGCTAATCTGTGGAGTTGCTGTTTTCTAGTTATTATTTGCATGTACCTTGAGTTAAATGTGGACTTTAGAAACCAATGTGTCAATGATAATGATAACATACCACTTAATAAAAGATATAGATGTAGTATTCTTGTCACTTTGGAATCTCTCAGGCACAACACCTTCATGTATTTCATAACATAAAAATACTTCCCATCAAGTCATTCTCCCTCCTCAAAATGTCACACTAATATATATAAGAAACCCTAAAATCTGTAAATAAAAATGACAAAATTCTGAAATGTTGCTCAAAAAGTTTTAAAAACTGAGATGTTGCACTAGAAATAACAAAAAAAGTCCCAAGTCCTAAGTTTAAAAAGTCAAAGGAGAATGCCGTATGTCTTATCTATTCTATTTAATCAGGTGCAATATTTCGACTTTACCATTTCTGCCTTTTAAGGAAATCCTTAAGAGGTGCTTTGTTTTTTCCTAATTTTCATAATTCGTGATGTTTTACAATTGTCATGTTTGTGAGTTCATTTTCAACTGAGTGCATACCCTCCAATGATCAAGAGCTCATGAAAGTAATTTCAGAAAAAATATTGATGTTTTTCAAAAAAATAATACACATCTCTTTTTCATGATTATCCAGATTTGGCAGTCATACAAGCCGAAGATAACACCCTAAATGATATAGGAAAAAATGAATCAATAAGATCGCGATGTACATTCATTTTCGTGAAAAGTGTGCTTAGTAACTTACTTCTCATCACAATATTCAAAATTCATATGCAAAATTCATTTGCACCCAATGGAAAATTCATTTGCACCCAGTTAAAAATTCATTTGCACCCAATTTAGAATATTGAAATCATGGACTTCATGTTAAAATTCAAAAAACTTCGATTATATCTTACAACTTTCATGGAAAAGGTAATATGAGCATTTTGCACTATGCTAAAAAAACCTTCAGACCACTGTTACTGTATGTTTATTGTAAATACATCAATTAACCTAATTAAAGTATCAATATATACAACGAGAGATGATCGTTCCAGTTCCATGCTAATATAATATAGAATTCAATAACAAACTGTTATTTTTGCAGGTGAAACAAATAGTAATTATTTGATGGATCGATTTATGGTGAATTCTACAAATGGCAGTATTACACTGGTGAAAAGGCTAGATGCAACCCTGGGAACATCATACACCATCACGATACAGGTATGGAGCTTTTTTGTTAGTATGATATAGGTGTCCGTGGTGGATATGGGGCCAGGGGAGGACCCCCTCCCATTGGTGGGCCCCAAAAAATAAATTTAGGGCCCAAAATCTGCTCCTTCCCACATAAATTAGGCAATTTACCAAATGAACTGGCATTATTGGGCATTATTTTTATTTAACTAATTATTGCTTACTTTTAAAAAATTAGGCCCACATTTTCAGATTTTGGGGCCCAACAATTCAAAATAGGGGCCCAAAATTTTCAGGTCTGCCCCTGGGTGTGCAATTTAGTTTAGGAGGCCTCGGATTATTGTTAGGTAGATTGGCATAACTTATAAGGAATGGCCATGGCCTTCTTTGATGAGGTGAACCTATATTAAGAGAATACATGTATACTACCTTGTATACTACCTCAGTAGTCTCCCCAGAATTAAAGCAAGTGGGCGTAGCACCCACCTGAGATTTTGAAAAGAGCCTAGCACCCACCTGAAAATCCATTGCACCCACTTAGAAATGGGAAAAATTATGAAAAATGGGCATATTTTCACTAAGTTTGGGCTGATTTGTGAATAAGAGAATTTTGCACCCACCTGAGAAAAAATCCTGGGGAGATCATTGCTACCTGGTTCGATAATGTGAGTCTATATTATTTAGGTGAGCCTAGTTTATTAAGGTGACCATTGTGAACCTTTTTTATTAAGGGAGCATTGTTTATTAAGAAAGCATTGTTTATTAAGTTGAACACAATTTATTAAGGTGAGCCTAGTGTATTAAGATGGGCACATTTCATTAAGATAGACATTGCTAATTTCTTTTTTGCACAAAATGACTGTTTGGACTGTAAAAGGTCAAATTGATTAACTAGTTTTTTAGCCAAGTTTCTAAATTGACTATGCCTTTCTAAAAATGAAACTGAAATGATAACATAAAATTGCATTGTGTTTCATGAAAATATCTTTATAAAATGGAAGTTGGGGACATTCGCCAGACCCATAATATGTGAAATTCATTCACACAAATAACTTATACTCTGCCTACCTTAATGTTTGTTAGACTTATATGAATATGTTTTTATAAAGTACATGTATGAGTTGATCGTGAATTTGATTGGATTAAAAAATAGGTTAATTGTGATTAAGATGGTGTTTACTGTTCTGCATAACTGCATACATAGAATTTCAGAGAGACATATCACATGAACTTGGGTTATTTATTTACTACTTTATTTATTTTTCCTGTTTGTATTCTAAAATATGTGACAATAATGTTTACGAAGGAATTAAACTTAAATTACACGTATAATGACAAAAAATAAAATTTTGGGGATTTTTCATATGTTATTTATTTCGCATTTATTAAAAATGCCATTCCGAAATGTCAATGATAAGACATTTCAAACAATAGTAATAACTTAATAAATATAAACATTTTTGTGGTATACATACCATACGTCATTATTTTACAAAATAATTTTGAATGTGCATAAACATTAACAGGACGTGTCTATGTATCAATATTTGTGGAAAAACATATTTGATTTTGTTTTGATCTTGTCCCCCTCCATACATTAAGATTATTTCATTTGATATTAGAACAAAAATAAATATCTATAAAAAACTAACTATATTTTTCCACAACTTTTGACTTGTGTATTTAGATTTGTTCCTGTGTACTTTTAACCTGTCTGCACTTTATAGAGCATTTCTAAATAGGGTATTAGTATTACTCAACATTGTAACATAAAATTGTTGGCACGGAAACAATGTCTGGAGTTTTCAGTGTCACGTTTCCTGTTAAGCTTTACAATTTGTTGAAAACATGTTTTTAAAGTCCTCTTTATTTCATTGAACATGTAATGTGAAATTTCTAGGTCTATATTGAACAGAAATTTTAATAATTTTTTCGTATTGATTTTTTGTGATCGTAGCCTGCGGGTTTCGTTTCAATTTTACCCTTTGTGCATTTTCATTTATGTTGTGTTATCTTAGAATGAAATTAGTTTGATCAAAGTTATGTCACAAGTGCATTATTAAATATCTCTTTATATTAATACATATATTTTAGTTCATTTTTTATTACTTCATTTCTAATAAATAAATTATCACTTTTAATTTACAAGATGTAGATAACATTTTAAATGTCTTTTGAGTCTTTATGTGAAGTCTCTTTCACCGGGTCCTAAGACATTACAAATAGATGGCTCTCACCGTGGCTCTATACTATGTAATGTTCCCGAAGATTTATCTCTGTAAGCCATGTCATGAATGGCTTCAGAGTAGGGCGTGTCTCCCTGGCAACCATATTCTTAATCTCCCCGGCAACCATGTTGTTTTGGATTTTTCCAGAGGTCCCTATGTGAAATGAAGGCCATATGTATGCTTTAGTATATTCTTCAGTTGGAGAAGTGAGATTTCAATGATGTCATATCGTAGTGATGTCAGCTGACTCCACTTTTCATAGGTTCCAATGTTAAATCTAAATGCCATGCTTATTGTGGGTATTCTCATTTCTTCTCAGCTTAAGCCATCAGTTGATCTGGATAGTCGAAAGATGTTTGAGAGATGATGGTGGTGATGAGATTGCGTGTTTGTAGTTGGGTGACAAGACGCTTTAAATTCTTGCACACTGCATTGTTTTCTACAACATTGTTTCATAAAGGAATGTTCCTGAGTGTGTGTTAGATGTGCTGGTTCAGAACCTGCAAATAAAAATTATTAAATGATTATTTCTTGCAGAATAGCCAGAATTGTCTCAATACTATAATATTTAGGCTTCTGGATGTATAACTGCCTGTAATGTCACCACCAACTGCCTAAATGTAATGTCACCACCGCGAAGTGGTGATATATTGTTTCAACCACCATTTTTTGTGACATCAACATCTGTCACAAAAATCTGTAACAAGTGTTACAGTTTTCCAAGTAGTGATATTTGTCACATTTTAAATAACCTCTGCTTATGTTTTATATTAAAAATCTTATTGTTAATTACATTCTCTAGGTTTTTTTGACTAGTTTTATTTTCTACTATAAATTTTTAAGTATTATTACTTTTGAATACAAATTATTTACATAGTACTTTGTATATTTATATTATTATCTTATAATGGCAATTAATGTAAGCAAGATGAATTCAAAAAAATATTTATTTAATTTTAAAATAAAAAAAACAAAGTTCTCACTTACCCAACATGAATTGACAGATCATATTTCTAACTTGTCTAATATTTCTTCTGCAACTATTATGTTGAGCCTCTTGGTGTTTATGAAACGGTCTTCCTTCTGTCATTTGCAACATAACAATGATGAGACAAATTCCTCCGAAAATTATGACCTTCATATCTACCGGCAGCAGAGGTTTGTGCCTCGTGTGAAACTTATGACTCAAGTTGCGCAGAGTTACATGTATCAGCCCAAATATAGGTCTCTTAAAGTGTATACGTGAATTTGTAATCTTATTATAGCTCTATTTGAATATATTGTTTTCAGAAGGTGTGTAGGATGTTCTAAATCAGAATAACAAGTGTGAAGAAAGGGGTCCTCTCAAAAATATTTTGAGTGCAAGTACACTCATTTTATTTCATCCAGAAATGCAAAATGAGTGCAAATGTCCTCAAATGTTCAAAGATTCAATTTGATTTCTTTATTACTTGTCTTCCTCATACTTTGGCAAGTGTCGGGGTAGAGATGACAAAGCCGTATAAATGCTTTATTTTAAATAGAAATAGAGATTTCAAGTCAAATGATTTAACATGTTTAAATGATTTATTTCACTTACAGATTTGAATTCAGATGTTGTGAAGTATAAAGTATAAGATGGGTGTCACCTGGGTGTGTACTTTGATATATTAAGAGTTTGGCCTAGATTTTGATATATTCCCCTCTCTGATATTTAAATTGTGTCAAAACAAGTTGTTTATGAAAAAGTTGGGCATTTCAACAATCCAAACTGATTGCCCTTGGGTGAAATGGCATGGTGTTAAATTTCAAATATTTTGCGAGTAGAGTGGAAAAAATAAAGAATGAAGTATTATGATATGGAGATATTAAACTAAACTCTGCAGAAATGATAGAAACTCTGGATTGTGAAATGTTAGAGGAGAATGAATGGAATGAACTTAATTGAGATTTTTTTCTGAGACACTTGGACATTTGAATGTGATTTTATTTGTTCAAACAATAGATCTAGCTATTGTTGACTTTAAAGATGCCATAGAATTGAGATAGCACATTTAAATAGAACATGCTGCATGGAACTTGAAGGGCCATTTGATTATTTGATTAATTGGATAAAATAATTTCAATTTCATTCTGATATTATGGAGTACTCTTGAAATATGTAGATTTCAAATTAAAAATATTCTTTTCTGTAAACTAAATGATCCAGCCTGGCCTATTTAGGAGTTTTTTTCTGTCCCTAATTTGAATTTTAAAGTTTAATGACATTTAGATCTAGATCCTTAAAGAGTTTTGCTTTGTCATGGTCTGTAAATATTATCTTTTTCAAACCGTTTTTTCTCTTAAATTGAATTCATTATCTTTATCTTTGATATCAGGTGTTGAGAATAAGAAATTGACACTATCAAATTGTCAATATTTTTGTGTCCCATATTTATTTTAGATTTTAATGACATTTATATCATTAATATTAAGATCCTTAACCATTTTGCTTTGTTATAATTTGTATCTTTATCGTGTCATATTTATCCTCCAATTGTTATTTTATTTTATCAGGATTGTATTTTCCTGTAACCTTTGATCTTTATTACCTGTTGAGATTTATGCATTATCAAATAGTCAATATTTTTGTGTCCTATATTCTGATTTTAGAGTTAAATAATTTAAACATTTTGCATTGCTATTGGTGGATGTTGTAATTTGTTAATATGATCTTCTTTATCATATAATTTTTATCCTTAAATAGTTTATTTTATCAGAATGATTTTTTGCTGGAATATTTGATCTTTAGCATCCCATGCTGAGATTTTGAAATTGACATTAATCTAATTAGAAAACGATCCAAAAAACAATAATTTTTCATATGACAAGGTAAAGTGTCTTATTTATCATAATATATAATTATTATTTTCATGTATATTTACAGAGCATGTGCCTCTTGTGTGATAAATTTTCATTGCCAAATTTTGGGTGTAAAAGTCCTCTGTTAATTTGATAAGAATTTATATAAGTGAAGACCCCATACCCTGATTCTTAATCAGAGACTCTTATTATAGCAGATAAGATAAGATCTTCATAAATTAGAAAAAGTTTTTTTCATCCTTTTATGCATCCTCCTAAGCAGGTATCCAGAATCCGTACCTCCTTCTTCCCCCTGCTATAACCAATTTGGAAGCGCCCGATTAAACTGAATCACGTGATCTTATTATGCGCAATGACTTATACATGATTTCTGTCACAGTTTTGCGACATCCAATCAGATTGCGAGTTCTTAATCGGGGAAAGGCTAACTGCTTATCGCAGGGGGTAAAAAGAAAGAATATATTCTGGATTTTGAAGCCCTGTGATCGGAGGATGCCTTTTATGAGGCTTTCAATGTGAAACATATACAAGCTTCTTATTTGCAGAAAATGTAATGGTGATTGACAGACTACATATTTTAATTAGATATAGGCTATAGAATTATCTATAATTCAGAGAGGGCAAAGGAATACTCTAGCATAGGGTAGATGTACTCTATCTTTGATATCCAGGCACCAAGATTGCCAGGGGTAGTTCAGTGCAAGGCTTCGAGAAATGGACTCTTCAAATGAGACAATCTTATGTTCATTGAGGCAATCACTCTTTTCATTGAGACAACTGATCTTTCCACTGAGACAACCCACTTTTCATTGAGGCAACCCCTTTATTTTTTGAGGCAACCAATCTACAGTATTGTGATTTTCAGGCAATTTGCAGTCAATTTTTATGTCACCAGCACAAGTTTTATGGTCTACAACTTTTTGTGGATGGTGTTCATCATTTGATGGTTGGTGGTTAATAATCGGCGGTCAGTTTTCAGTGTCTGTAACAAATGGAACAGTTTTCCCTGAATTTTTGCTATATTATATTTCAAGAAATAATTTGTCAAAATTTTCAGGGTGATATCTGATGGAGCTCACATGAGCCCCCCCCCCCCCCTCCTAGCTCCCACTGCTACTGCACTTGGTAGTTATTTAGGTTAACCGGCTCTTCACATTGTTTTTAGCTCAAATAGTTTCAAAACACTTATATCTCCTATGGCCTTTAATGACATGACATGATGACTATAAGTAGGTTTGAGGTTGGAGTTTTGAAATAATCAAAGGACATTGTACTTTAGCTATTATTAGCTGATTAAGTTAATTTTATCTCTCGCTCTTCATTTTATTTTTATCTTCACATCTTGAGGTATCGTTTTATGACACCTCCAAATGCTATCATGAACTTTGAGAAAGAGGCCAATGCCATCTTAAGAGACCATTGACACAATAGGATTTTCCAGTCAAGTCTAGGGACATTTCTCTTCAAAATTATATACTTACATGTACATGCTAGAGGCTTCATAATTGTTGGATCCAAAGTCTGTACTATCCAACACGCTTTAGATAAATCAGAATGAATCAGAGGATTCTAAATATGTCAAATAAAGTCATCTTCTGAGATTTGTATGTAATATTGTTGTAAGTATATAATTAAACCCACTGAATTCTTGGCCATCTATTGACAGTCTTTTAGGCCATTAGATTAGAACACATTTGGGTCAGCCATCTTGAATCAGGGAAATTCCTCAATGCATCCTACCAATACATTATTTTAGGAAGATTCTCTGGTAGAATCAACAATAGGGATCAAATGACCATAACCAGGAATGAGACAGGTCAAGTGACTGCCTCACCAAAATTTGGCAGAACCTCAGTTTTGCCTCATCAGTTTAAATTTGCCTCACCTATTAATGGATCATGGGTACACCTACAGCACACCAAAATTGACTCAATTTCAGAATCTTTTCAGCTTATATCATTCTTTGTCAAGCCTTGATATTGAAAACATAATTATCATATCATTGAATCTCTGTATTATGATTGGGCATTGTAATGTCATGTGATCAAAAATGTGGCGATATAGTTCTCACCTCCCTTAATATTTGGATTGTTAAATGACACATTGCCCTGCGTTGGTGTTTTTTGGGATGTGTCTAACACACTTTTGTAAATGTTTGTATTAACTTGGCAGGTGGTGACATTTTGACAGTTAATAACTTGTTTTTATATTTGTTTTACCTATTTGATCATTTAATGTAGTACATATCAATAAAATAAACACATTTTGTACATACTTGGTTAACACCCCTTTGAACAAAATTGGAAATTTGCCTCTTGTGAAAGGGTTGGTAGATCAATATCAATATCCTATTATTCAGATATATGTAAGATAATTGTGTCTGGTAAATGGGATGTTGATGTTGATTTGCCATATTCGTAGAAATCAGAAAATAAACAAATAAAATAGCTCCCATCAAGTTATTCCAACATATACATGTGTATAGAACTAAATATTATCAAGGGGTTTCAGTCTTATTTTTAAATACTTAGTAATGGGTGTCCAAATATTGACAGATAAAAAGAAGTGAAGTTATAGTAACATTTGAAAATGTTGATTTATCATTCAGTTCGAAATCAACATTTTCCATTTTTTGCCAATGGAATCTTCATTCACCTCTTTCCCCTCAAAATATTTACTCTGTTCTTTCACAAATGTTGACATTTGGTTAAATATTTTTGAAACCAAAAAGTATTTTGACTTTGATAAAACAAAATTCAGGATGTTGCTTCAAAAATGTTTAAGATAGAATATATTAATAAATACAACAAACTAAGAACTGAACAATATTAAATCTTGTAGTAAAACATGCTAGTAACATAAAAAATATTCTTATATCACCAGCTAGAATCCGTAACACATGTGACAATATGAATGCCAGTCACAACAAATGGTAACTGTAACAATAAGTTACCATTCCTGGTGGTGACATAATAAAATTGAAAAATTAACTTTATGTCCTGCATTGCTAAATCACATTTTTAGTTTTTTATTTCATCAAAATACAACTGTACTTATTTTGTGTTGCAAAACGTAAAAAGAGCCATCTATTTAAAATTTTCAATGTTCTTCAATTGGCCAAATTGTCAATGTGCTATATAGATGGATAAATAGATGGCAGCATGTATGGGTGGATTATGGTTTAAACTTGGGATCAAAAGATTTGGTCGTTGTGACGGAGCATGGTATTTTTCATGGAAACACTAAGATAACTTCACAATCTATTTTTTAACTCAAATGTTTTGTTTTACCAAAGACAATTACGCTCCATGCAATGGATATATCATTTGTGGGTAGCCTACACTTCTGTTTGAAGTGCAATAAAGCTAGGAGTAAAAGCTATTGAAAACGACGCTAGAGTATCATTATCCAAAATGTACTATTGCTTTTTTAAATTTTTATTGGTTCGATAAAGTGTCATGATAATATTTGCATATGTTTTCAGCATAACTTTGAAGGTATAAATAAGATCTGGATGTATTGGGTCTTTTTAATTTTTTTTTTTTATAAAAAGTAATGTTTAAATTCCTTGTCTGCTGTGATGGAGCAGTTTCAAATGTGAAATACTTTTCATACATTTATCTCTCAGAATACTTGCCATATAATTTATGAAAGAGATATGACACCTTCACTCATCTAAAGTGTAGTTTTAAAAGATATATTATAAATCTTAAATTCTTACAGTATCTCGAATATTTAGTTGCGTCCCATGGGCTCAATCCTCATTGAAATGATTGGTTTAATTGTGTATCAATTGTGAAAAGCTCGCCATCTATATGACCTTAATATCATCAAACAAACATAAGACTTATGACAAGGAAATGAAGACAAGGACACTATACAGGGACACTACACAGGGACACTGCACTAATAGTACTTTTCATAACACTGCCCATTCTTTATTGGTATAAAATAATTAAATAAGTGATTGACCGCACATCAAGCATCAAGCAAATGTATTTTTATTGGTGATTATTACTTGAATTCTTTCTATTAAATACAATATAATGAGTTCATAAAACTAAACTATTTTAAGATATATATTTAATTTACCATGACAAGTGTTTGTCTGTGTTTGATTAAATTTTTTTTTTTATTATGGGTGGACATACAAACACATAAACATATTATATGAATGAAACTGTTGTTAATTGCTACTGTTCATGAGTTATGAATGCTTTATATATTCACATTTATAAATATGATAAATCTTTGAAACGCATAAAATAAAAAGATTTAGATTTATTTAAGATGTTAATACATTTGTAATACACAAAAAATAGAATTATTCTCAGAATTCATGCATCTTGTCGATGAGTGTATTCTTTATTGGACTCTGATTTCACCTTAGTAACAACCTTTCTGACATATGAAAAACTTTGTAGTGCCACAATTTTTGGCTGATGTACTTGTGAGCTGATTTGAGACATCATACTTCAGTGTGTAGCAATATGTGCCACCAGAGGTTCCGCTACCACTACTTTTTCCTCCTCCCGAAGATTTACCACCCTCTCCTCCTCCTAAAGATTTACCACTTTTTCCTCCTCCCGAAGATTTACCACCCTCTCCTCCTCCTGAAGATTTACCACCTTTTCCTCCTCCCGAAGATTTACCACCTTTTCCTCCTCCCGAAGATTTACCACCTGTTCCTTCCGTAGTATCATTAATAAATTCATAACATGTAGCTGCAAAAAATAAAACATTAATTGTTTGAGAGAAATGCAAGAACTGCAAAGAAAAAATTCATTGTTCAAAGCTCTCTATCTATTACAGAGAGGGTAATTTATACAGAAGTCGGTTGACTATGTGCAGAGGAAGGGTATCTACTAGGGACAGTTGTTCACTAGAGAGTGTTCACTAAGGCAGGGTTTATACTGTACTTAGTAAGTAAAGGGAAATTAAAGGTGTTTTATTTTATAGTGTATATTTTATAGGGGTTTTAAGTAATTCTATTATACTCACGGTCACATGCAAAAGAGTATTTCACATATGCAGCACAAGACCAAAAGTATCTGTTCTGAATATATCCTAGAAAATAAAGACATAAACAGACCATATATTTTGGGAAAAAATTTTTTTGGGTTATTGAATTTGATTAATATTTTTATCTATATAGTTTAGATCAGCTATGTCAGTTCTGCACTTTCGCAAAACATTTTGAAAAACAATTTTGTCACAGTTCAACATTTAATAGAAACGTTTAAGATTTTGAATAATGTATTATACCATAAAATGTTTATTCACATAAAAATGTGAAAAATATGATCTACTCAATTATTGATAATCATAATCATGAAAATTACATTAAAAATTTCATCATGTGGATCTATCTGAAAGTCTGGGTTTTCCACTAAAGAGATTCATTTAGTAACCCTAGGTTACTTAACCCTAAACAAAAATGTTCACACTTACAGTACCTGAAAAAAAGATACTTTTAATTTTGACATTTTGATGACCTCCGGAGACCATCTTCAGAAAGTTTTGCTTTTAAAATTCTTTTTTGGTAAGTGTGAGAAGATTTTCGAGTTGTCTGATAAGTATTATGATGATAATGAGGCTATCAATAACAATTACCTGCATTCGAGATAAATTGATCAATATCATTATAGCAAGCATCATTGTTCCAGCGAACAAGATGTGCACCCTCCATCTGGCATATTGCCTCTGCTTGACTCCATGTTGCTTCAAATGTATCATAAATCTTCACACAGCCAACCTTTAATAAAAATTGGTGTTTCATATTTCATTAATTATCGACAAAGCCAACCTTTAACTAAAATTGATGTTTCATATTTTTTCACACAGCCAACCTTTATGTTTGATGTTACAGGGTGTCTAAAAAAAACAGGACCGTAAGAAAGTTGAATAACTCGGTCAATTTTGCATATTTTGCCTTGAAATTTCAGAATTATTTAGTTCATTCAATGTGAATTTTGTTGTGAAAGTTTGATAATAATATACTAATTGAGTCAAAAACTACAGCTCCTTACAAAACATGCCCCAAATGTGCAAATCTCATCTCTATGCACAATTCAATCCGGCGAACAAAGTTGTTGATGATCCTCCTACACACATGCCTTTCTGAATAAACAAGTTTGTTCCAAGGACATTTGCTACTGGGGCTTACATCCTCCTGATAAAGTGTTACAGCATCCATTGCATTCTGAACAATGCACTGCCTGGGTGGCAATGAGGAAACATGGAATCATCAGTCCCTTTTGGTTCGAAGGTGACTGGGGACTTGCTATCACCATGAACAAGGACCAGTAAGTTCTCACCAAGTTTTGGAAGTCACTAAGCACCAGAAGGGACATCTAAGGAGATAATTAAGCAGTGGTTTCAACAAGCCAATACCACCCCAACACTGCAAATGATATGCTGAAATGGTTTAGGCAATGCTTTGGTGGTCAGCTCATCAGTTGCAGAACGCAAACCATATGGGCAGCTCATTTGCCTGATCTAAATCCCCCAAATTTTTATCTTTGAGGATTTCTCGAAGCCAATGTGCATACTGACAGGCCCCTAACAATCTTAAGAGGGCAATAACTACCCCAATATTTATCATCCACATTAATGTGTATAGGTAGGGGTCATTAACAACTTTGTTCGCAGGATTCGTTTGTGCATAGAGAGAAGTGCCCACTTTGAGCATGTTTTGGAAAGGACTGTAGTTTTTGACACAATTAACAGATTATCATCAAACTTTCAGAACAAAATCCACATTGAATGAACTAAATAATTCTAAACTTTTTTACGGTCCTGTTTTTTTTGGACACCCTGTAAGAACAATATATGCGATACTAAAATTGCTCCAACCATTGAGTAATTGGAGCAATTTTAGCGTCTCATATATTGTTCTTAACACCAAAAAATTGATGTTTCATATATTTTCACACAGCCAACCTTTAACAAAAATTGATGTTTCAAATATTTTCACGCAGCCAACCTTTAACAAAAATTGATGTTTAATATATTTTCACGCAGCCAACCTTTAACAATAATTGATGTTTCATATATTTTCACGCAGCCAACCTTTAACAAAAATTTATGTTTTACATATTTTCACGCAGCCAACCTTTAACAAAAATTGGCATGCAGCCAATTAACCTGTAAAATATTCTTTAGTACATCTACACCCAACCTATAACAAATATTTGTATTAATTGTAAATTATCACTTTACCATACATCATTATATCTCATGCATGTATATATATTTTATGCGGAATAATATACTATATATATAGTATGTATGACGGTTAAAATTCATAAATGTAAATAGTTGCTTTTCTTGTCTATTTATTATCATATTAGAATCATAACAAAGACCTCGATTTTATGATTTATGTCAAATATATGACCTCAAATTTTATTCCGACCATTGCCAAAGACCTCAATTGTACGCGATTTCGGTCTTTTAACAATGAACAGAATAAAATATATTTAAGGAATAAAGACAGAGATTTTATGATTTATAGCGTAATATATGACCGAAAATTGAATTCCGTTCATTGTTAAAAGACCAAAATCGCGTAGCGATTGAGGTCTTTGGCAATGGCCAGAATAAAATTTTCGGTCATATATTACGCCATAAATCATAAAAAGAGGTATTTGTTGGGACTCTTATATGATAAATAGACAAGAAACACAACTATTTGCAATCATAAATTTTAGTGGTCATACATACTCCAATATAGACCAGTAAATTAATTGTTCTTGGCCAGAATAAAATTCGAGGTCATATATTTGACATACAGTAAAACCTGTATATCTGAACACCTGGCTAATCCGAACACCTTCCAATTTGAACACTTTTTTTCGGTCCCATTTTTTCCTCCCATTGACTCCCATGTTAAAAAAACCTTGAAATCTGAACACCTCCTAATTTGAACAGTGAACAACCAGATTTGAAAAAGTGACCTGTCTAATCTGAACATTTTTATCAGAAATCAAATGTCTGGACATATCAATTAAAGCCACATATTGAGTCAATGTTATAGTTGTTATTTATCTTTACATATATACAAATGCAATCAAAGAACCAATTGTCCTAATAGACTAGATGCGAGTAGAAATGATCTTGATTTACGTCATTAAATATTCAAAATTCAGTCAAAGTGATGTCATATTTGAAATCTACATGTAAAAATACATCTAAAAATATGGTTTCGAAAATTATTTATCAACTTTGAAAATTTAATCTTTTTTGAAAATGTGACTTCTAGTTCGGGTTGATTCCCCATAGACTCCATATTAAAAAATCACAAAAAGTGAAATATATTTTCTTGTATTAAACATATAACATTTTCTTTTACTGGACATACTTAAATTTGCATAACTATTCGATACATAAGGGCTATATGAAAATTGAACCACTAAAACAGATGTAATTTAAGTTAAAGGGAACTTTCTACTATACCCGCCATGCTATCTGACCCGAGCGAGCCACTTGGTGGTGAAACTGGTAACTACCTACTCGCATTTGCGTTATTAACTTATTTAGTCTCAGTGACATCCCTAATTTGTGGAAAACAACAGGATGTTTTGGAAAGGTGTGAATACAGGAGTTAATTGGTTTATCCTATTAGAAAAGAACTGAATGTTTTATTTTTGGATTAAGAGAAAGGTGTGAATCAAGAAGATAATTGATTTATCATTATTGTAAATTACCTGGATGTTTTTGATTTGGATTAAGAGAAAGGTGAGAGTCTGGGAGATAATTGGTTTATCCTTATTGTTAATTAACTGGATGTTTTTGATTTGGATTATGAACAGGTCTTAAATGTTTTATATCCCATGGGTCTGTTATGATAGCTAAGATTCAATCAGTAAATGTTTTATAATCACAAAGACAACACAGACGCCATTTGCAGACACGATTATCACGAGAAGGACAAAAATCCAACTTCGTAATATTTGCATACATCTGACATCCTGAATGCCCTTGATATTTTGAAGGATTATACATCATCTCGAATGAACACTCATGAAAAATTATTTTTACTTGAAGAGGATATCTACTCAAATATTGCTAATGCTAAAAGTGCGAAGAAACAAACAACAATGAAGGACTTTTTTCAAGCAAAAGTAAAGCAGTGCTATATAACCATAATATGGGATAAGCCATTTGATAAGCATAAGATTTCGTACGAGACTATCATATACTTTTACAGTGTATTACAAAGTTTTTGCCAAAATATAAGAGTTATTTTTACTAAAATGATGAAATTGTTCAAAATATAAATAAAACATAGCATATAGGCTATAGGCCTATTGTAGAATTAACTCATCAACAACATGTATCGTTTTCTGACTTAGTATTAAGTGTTCAATATAGTGCACTGAACAATGAAAATCCCGCCCCCCCGACCAACAAAATCCTCGAAACTTGAACACCTGCCAATTTGAACGCTTTTGGCTGGTCCCATGGGTGTTCAGATTAGACAGGTTTTACTGTAAATCATAAAATCATAAGATTTTGGTCTTTATTCCTGAATTCTAATATGATATGTGACGTCACACTAGCTAGGACAATTGATTTACTGGTCTTTATTGGAGTATTTATGACCACTTAAATTCATAAATGCAAATAGTTGTGTTTCTTGTCTGTTTATCATATTAGAATTGTAACAAAGACCTCAATTTTATGTTTAATGTCAAATATATGACCTCAAATTATATTCTGGCCATTGCCAAAGACCTCAATTTTCGGTCATATATTACGCCATGAATCATAAAATCTCGGTCTTTATTCCTTAACTAACAAGCCAAAAGGGTTGCTCATGAACACCCAATGCAAGATATAGTAGAGTGATATAGGTTATTCCAAACTAGATTTTGTCTCAAAAATTGAAGTTTCTTTTTGAGCTGTCACACTGAGTAGTTCACTGTTTGCCACTACTTTGAGGCAGAATGTGGGTTACAGCATGGGTACAAGGTGGGCAAATCAAATAGTTTTACAGAAAGATATCCCCCACCACATCAATACAAGTTCAAATAATTAACCAAAATTAATTGTTCAAATTGCCACAGGATGGTGAACGGTGAGCCCACACAGCTAATGTGACTGCTACTTTATGTAAGAAACTTAGTCAATATTCACCTGATTGCCACATCTGAGGCAGTTTGATCCAATATAGGTATATCCATTAGCACAACTACATCCTGTGAAAAGATATTAATATATCAGAATTATGTTACAATAATTTTTCATCTATTGCAATTAAACACATAATTAATTTTAGCGCCCCAACTGACACAAAATTGAAATGGTTACTGGGAGATGAGGCATACATCTTTGGGGGGCACGAATATGGTGTTTTATTCGACTCTTTAGTAAAAAGCTTTTTAAATAAGATTTTAAGTAAATATTAACATACCTATGTTTTAATTCTTTTTAAGACTCATTTTAGTTTGATAAAATGTTGTTTTTAACCAACATGGCATTTTGGATATTTTCGATTAGATGCACCTTAATGTAAGAGTGCCACTGTTAAAAAAGTGTATATCTAAATAAATAAATAACCAAAAATTACGTTGTTCCAAAATAGTGCCTGGTTTTATAAAGGATATAACCCTTTTCAAGTGCTGGACTCTTTGAATAAGAGAATGACATTATATTAGAAGATAGTCAGAGGGTGTTTGTATATGGGTCTTTTTCAAAAGTTCGTCACTTTCTTTGTTCCAGAAAATTGCCTTTAAAAGATAGTTTAAGTGGAAATTACGAAATAACACAGCAAAATGTAAAAAATCTAACGTGCGTGACGTTTTTGATGAAATCAACAGTTACTTTTGTAATACAGACGATAAAATACATTTAAGTCTCTCAAACTGTGTAAATGCATATGACAAAAAAATCGTTTGTCGATATTTCATGAATTTATGCATTTAAGGTTTCTCAGCTAATTTTCAATAAGCTAACGTGCGTGACGTTTTTAAATATCTGCGTTTTTCATCTGCTATCCTGAGTTTCTCATATAACATGATATATTAGGAATAAATATGTTTTCACCAATCTAAAGCTTTAAATAAAAGTTTTACCCTTGTAAGTTTTGTGTCATAAGGCATTAAGCAAGGTTTTTACTAAAAACTAACGTGCGTGATGAATTGATTGTGTTGACACGAAATATGTTAAACTCAATAATAAGTGTACATCTTAGTGATAAAGTAACAGCAGTCGATTTCTTAGTGTATAATACATGTTATACCTTGTCAAACATCATACGTATTATATTTTTAAACTGGCAAAATATGGATATCCGATTAATACAATGGTTTAGGACTTATTTCAACCACAGAAGTAAATTATTCTATAACGTACAGTATCTTGCTTCATGGTCATTCCATTTCCCCAGCAGGATACGTTACAATTAACATTAATAGCTTTCCTCAAATTATTTAGTTTGAAGAATGACATAGCGATATATTGTTATGTGTATTCATTATTTTATTCAAGAAAATGTTTGCTTGAATTCTATGTGCGTGACGATTTTAAGTTGACACGATTTTAACAATAACAATAGTAAAATGTAAATGTAATAACAATAATAACTATAACAATAATAACAATAGTAAAATGTAAATGTAGTAACAATAGTAAAACAATAGTAAAATAATAACAATAACAATAGTAAAATGCTAATGGACTTCATGAGACCAACATATCTTGTAACTGGCACAAAACAATTACTTTGAAAATGTAACAACCACAAGGTTAACATTAAGACGGTAATCTATCTACTTACAACTGACTACAATACAATACAGTTACATTTTAAATAGCACTGTTTGAATTTTATACATTTTATATCAAAACCAGTGGAAATTTAAGTTACTATTGACATTTGATCATCATGATGATCGGGATTTTAATTCAGGCTCCTCAGGTTTTGATTTTTCTTCCCTCACAAAAGTTTATCAAATTCTGACAAATTGGAAAAAAGCCTTCCAAACTTAAATAAGGAGCGTGTAACTGATAACAAGAACAGTGAAATGTGACAACGTTTGTACACTTGAATGCTAAAATTGGACTATGAAAGTCATAAAGGTTCAATAATGTTCATCATAAATGTTCATTTGTCGGTGCCATGGTTCCACATTCTCTCAGTAAGTCAGAACCCATCTCTGCCCAGCTTCCTTGGCCTGGAAAGTAATGTCATAAAATATTGACTTCATTTTCATTTATGTTTTATGGCTATTTCATAACAGGAGAAATATAAGGCATCGTACAGATCAGGAGTAATTGTTATCCAATTATTCAAATTACTGTGTACAAACCTGGTTCCAAAATTCACTTCTCCTTATTTACACATTTGTGGCACGTAAAGTGCATTTGGTCGATGTTTCCGTATCTCGCACATGACTCGTGGGCCCATCTCTTGCAGCTGGTACACATAATCTATAAGTAATGTACGGAACAATTAGGAAATATCAGAATTTTAATTTTTGTGTCAAAGTAACCAATGCAGTAAAATTCCCTGTGTTATTTATATCATATAATGGACTTTCACGATGGAACTGTTGCTTGGAAATAAAAATTAAAGGATTATCAATATTGAGAATGTAACAATTACTTTACATACCCATTGTTCTCGTTTCTTTGGGTCCCTCATATCATTGTATTCAAAATCACATTTCACACACTTGTTTTCATCGTTCTCTCTCAACACGGATCTCGGCTTTTCCTTCACACCTTGCTGTGCATCGTCTCTAGGCTCTCTAGACTGGGTTCTCGCATTTCGATCACGTTTTGTCTTGGCTTTTTTCACTGGTCTTGTATTCTCCTGATTTGTCAACTTTAGGCTTATATCACCTGACCAACCATTCACCGCACATTCAGCTGTTGTTTCGCCTGTGGTACAAACCTTGCAGAAGCAAGAGTACTCTCTCGTTTGGACCACCTGTGGCATTATACCTCTGACAGCGTGGAACTTTCTTGTTCCCTTTAAAGTTTTTACATTTGTTCTGTTTGATCGAATCCTGTTTCTAACAGTTTCCTCTGAAGGAACATAGAAGAAGGTTCTCCTGTATTTTTCACAGCTTTCTTTGTTTTCTTTTTCTGGCTTCGTTTTTGTTTTTTCGAGAAAGTTACAGAGTTCATGAGCATTTCGAATGACTACTTCTCTTGCTTTCATTGCCCTCGATGCAGCACTTTTGCATACTGCACTTTCGCCATCGCTCGGACTCTTGCCGTGTCTGGAGCCAAAATAGTGTTTTTCTGTGATAATACCATAATCTTCAAGGCTATAGCTTGCATCGGCAAAGGATGTCTTGCATTTGTACTGTGAACTGCAACCATCGGTGAAGTGTATCATTCGTTTGACTTCAACATCTCTGTTTTTCTTGAGATGGTCAATGGCCTTCTCAACAAAAACTCTAACAGCGTGAGAATCGTGCTTAAGATCGTTAGTGATGAATATCAAGGCCTCCGTCGTAATGTGATTTTTACATTGGGGACAATTATAGTATGTGACAATAGGGTGAATGGTGGCTTGCTCATGCTGCCAGTGAGCAGCCTGGGCCTCGTCCTGAAACACGCAAAGATAATTTTGAGCAAAGTCCATGCACATTACAAGCCAAAGAGGTGGCAGCTCCTCAATAAGCTTCGAAAATTGTGTACTTTGCCATTTTGCCGCATAGAGATGTTCTGAATATGGCATCAAGTCGGATTCAAGGTCTTTCAACAACTCACTCATTTTTACAGTCTTCTTTACAAGTCCTTTCTTTGTTACATTTTCGCCTTTTTTGTTCTTGGATAAACAGTTTTGCCAGACGTTATAATTTATAGATTCATTGAGGTATGGCTCAATTGGCTTCAGTTGACTGGTCATCATAGTTTTGACCCCACATTCTTCACAGGAGCGCTGAACACATGTTAAGCTTTCTGCTGAACAAACTGTTGCTTTGCTTAGCTTATATTTATTTTGTATTACTTTACCAAGGTGTTCATCCTTAATAGAATGATTGCGGACGAATGACTGTATGGCTTTGATTTTTAGTTCAACGTTAGCACAGTATTCACAGTTCTTTTGTTCTTCATAACGTTGTCTTCGTCTTTCTAATATTCTTCGTTTCTTTTGTGAGCTCATGTTTAACCTTTCCTGCCTTTTCTTCATCACCCAATATTCACGTTTCTTCATTTGTGTCATCAGTTCATTAAAGCGATATGACAAATCTTATGAGTCTATATTCCAAGTGCTACATATGAGGTGTCAAATGACAAACATCTCCTAAGCTTATTCCATTGATACCTAGGGCTGTATTGAACGTCGAACGTGACGAAGCATCAAGTCCATAAACGCATTAATTTTACTATATTCGGGTTCTACAAGCAACGTGTTTTTGTTGGGAACTGAATATATGTTGAAAGCAATACAAGTTATGGGGAAAATATGTCGAATTATACGAAATACTTACGTCTTCTGCTAGCCAAAATGGCCTCAGCCGGGACGAATCTAAATTGCGAATGGTCTATGTGGAACGAAACTGTAGCAATTTCTATCAATGCAATATCATTTATGGAATAAATAGTCTAAATAGTCGATCAAAGATCATTTATATAATTCAAATAACCATGCATAAAGAATTTGTTTTCAGTGAAGTCGAGAAGAATTGAGTCCATCTGAACCGACGCTCAATCACTTTGTCCATTGGTGTCAAACGTCACGCACGTTAGAATTTTGTTGTAGTTCTATTCTATTTTCTGCATACAATAATTGACGAAATTTTCTGAACTGTGAAACTGAGATTAGTAAAAGCAATAAAAATCAGTGCTTGGCACTCCTGACAAGACTATTGACATAACCATTAACATAAGGACAAGATGTACATCTTTTATAACGTGCGTGATTGCTTGACACGAACACTTCTATCACATAAATTAAGCTATGGTGTCAAAAAACAGATTAATGACGAAAACAACCACAATATTTGCTGATTCCAGATGAATGTTCCCTTTCTTACATTTAGGTGTGTGTGAAAATCGTTTTATATCAACGAGAAATTTAAGTAATTCGTTAATGCGAGAGTATGACACGATAAAGGACTACATGCGTGGCGGATTAATGTGCGTAACGAAGTTTGACACCAATCTTCGAGCAACTTATAAAGACCATATTGCCGCTTCAGAGTTGAAACTTACCACTGGATCTATAACATCTCGTAAATGTGTAAATAAAATACAATTTCATTTACACATGTGATCGCGTATTTTGTATGAAAATAGGCTTTCTAACGTGCGTGACGAGTTTGACACGAAAAACGATAATGCACGCAACTGAGCATAAAAATTATTTTCCATATATACTTCATATAGCATTGAACACAATGAGAGCTCGGTGTATCCTCTTTTCGAAAAAACACTCATCTGACTTTTTGTAAAAATAATCAGCCTGGAGCTCATGAATAACGTGCGTGATGGTGTTTGACACCATGCATCACGCACGTTAGTTCTAAATTGACATTGTCTTATTTTTCGAGTATGGTAGATTTATTATCTGAAAACAAAATGATTCACATAGATAACCTATGTAGACTTGTGGCAACACATTTTTCCGCCTCATTTCCAGAAAGAAAGATCCAGGGGATGTATCTCTGATGTACCCCCCAAAATTGCTTAAAAACTGCAAAAACAGCTGGACACGAAGCCCAAAAAAGTGAATAACTTCAACAAATTTTAACATTTTCACCTGATATTATCCTCAGTATCTTTTTTACCTCTACTGAGTTGAATAAAATAATCGTTTTTGGCTATACTTCTCAAAATGTTGAGATATCGAGCATGTAATATTTGAACTTTTGAGTGACGAACTTTTGAAAAAGACCCATATACTGTAAATTGTTTGGCTTAAAATTGACTCTTGCAAGTTGGGATCATTGGATCACTGGAGTCAAGACAATTACTTATGACCCTCAGAGCATAAGTAATTATAGATTTCTGTTTATTATTAGAACATTATTTCATTGAAAAAATAGAGGGTAGAATGGCTAGCCTGCACAGTGCAATATTTCCACTAAATGTACATATACAAATACTCACCACCACCTCCACAACTTGTGTCTATTCCAGCTGGGTTTGAACCAACAAAAATGTGATCTATAATAAGAGTTAGATAGGCTGGTGTCCATGTCATTGGATTTGACTCATATACCCGAGCTGGGTTATAATTCGACATCACCGCCACCTATAAAAAGTGCCTTGGGTAAGGGTTGTTGTATTTGAATAACATAAACCATTAATAAGCATGAACTTTCAAGTTAGTAACACTTAATCCAGAAAGTTCTGAATACGTACTTCTTTTGAAATTTTAAATTGCCTATCCAGCCTGATGTCTTTCCGACTAGGCCACAGGAGGTGCGCATATGTTTAAGGGGTTCTGTCTCTAAAACTTATAATTAGATGGGTGGGTGCTATTATAGTCGTTTTAGGATTAGAAATAGGTATTGAGCCTTCTTGAATGCTTGTAATACAAATACACTACATAACAAACCTCTGTATCCATCTGTTGCTGTGTGGCCGTGGCAGCTGATCCAAAATCATTTTGAAGTCTAACTACAATTATTGGTATATTAGCAGCCACTGGAATTGAAAGATACATCAAATGATTGAGAAGTTAATGTTGCAGTATAGTTCAACTTATATAGAGTGAGCATTATTTGCATAGAAAATACATTGACTGTAAAGGTAGATAATAACTGAAGAAAGTATTTTACTGCAATGACCTCTAATATAAATGATGACTAATTTAACAGTTATACAGAAGAAAATGTCCAGAGAAGAATTAAAGGTGACTAATAAAAAATTGAACATTGAAGAATTCGCCAAACAAAATACACATAATGATAAAGTTGTATGTTTTATTGCATATCAAAACATAATAAACTGAATATACTCACAAAGTTCTCGAGCCCTTAGTAGTGTATCCTCATGTTTATGATGTGGATAAGTTGCACCATCAGTGGCGATACATAGAAATTTTTTATTATTAGGCCTGCCAAATGTTTCAAATTGGATTTTAGCTTCTTGTAGAGCAAGATACGTTCTTGTGTTTGAGTTCAACTTATCAGTAGATATAGCGGCAATTTGCGCATCTATGGCAATTTTAGTTCTGTGGTATTGTAAATCAACTGCCTTCACCACTGTTTTTCCAAACAGAATCACGCCAAAAAGTGAATTTTGTTGCAGTTCCCCAATGCCAGTGTATTCTTGGAGAAAGAAAGATGATGAAATAAACCACAAAGGAAATAATGATACAGAATAATGCCATATATTTCTGATGGTCATATTTTCTTTATGTATAGGCTACATGCTATTTACCCTTAAAGTCAGCAGAAACGTTTGCTTTTGCATTGTATTCAAACTGACTGTCCTATGTGTCTTATATTATATATAAATACCTTCCAACCTGTTGACCATCATTTGGGCACCATCTTTAAGGATTTGCCTGGATGCATCAGATATACTTTCGCTAAAGTCTGCTATATATATAACATCCAAACCACACTCTAGAATAGAATGAGTTGCACCAATGTTAGAATACCAGTGTGTACCATTATAAACAATATCATTATTAATAACATTTGAAGTGGGCATGATGATTTGTTTTTTTTAAATTTTACTGAATTCAATGAATAAAAATCTGTATCATGCATTCTGTACATTTTCATATTTTATACGAGTCAATCTTTATCTAAAACTTGTTCTCTCTTCCTGAGATAGTAAAGGTGTGTACTAATTTTGGTTTTCCTTGTAGATTTTAAACAGTTTTAATAATTAAAAAATCGATTTTTGTCACTCACGTGCTTTCGTGTCATGGTACAATCCGAGAAGAATAACACCAAAAAATACAGCACCTTTTTCAAACATCTAAACCAAATTAAGATGTTTAATCGATGTTAGCATATTTTACATCTTTCTTTGTCGTGATGTGAAATAAACGTAATCTGGCTTAAGTACTTCCGGCTTTACAAGTTTGAAAAGTTCAGTTTTACTTCAATTTACGCTCTATCATTGTATTGTATCGTTCGTATCGTATCGCGAGGTCAGTATCGTAGATACGTATCGATATTAAATTTCTCGTATCGTGGTACCCCTAGTTACTATGTGTCAAATACACCAATATCTGATGAATAATAAAATATAAAATAGTGCAATTTATTTTGAAAAGTTTGATACATTTATCAATTATAATATGTACCTTGTTTTCACTCGACATTTTCTTACTGAGAATATAATCCAATTAAAATTCCAATATTTGTTAATACAGGTAATTATTCAAATATATAATTCAAGTATATTTTTCAGAATATTTTATAATCAAACTTACCTTTCTTTTACTTTAAAATATGTTCTGCACTTCTACGTTTCCTGAATTGTTCCCCAATTATAATACCTGAATACACCATATATATTTAATAGGAATGTTTTATTGTTATTTATATGTTTATATTATGTCCACATTAATAATTCCTTTTAATGGCAATGGTCTTATTTATTCATAATAATGATATTTTGAATGAATTATGTTCAAGATAACACTAAAGGTCAAGGGAATCACAATAATTGAGATTCTCAGACAACAAATTCATCTTCAATTTCTAGGTGACATTTTGAGGTCAAGGTCATTTAAAGGTATACCTATTTCTTTTGAAGATTGGTAAAGTCTTCAAAGAGGAATCTATCCTGGTATAGAACTTAATTTTCACAAATTTTCTGAAATACATATTAGAGGCAACCAAAATTTTCAGAACGGTTGTGGTTACGCTAAAATCGTTCGTTTCATTAAGGAACCTCTAATCTAACCAAAATGAGGATTTAAGCAAAGATGTATTGGGATTTCTTGTTGTTATGTCAATCGTGTTAAAGAAAAAATATGAATTGAAAAATACCATAAAGATACAAATAGATTTAATGTTACCCTCAACAGAAGAGGTTTTTTACTTCAATATGTAATAAAATTTGGTCTATTTGGAAATTGAATTGCTAAAATCATCATTTTCTCAGAAGAGTCAGGTTGGTTTAGCCTCAACGAATAGAAATATGTTACTGGGGATATCTATAGCTTTTGGTTACCTCTATATTGAATCTTGTGTAAATTGTAGTCCAGTTGATGTTAATGCAGTCATTTTAAGTTTGTACAAATAATGAGATCAATCAGATACAATAAGAGATATATGTAATGTATTTTGTAAACACTTCAGTGTATTGATGCCAGATTTTACCATTTAAAAAATCTTGAACATAAATTTTTTATCAAAGAGCAATATTTTAAATTGCTGTGTAATGATGCCATACATCCAATTGACCGATTCATTCGTTATTATCGTCCATTAAACAATCAGTTAATTGATTACAATATAACTATTTTTTCTAAAGGTTATGAAGTCATGCCCAACACAGCGTGTAAATATTGTTAAAGAACAAGAATCGGGTCAACGTTTTAATGAGCGGTTTCAAATTATATTCATTTTATTGTACGATGTAAGGTTGGGATGATATGTTTAAACCAAATGCTTTACATTATTGTTTTTAAATAGAAAAGTTATTGTGTTTTTATTATTATTTTATTTTTACAATTTCTTGATTGTTTTATTCAACTTGGGTCAGGTCAGCAGTATGAAAAGGATCACAGAGATTTTGCAATTTTATATTAAACAATATCAAGTATCAATGTGTGTTCTATGTAATATATCAGTAAAAGCTATAGCTGTTTCACAACATCTATACCAGAAATTAAATAATTATTAAACAGTATCAGCCATCCCAAGAAAATTAAAAAGTGTTATTTGGACATTGGTATTCTCTATGCATGCTAATGAGTCAAAGGAATCAAATCCCAAATACTACTTAGTTTGAATTTAAGGAATATAGTATTTCATAAAGTAGGTTAAAGGTATGCCATTCATGAAGGACTAAATAGTAGCGTTTACTTTATTTTCGTGCAGTATATTGTGTACATACAGTACACGATGGTATTCGAATGATAGATTTTGAAGGAAAATATGATTAATAATACTCTTTTTATTTTTCTACAGATGCAGTAATTGTCATCAAATGTGCATCTTATTTCAGTTTTTTTTCACCTGAAGGCACCCAAAACCTGTCTTCTACTGCTAGCTAAAGTCAAAATACAAGATTTGAAGAGAATTGGCTATTTTAGAAATATGTCCATTATTTATTTCTAGGCTACTGACCTTGGGAGTCTGCCCCTACAAAATCTACTAACCTCTACAGCTAAAATTAAAATGCACATCAAGAATATAACTGGTTATTTTGAAGATTTTTCCATTATTTTTTGTAGGCTACTGACCTTGGGAGTCCGCCCCTATCCTCTAAAGCTAACATTACAATAAAAATTCTGAATGTCAATGAGGCTCCCGTGTTCTCACACAGAGTCTATAATGCCTCAGTTGATGAGACGTTCCCAGGCGGGACAAGAGTTCAGGTAGATCCTGGAGTGACGCAGGATTATGCTAGCGATCCTGATAAGGACACTTTGCTTTACATCCTCACAGGTATGCAAAACCTCTGTAAGTGGAACACCTATGTGTCTAAATGGAACACCCTCATCTATAAAAAGTGTTCCACTAAGGAGGTGTTCATTTATCATTAAGTCAATTGGTCATGAGACTTTAAAGTGTTTCACTTACAATGTAGGAGGTGTTTAACTTACTTTTTTCTAAACGATTATTTCTAAAAATCCAAAACTACTGTCCATATGTTTTAGCATTAGCATTACTTTCTTTGAGATTTGAAAGAAAGAATAGACATTAACTACTAAGATCTCGATCTCTCAGTATTAAATACTTAAAAATGAAAATCTTTTGAGAAGAGCCCATAATGATGTGCAAACATATTTATTTTAATTTGCTACTTCATGGTCTATCTTGTAACTAATTGTATTTGATGCTTCTAAGAATGTGTTATTCATAGGATTTGCAATTGATATGTCCACCAGATCATGTTTGACTTCATTCCTTTGTTGTGTTTTTATAGAATCCAATCCAGAATCGGCACTGCTATATTTCGTGATTGACCCCATGAGTGGAGGATTGTCAAAGACAAGTCGTAATTTGAGTGACTTTGCCGACACAGAGGTACAGCTGCATGTCCAAGTTGTGGAGATCAGTACAGAGGTAAAGTGTTAAAATGTGCAAACTATAGTTTTAAACATTTTTGTCAGGTTGATTCAAAATTATTGAAAGATTGGAAAATATCTATTTTTAAAAAAGCATAAACATCCTTATGTATGTGATAGTACTGTGTACTAAGCTCATGGTCATTATGCTGTTATGAAATTTTCTGTTTCAGGAGCTCTTATATGATAATGCTACCATCAATATTAAGATTGAGGATGTTAACTCTGCCCCTGTGTGTGACGTGCCCAGCACACCATTCATTCTTAGCCCTATAGCTCCAGTAGACTCTATGATTGGCCAAATTTCCTGCAACGATTCTGATGTGAAAAGCAATTTCAGAACTTTGACATATACATTAGGTAAGTGGGTTTTGTAATGATTTTGTCAATAATTCTTCTAAATTAACTTTTACCTCAATGAATCTGACAAAACAACAACCAAATATCTGTTGTAGACACATTTAACACTTTGTAGATGTGATAGTTTTTTGACACTCATCTTAGAAATTAAAAAACATTTAAGCAAACAAAAGATGTCAGCATCATCTTTAATCAGTGCACTAATATCACAAAAAATTGGTATTGATCAAATATTGGATATTCTCGATAAAATTGAAATTTTATAAATCAATCATTGCAAATTGTTATTATCATTTCAGTATAAGATTACCACAAAAAATAATTTCGATTTGAATATGTTATCATAGAAACATTTTTCTATTACAATATTGAGATTATGCTAGAAATAATGCATGTAGTTAAATAGTGAAACGTGTTTCTTCAGAATAGTTTTAATCAGTGATAATATTTCTCTTGATGGATCAAGAATGATGGATGGTCACAGATGAATTTAATATTCGGATGTGATGGACAAACTATTTGTAGGGCACCAGCATTTGCTGTGCCTAAAATTGTTTCAAATTAGATATATCATCTTCTTGAATGTAGTTGAATGTCTGTGAGGCTCTAATGCTTTCATAGGCATTTATATTTAAATGCAGAGCTGTATCTTAAAGATTCAATGTACATTTTGTGTTACTATCCCAATGACCAAAGTTTGATAGGGATATAAAGAAGCCCTCCATTTATCTGTCCATCTGTCTGTCGAAAGTAGTTGTATGCAAAAATATTTTTTCAAAATGGCTGCAAAATAGAAATGGTGGTAATTTTCAGGAGGAAGTGTTTAATACAAAATTAAAGGGTTGAGTATTACTGCATCGATTTTTTGAGAGCATATAAATATGATATCTCTGTTTAAGATAAGAATTTATGTTTTGGAACAATTTATTGATTGTTTTAATTTGCTACTCCATACATTTTTTAGTTATTTATTGATGAAGAATATTCAAAAACAACAGGATTCTATGTTTAATTGTTTCTCTTTTAGAAAATGAATATTTCTCCGTTGAATCAAATGGGCAGATACGGGTGAAACAAGCTGTTAATGTCAACATTGAGTCATACAGTCTTCAAGTTAGAGTGTCTGATCAGGCTGCTGAACCTCTGTCAACCACTGTCCAAGTACAAGTTGAAAGATCAAGTAAGTATAGTACATGGTAGTCAAATGTGTGTCAAGTAATACCTATGGTAGTCAAATATGTGTCAAGTAAGTGCATATGGTAGTCAAATGTGTATCAAGTAATACATATGGTAGTCAAATGTGTATCAAGTAATACATATGGTAGTCAAATGTGTATCAAGTAATACATATTGTAGTCAAATGTGTATCAAGTAATACATATTGTAGTCAAATGTGTATCAAGTAATACATATGGTAGTCAAATGTGTATCAAGTAAGTATATATTTTTACAGTGAACGGTTTCCTAAAGACTAACCTGTATTATTTGTTTGGAGCTTTCAAGACACAGCTGCTCCCTTCATCAGCATCATTTACTTCTGAAAAATGGCGGGAAAGCTCCAAGCAAATAATACAGGTTATAGGTCTTGAGGAATCCTTCACTGTAAACAATATAATCTAACCAATGAACATTTTCGGAACTAACTATATATGTATAGTCAAATGTAATAAAATATGTCTAAAGTATATGAAAACTTGTAAAGTGTCAGATAAAGTATACATGTAAATATTGCCTATTCATCCTGGTGTGGATAAACTACAAAATGAAAACCCCTCAACTAATGTGTTAGCCAGGAAGGTGTTGATAGAACATTGTGTATTGAAATTATTCATTACTATTGTGACAGTTTACTTAAGAAGCCTGTTACATATTGTTATATACTGTTACATTTTAAATTGGCCTTAAGTAGATTGCTACTGAATATTAATCAATTTCCAGTTTTTTTCATTGTTTTGAGGTCACGAGCTTTAAGACTTTTCAAATAAACTCACGATTACACTTTTAAGACATGCTGAAAATTTAAGCAAGATTCCTTAAAATCCGACAAAATGGGAGACCTAGTGTCATTACTTAGTGAACACCCTGTATAACCGTCTTCTGTAAGGTATGAAGATTATAACATATGATGAAGGTGTTTGCAATATTTTTTGTTTCAGGCACTGATGGGTTTGGAGTAAAATGTAGTGAAACTGACATAACATCAGAAATACAGGAAGACACATCAATTGGAAAATGTAGAAGCCATGATATACTATGTGTAAACCCCTTAGAAATTGGCAAACCAACGGAAATTTCCATTAAAGCTGACAATATGAGTCCAACATTTACTGTAGATCAAACTGTTCAGAACACAGGGGCCAGATCTTTCAATATCTGCCTTGGTGTGAACCTAGATTACAATTCAAGGAAAACATATTCTGTAAGTTATTTTTTGTCTCTTTATTGTTGGACTTTTCACATGTTGTAGAAATCTCAGATTCAGTCCTGTATTTAGCTTGTGGTTAATGTTTAAAAAATAAGGACTATTTTTAATTCTCAACATCATATCCACAATCTCTCCAGTTTTTCCTAAATAATCCTGATTTAACTGTTTTTATGCATTACATGTAAACATTAGACTGTTCTAATAGTAAAAGTAAAATTCAAATATTAATAACAATATTTTATAGTTGGAGCTAGTGTCAAGTAATGAGCTTGGAAGTGTTACCTTGGCGATAACCTACAACGTGTTGGATGTGAATGACCCCCCAGTATTCACCAAGGATGTGTACCAAGTCAGCGTCTCTGAAAAGGTTGACATTGGAGAAGAAATTCTACAAGTATCTGCTACAGATAAAGATCTAGGAGATCAGCTGACATATTTGGCTGATCCAGGTAACATCCTTTGTTTAAATATTTCATGGCTTACATGGTGAGAATATGGAATTAAAGGTGCAACAATTAGTGCAGAGGGGCCATTCAACGATCATCGACCAGTGTCAAAATATATTTAAGTTTGGATACTTCATCAAAACTAACATATGTTTTTATTTTCTACTAAGAAACCCCCTCGATGAACTCTATTTCAGCTGATATTCCTCTTGAAACGTGGTGGATCTTAAAAATCTATAAGTTGGACTCCCTTTTATAGAAGCATTGAACTGAATTTACATTTCTTAATGCTGAAATTGATAGTTTATCCAAACATTTTAAGAAAATAGGTATGTCAAAGAAGATGTTAAGCCAAATGTTGCCCTGATCGCTCAGAAAAGGTAAAAAAAAATTGAATTTTCTCTACAGTCCTTGTTGCCCCTTTAAACACTTGTCAACAATAAGATGGACATTTATATTAAGAAATGGCGGCACTATATAAATGTATGCATACAATTCATATTTCAAGTAGCAGTTGTATTTTGTGATAATCATTTCAGAATTAATTTTGCCATAATTTCTGTATTTGGACCAATTTACTTCCCACTTCGCAAGTTTACAATCACTTAAATAAGCATACAGTATGAAATGATCATATTATCATTTGCATTATTTGTATTTTTCAATCACTGTATTATTCATTTATTGTATTTTTCAGTAATTATATTATTGAATGATTGTATTTTCAGAATCATTTTTGTTGGAACATCTGTACTTGAACCAATCCACTGGTCAGATCACCAGTTTACAATCACTCAGTAATTTCACGGAGGAGACCATCCAATTCAGCCTCAGTGTTGTTGACGGGAGCGAAGCAGGGTCAATGACACAAGTTGAGATTACAATAGTTGATATAAATGATTCTCCTGAATGTGAGGCCCAACAATTTCAAGTGAACTTGACGTCACAGATTGGGTATATTTTGGCCAGATTGACCTGTACTGATCCTGATATCAGAGCCACCTATAGGAACTTAACATACAACATTGTTGAAGCAGAAGAGAGGGAAGAGGATAAAGGTGATTATTTACTTTAAATGGAATTAATGATTTTAAATGGATACATAGTTATGATTTTCTGACAATTTAACAAGACTGCATTTATATGGAAAATATAGGTAGTAATAATATGACGTATTAATTATGATTAAAGTAATAAATGGATCGTGGGGAAGGAAACTACTAAACTTATGCATAAACAATACATGGACATGTAAAAGTCTTAACAATAACAGTTTATGTCACACTTGACTGTATAGCACATTACTATATTTTTATCTATTTTAGAGTTTTTTGAAATCTTACCAAATGGAGACTTGGTTGTCTCTGAGCGACTGAGTGTCAACAAATCGCAATACCTCATCCAGTACTTCGCAACTGACCAGGGGGAGCCACCACTCAGAAGTCAATTAAAAAATATACTGATAAATGTCAACTGTGAGTACATAAGGGTTATGTACTGGGAGGTTTTGGATATGGGGTTTATCCAGAGGGAGATATGCATATCTACCTGAGGGACCGAAGGTAGATGTGCACATCTCACGACGGATGAACCCAATATCCAAACCGACCGTACATAACTACTTTATCCTATACCAAGTAGAGTTTTCAGGGGCATATGGCCATTTCAATAGTACAAAGTGTAAAAATAAACAAATCATTCATATGCAAAGTCATTTAATTGCATTACCGGAAGCGGGAAGATATGCACCGGAAGCGGGAAGATATGCACCAAAGCGGGAGATATGGCGGGAGATATGGAGGTTCTGGATATGGAAACCTCAAAATCAGGATACGGGATATATCTTACCAACTTATCTCCCTAAAACTCTACTTGGCATAGGATAAATATATTTATCTAGACCTTTTCTTAAATTGCTCTGAAATCTTGTTCAAGTCTCATTATGGTATTTTAAGAAAGCTGCATGATTTTCTAATTGTGCTATCTGCCAAAGCATTTCAGCTTCATCATTCAAGTTAGATTTCTGGTTGTGTCAAGAAATTATCAATTTGTACTTAAACTTTCATCCAAATCATTGTTTTTCGTACATGTAAAAGGGGACTTAGAAAAATGAGCCACTTATTTTGACCTTGGGAAAGCTTCTGGTAGATTACACGTAGGTGATCAAATTGATATATTCTTTCTTTAGCAATTTTTCAAACATTTCATACCCTTATAAAATCAAGATGCATGTGACATCTTTAAATAAATACAATACTTGGGATTATCAAGAAATGTCATGTTGTATATTAAAGTTGATAGAGAAAGTGATACATGTAGTTACATCCACATTTTTAGTGGTCAATCATCAACTATGTTATGTTATTTCCTTTTCAGTAATACCATCAGCCCCAGTTCTTCAGGTTGAGACTGTTAATGAGACAACATTGATTGCAAAATGGGACTTCTTCCCCCAGGACCACAAGTCCCTGGTTGTAGAGTACACTCTATTTTTGAACAATGCCAGGATTAGTGTAGAGTCACATTTGACATCTAAGGCAATCACAGGACTTGAGGCCAATACTTCATATACTCTTATATTGATAGCCAAGACTGCAGGAGGAGACAATGTTCAATCAAATAGGGTGACAGCCTCTACCGATGCTAGTGAGTTGATGGGCTTTTGGCTTTTTAAGCATACTTTTTTTTTGATTAGTATTAAAGGACTTCAACCTGCCCTGGACAATCATAAAATAAAAATTCACATAAATTCAGATGTGTGTAATTGGCTCACGTTCTCTAGAATTACCAAAGTAAGGCATCAAATACTGTTTATAAAGACATTAACATGGCAAAAATGAAATATGGTATGGTATTATATAAGGTAATTCAATTTGTTTCATTTAGAGTTTGATGATTGTGCCAGTGCACCATGTCTTAATTTAGTTGTGCTTTTGCTTTTGTGCTATTTATAAGGTAATATGATATTTTGCATTTAGGGTTTGATGACTGTGCCAGTGCACCATGTCTTAATGGGGCCAGCTGTGAGGATGGTATGAATACCTTCACATGTAGTTGTGCTTTTGGTTACCAGGGAACCACATGTGATTATTGTAAGTAAAATAAAATAATGGATCTGGATTGTTTGAGGTCTTTTAAGTAGAAAATAATTGAATCTGGTAGTGAGTAATTATGTCACCACCAAAAGTGGTGACATATTGTTATGGTCTCCGTTTTTTTTGCGACGGCGGTTGGTGGTTGGCGTCCGGCGGTTGGCGTCTGGCGGTTGGCGTCTGTAACAATTTCTTACAACTTCCTATAACTTAACAAATACTGTTTAGACTGACTTCAATTTTTTTCTAAATCATCTACATGTTCTCAGAAGTTCAAATCTGACTTTAGATTTGACATTTGACCTTCAATGACCTTCTCAAGGTCAAAAAGGTCTTTTTTCAACTTGCTTCACATTGACTAAATTTTTTTTCAAAATCATCTACATGTTCTCAGAAATTCAAATCTGACTTTAGATTTGACATTTGACCTTCAAATCTGACTTAAGATTTGACATTTGACCTTCAATGACCTTCTCAAGGTCAAAAAGGTCTTTTTTCAACTTGCTTCACATTGACTAAATTTTTTTTCAAAATCATCTACATGTTCTCAGAAATTCAAATCTGACTTTAGATTTGACATTTGACCTTCAAATCTGACTTTAGATTTGACATTTGACCTTCAATGACCTTCTCAAGGTCAAAAAAGGTCAAAAAGGTCTGTTTTCAACTTGCATCAAATTGACTAAATTTTTTTTTCAAAATCATCAACATGTTCTCAGAAATTCAAATCTGACTTAAGATTTGACATTTGACCTTCGATGACCTTCTCAAGGTCAAAAAAGGTCAAAAAGGTCTGTTTTAAACTTGCTTCAAATTGACTAAAAAAATTTTTCAAAATCATCTACGTGTTCTCAGAAATTCAAATCTGACTTTAGATTTGACTTAAGATTTGACATTTGACCTTCAATGACCTTCTCAAAGTCAAAAAAGGTCAAAAAGGTCTTTTTTCAACTTGCTTCAAATTGACTAAATTTTTTTTTCAAAATCACCTACATGTTCTCAGAAATTCAAATCTGACTTTAGATTTGACATTTGACCTTCAATGACCTTCTCAAGGTCAAAAAAGGTCAAAAAGGTCTGTTTTCAACTTGCTTCAAATTGACTAAATTTTTTTTTCAAAATCATCTACGTGTTCTCAGAAATTCAAATCTGACTTAAGATTTGACTTAAGATTTGACATTTGACCTTCAATGACCTTCTCAAGGTCAAAAAAGGTCAAAAAGTTCTGTTTTCAACTTGCTTCAAATTGACTAAAAAAAATTTTCAAAATCATCTACGTGTTCTCAGAAATTCAAATCTGACTTTAGATTTGACTTAAGATTTGACATTTGACCTTCAATGACCTTCTCAATGTCAAAAAAGGTCAAAAAGATCTTTTTTCAACTTGCTTCAAATTGACTAAATTTTTTTTTCAAAATCATCTACATGTTCTCAGAAATTCAAATCTGACTTTAGATTTGACATTTGACCTTCAATGACCTTCTCAATGTCAAAAAAGGTCAAAAAGGTATTTTTTCATCTTGCTTCAAATTGACTAAATTTTTTTTCAAAATCATCTACATGTTCTCAAAAATTCAAATATGACTTTAGATTTGACATTTGACCTTCAATGACCTTCTCAAGGTCAAAAAAGGTCAAAAAGGTCTTTTTTCAACTTGCTTCAAATTGACTAATTTTTTTTTTCAGAATCATCTACATGTTCTCAGAAATTCAAATCTGACTTTAGATTTGACATTTGACCTTTAATGACCTTCTCAAGGTCAAAAAAGGTCAAAAAGGTCTGTTTTCAACTTGCTTCAAATTGACCAATTTTTTTTTTCAAAATCATCTACATCTTTTCAGAAGTTCAAATTTGACTTTACAAGTTCTCAGAAATTCAAATCTGACTTAAGTTTGAACTCATAATATTGTGAGCAACTAGGTGGTGACATTTTGTCATGTTAATGCCTTGTTTTTCTTGCTATACATGTATATATATATTTATCATATAATTATCAAGTCTAATAAAACCTTGAATCATTGTTGCTCCAAGGACTTTCTTAAGGAAGGTCAATGGTCGCACCATCCAAGCTATGTTAAGAATATCTTTAGAGTGTATCTATTATCATTTCAGTGAATCAAGCCCCAGAGTGTAATCAGACTAAAGTGAATGTAGGAGTGCTTGAATCTCTCCCTGGCCTGTTGAGTAGTAATTCTGATACTTGCCTACAAGACATCAATTTAGTGTGCAGTGATCCTGATGACACTATGACATGTGATTATGAAATCATAGAAGTAGCCGAGGGGCTGTTAGATAATGACGAAGAATCTCCCTGGGTTATCCTAGGGGCTGAGACTCAGTGTCTGGCTCTGAGGCAGGGGGTGGGATTTGACAGAGAAATTGCCACCCCTAATAATGGCAGAGCTGCCCAGGTATGTTCTAGCTGTCGGTTCCTTTAGAAACTTTTTCATTAAAAGTGTCTGGAGTAAATATTATTTATATAGCCCAGGATAAGCATGATATTCAAAATCTCACATAACAACACATGCCTCTTAGTATTATTTATCCTATCATAGCATATTTTACTATGATTCTTTTTCTCCAAAACATTGGCCATACAAGTATTTACATTACACATGTTTCTACTTTGCAAAAAGTAACATAGATGTCAAACTATATAAAGTTGCACAAATTGTTTTTATTTTTATTTTTTTTATTCATGTTGAAGACTCTAAGTACTTTATAAGTTGACAATGGCTGGTTGTGTTTAACATTTGTAACACTTATGACATGAATATATATTTAATATTTATAGAATTAGAGAAGATAAATAACAATTAAAATTGATAATGTTTGTATCTTGTATTTTTAGTTACAAATCTATTGTATAGAAGATAACGAATTTGGTAGTGATCGTGGGGCATCTTTTACGGTCAATTTCTACATTTATGACATCAATGATAATGCGCCAACATTTGTGAACCTAGAAGACACAGTTCAACGTGAGATAAATGAAACTGAAATTGGGAAGATTTTAGACGTCCAAGCATCAGATTTAGATTCAGGAAATAATTCCGTAGTTGAGTTCTCTTTAGGTGAGATTATTTTAGGATACTTTTGAAATTTCGAAAATTCAATTTATCTGGAAGAAACATTCTTCATCTAAAAGTGTGTAACCAGAGTTATTAAAACTGTCACATTGCAATTAAAAAAATGTTATAAAATAAAATAGAAAAAGCTTTCCTTATAGACTTGTATTTTTAGACATGCTTTACCCTGTGTTTTGAGCAATCTGTCCTCTTTGGGTGATATTTATACCTTATTATACATTTACTGTATTTGTTTGTTCATATAGCTAATCTGCCTGATGCATTTGCTGATGTGATAACATTAACATGGACTCCATCAAGAAGTGCAACTATCAGTAATACGAAACGATTTAATGCCACGGAGACACCAAACATTACATTCTCAGTTGTTGTAAGTATGTTTCGTTAACCTTTTGAAGGTCAACAGAGGTCAAATCTTATCATTGACCTTGAAACTTGAGTTTGTTATTATCTTGGATACAATACCAGAACATTTTTTTAAATTCACTGTTGTAAACCATGGAAACCAAAATATTGTAGCAAAATATGAATATAAGACTCATTTTAATTAAATGTTTAAATTATCTAATAGTATATTATACATTCAGGTTTTTGTACATTTTTTAAAATTCAAGAAGTAAAACTATATAATTTTTCAAAAAGTGTGATATTGTACTAGCATGACTTAAAATTTGTCGTTGGCTGGTGCCTGGCATGGAGAATATGCATCCAAAACACATGTAGCAGTACATGGGTTCAAGTTCAAAGAAATGGTACATATTGCTAAGAGTTGAATGGTTTTTGATATTGTATTTATTAGGCCACTGATAAAGGTACCCCACCACTTTCCTCCAACATTACACTCATACTAACCATCCAAGATGTTAACGAGCCACCTGTGTGTCAGCCATTTGCAAGCAGCATCTCTGTGAATTATACAGTGATATCTCAAAGCGATGTAATTGGTCAGGTTGAATGTTACGATGGTGACGCTGATTTAAAAAATCGGAGGATTTCATACAGTATAAATGAAGAAAATGGTAAGAGAGGAATATTTCTTACTTTAATTACTCTCTGGTAATTTCATTATATTTGTTTTATAATATTAGTTGGAAATAATCGTTGTCACCCTGTTAAACTCACTTGAGTGGACTTAGAAAACATTTGAAGATAAATGTACATGTACGTGTTTTCAAAATTGCAAAAATTATATATAGCTTGCAAATAACTTTTTTTACAAAAGCTTTTGCTCTTTTATTTATGTTTCTGTACATCAATATATAACCTTGTATAACATTTATTTAATATTTCAGTCCCCTTCAGTATGGATGAAAATGGAGGTATACTGTACAACAGAGATGATAGTAAGCCAGTGCCACTAAGCTACAGCTTCACTGTGACAGTGTCAGACAATGGGGAGGTTCCTCTCTCCTTAGAGCTACCTGTACAGATTTCTATGTTAGGTAACAATACAATTGTTTCATTTTACTTTTTCATTTATATTATTATTTTAACCTTAAAATGTTGGCCATTTTTGTGATCATGTAGATGTATATGTTTGACTCTGGCGTGGTATTTGAGGTGTGTCATGATTTTGAACTAGAAGCAAATTTTCCAATATTCCAAAGTGCTTTTTGAAATCACTAAAAATAATACAAAACTAACAAATAAAATATTTGAGACGACAACATTTCTAGTGTCAAAGTTTATTTAACATAGAACATAATTTTGATTTTCAGCTGACCCAGACATTGTAATGTACCTTGTGTCTTACCATATGAAGTTAGAGGCCTGGATGGGCAATGTCCTTGACCTCCAAAGTGAGGCTTCCACACAGTTGAAGCTGTCTCTGGATTCTGCATTCTCTGCAAGACTAGCTGCTATACCTGGATACAAGGGGCTTAGTGCTGTAGCATTGTCAAGAAGAGACAAGTAAGTTAGCATTAGATATAACAATGTATAGGATTTTGGTAAATAAGGGAAAAACATGTGTGATAAAATTACCTTCAGTTACTCTTTTGAAAATCTTTTGAGAAATTGAGATACATGGAATTTGGTCAACAGTTTGATGTTGTTCCAAAGTGCCAGAAATTCCATTTCTCTGTCAGATATTTTTTCAAAGAAATGAATTATAATTTTATATAAATGTCTAGAATGCAAATACTTAGATTGTGTACATCCAAATACTCAGTTATGTGAAAAATTCATTGAGAATTTGTAATGATCCAATTTCTATATCACATTCAAAAAGCAATCATGTAATAAGTTTGATTTTATGCAATAAAAGTTTTACTTTCATTTCAGTGGTAATATTACAGTGCATAGTGAACTGTATGTGGATATAAGTAGAAATGGGGAGAATGTAATATTAATCACCATTAATGAGACAGTAGCTGCTGGTACACTGGGAAATTACTCATTAAATCCTGATTATCTTCAGATATCTTCTCCTTCAGGTAATCAGTTTAATTATTTTTTATGCCATCAGTTAATATCTTTTTGGTGTTCGTTGCCAAAATTGCCAATGTTGAGGGCGACTAAAATAAGATATAAAAGATCCAGAGTTTATATTTTTGTTGGCATAATATTTTCAACTTTCATCTATATTTGCAAGTACAGTAAAACCTTGTATATGGAACACCCTCTTGATTAGGTTATAAATGTTATTACCATTTACAGATGTCTCGTTGCTATTCAATCTTGAACAAACTGAGGGGTTAGAAAACTTCAATGGAACAACTGTGTCGTTTGTTTGCCAAGCCAAAGTCACACAAGGGTCATATGTCCCAGAATTCCAATGGTATCTTGATAACAAGCGTGTGATTGGTGGAACAGGTCGGGTACGAGTCGTGGACAGTTCTGAGACTTCAGATGATGGATTATACGTTTCTGAGCTGAGATTTAATCCTGTTAAGCAGCTGGATTCTGGTAATTGATTTGAAATGTCTGTGATTAATTTAATGATTGAGTGATTGATTGATCAAGTATAAAAGTATGAACCTATATTAACATATCAGATACAGCCTCTATCTTGCATTCTGCCTTAGCTTACTCTGTTATATAAGTAATTTATCTTCATGATCACCAAATAATTGGTGTTTTGTTCAATATGTTTTTAATACATTTCAGCCATTTTCAGCTTTTGACAGTTTCTTAACTCCTTTGAGATGTCAAATTTTGTTCCTGATAACAAAATTTCTTGTGTTTCTTTTCATGTGTCACATTTGTTTCCTCTGTCAATTCAAAATATGAAAATGGACTTTTTTATAGTATCCCATATTTAAAGTTATACCAACCCATAGCCGGCTTTGGCCAAGGGGGTTCACTTTTTAAAACATTTTAGGGGAGGGGAGGGTTTACAATGGCTCAAAACCACTTGAAAATACTCAGAATGCCCGAATGCCCCCCCCCCCCTCCCCCTGGCTACAGGCTTGAACCATTTATAAATTTGACAACATGTGACAACAAGTCACTGGTCACATTTGTCTTTTTGCACTCCACTTTAGGTGAAACACTAACCATACTATCAACCTTTGACTAACCCTAGCTGCTAAGACTCTAATCTAGCTGTTAACAAAGCTGTCTAGCTGTTAACAAAAGCTGTCTAGCTGTTAACAAAAGCTGTCTAGCTGCTAACAAAGCTGTCTAGCTGTTAACAAACGCTGTCTAACTGCTAACAAAGCTGTCTAGCTGTTAACAAAAGCTGTCTAGCTGCTAACAATAACTGCTTACATACTTCAACATTTCAAGGTATTGTATGCCAGAAGTGTGTTTTCCAATTATAAAATACATGTACTCTTGTTCAAAACCTCTTTAGAGCCTGGCATTCACGGTGTTGGTATTTCATTTTGTCATATTTTCTATTCAGGCAATATTACATGCAAGGCTGTAGTTTCAACTCAGAATATACAACTCGAGGACTCAGAGACCATTAGCATGGCAATCCTGTCCCCTCCCTCTATTGACCTTACCCCAAGGACAGTGACCATCGGGGAAGGGGCTGATACAATTCTATCCTGTGTTGCTGGGGGAGCTCAAAGCGCTCATCCCTTAGCAACACAAGCACCATCTATTGAGTGGATTGTGCCAGAGAATGTCACTTGTAAGTACCACGATTACTGATTACCTATTGACGTACATGTATTGTCATCTCGATTTTTTGTGAATGGCATACAGCAGTTGGCATCCAGTGTCAGTAACAATGCCATGCAACATATGTTAAATGTATATGTTAAATAAGTTAAATATTTAATATCAAATATATATGTTAAATGTATATGTTAAATATATGTTCAAATGCCATAGAAAATGAACAAGATTCTGTGTTTGAGTATTCAAAATACACAGATAGATATAAAGTATTGCAATAGAGTATAAGTTGAAGTAAAGGATATTTTATCATAATTATTGAAATCATAATTGTTTAGATGTCCCATAAGCCCATGTAGGGTTGCCTATTTGTAAAATACGTCAGGCTTGAATATGTAAGTTTTGTAACCAGGTGTAACCACTTGCAATAACTGACAAATTGGTTGCATTTTGTCACATTAACACCTTGTTGGTCTTTTATTGAGATATTTCCATTTCAGTTGCTGTGGATGAAGTGAGTTCCACTGAACAGAAGATTCTGTTAAGAGCTTTAAAGGAGGAGACTCAAGTCACCTGCAATGTGTCAAACCCAGCTGGGTCAAGAATAGAGACTTCTATAATAAGCATCTTATCACTAGGTAAGTTTAAGTTAACCTAACAGTAGATTGCCAGTTTTAAATTATTTGCTGTTATTGTGTTATCTACAAATTGACATTTTACACTTTTTGCTAAGATTTCAAGCAATTTTGACCTGGGTCAAGAGACGTCAGGATAAAGCCAGGAATTTTAAGTGTGTGAAATGTGGAAAAGCTAGATTAAAATACTACATGTATTCTGTCACTGTGAACGTGTTATTTGTATCTTTTTCAATTTTACTAATTTGAAAGCATTGTGGAAACCCTGTACAATTGTAAGCATGTTTAAATTCCAGGTACAGTGCAAAACATATATCACTGATCATTTCAAAAATAATTGTTCTTTATTTTAGTGTCTTCTGATAGAAGTCAGTACTGCGACACACAAACAGATAGAATTGGTGTGACATGGGGTGTGACACTAGCTGGTATGACAGACATACAGTCTTGTCTGTCACCGCAAATAGGTAAATACATGTCTTGATAAATATTTTCAGTGACAATGTCTAAGTATTAATAAAATTCCAAATATTGACAAAATGTAATTGAATAGAAATGGGGTGAATACAATACCAAAGTGACACTGTCATATTACTATACTACAGTACATACTCTCAACTTGTTCATAGTCCTTTCATAGGCATTATTTTTTATCCCATCAAACGAAGTTTAAAGGGGATATAGAAAAGCCATTCGTCCGTCTGTTCGTCCATCCCTCCGTTCGTGTGTCCGGGCAATAACTCAAATACCGGTTGACGGATTTCATTCAAATTTTACAGGCTTATGTCTTATTGGTGTAGGACCTCTGCTTGAGAAGAAATTTTCAGTATGGTCACTCAATTCAAAATGGCCCCTTCCTCTCACACTTCACCTCCATATCTGTTGATGAATTAAACTGGCCGATTATGAAAAACCTTGATGTAGGACAACACTGTATTAAAATGATTTTCACTTTTCTGTAGGTCTCTGTAGAAGAACCTGTGTTAAAGATGCTAATGGTAATGCTAAATGGGGCCAACCTGTGTATATTGACTGTATTCAGCCGGACCTAAGCCAACTTGTTACACTGGTATGTACATGTATGGTGTTTTATGTAACTATTCTGCTATGTACCATCATTTGACGATAGTGTCTATCATATGTTTTAGATTTACATCAAATATATGCAATATATATAAAAGATATCTGATCTAAAACAGGATTTATTGAAGATACAGGGAGACATTTCCAATTTCATTAAAATTGAAAAGGGGGACGTCCACTTTTCTCCAGGGATTATCCTGGAATGTCTGCTTTTTAAATTGTGTCAATTTGAGGTATACAAAATCTTATATTGAAGTAATAATTGAATTTTCAGGGTGCAGAAATATATTATAATATTAGAATAATTTATGGTAAAGAATTGAGAATTAAATTGAATTGAATTGAATTGAATTTACATGTCTAGTGTTTATTTTTGCAGGTGACTCAGAATGAGGAAGGTGTAGGAGCTATATCAGTAGATGAAGTAGTTGATGATCTTGAAGTCATTACCAAACAGCAGGTAATATTCCTAGCAGTCTCAAATCTGTGCCCCTTCTCAGATCTTTTGTCCTCTCTTCGATCTTTAGTCCTCTTTAAATGTCGATTCATCACATATCTATCTTTTCATATCTTGGACTCTCCAACAAATTTGTGGTCCAATCAGTTTTCCGGTCTTATTCAGATCTTTAAGCATCCTTGAATATTCTCAGATTAGATCCAGCCTAAGATCTGTAATCATCTAATCATACATCATACCTAGGTCATTTACCAGTTTTAGTAAATGCTTTTTCTTTTGAAGGTGAAAGATGAGACATTTCTCACATCCGGTGACCTTGAAGCATCTGCCAAGGTCATAGACTACATAGCCAAGGCAAAGGTTAATAAGCGAGGTGGGGACAAAGTTCAAACCCAGAAATTCCTCAACAGTGTTAGTAATATTATTAGTGATGAAACAAAAAATCAATGGGTTGATGTCAATACAGCTGGATCTGGAGCAGCGGGCGTCATGAAGTCAGTCGACGATTATATTCAGAAAGAGGCTGAAGCTCTTACGATTGGAGAAACACTAGTGCTGAAAACAGACAATATTGGTATGTCTTATATTTTGTGTAATCATATTTCGTTATTTCAACTTGCCAATTGTGTTTTTTCAATTTCAATCCTCATCATGCCATGTTATTAATGCAGCATCCTTGCTATGCCTAAATGTTTTTCAAAAATTTTTATATCCACGTTTCGTCAACTGTAATTCTTTGCACTCTGAATTGTACTTTAAACTGTTCTTCAGATGCTGAGTTAAAGAAGATCAGTACTACATCAGGGGAGAGTTTTGAATTCCCCCAAGCAGGTTCCGACACTTCACAGTGGGTGCTAGATTCAAGCAACAAGTTCTCTATTGATAGCTCTACACTCAATAATCTCTATGGTAGGTGTAGACCTGTCTCCTTAATTACAAGTCTAGCAGTTTTTTGTTTCATGTCACTGTAGGTCAATTTTATTAGTTTCATTTTCAGCACACATTGTAATGTTTCTGCCAAAGCTACTATATTAACTTGACTGTTTATTTATTTTTGAATAAAGTGATACCAATGGAAATATTAGAGGGAAAAACTTTGAACATTTACCTTTTTACTAATATTTATATTTTCTGAACATAGATATTACTGGTATTATGCAAAAATCAACCTTGCTACTTAAACAATTTTTAACATGTTTTTTGGTATTTCATATCTTCCAGATCTCTTTACTTGTTTTTGCAGGGGCTGAAAATGTGAGTGCTTCTTGCCTCTACCATAAATCCATGAACTCCCTTTTGGGTACGGAAGACCCCTTGAAACAGAACACATCATCAGATGGGCAAATCATCAACTCCAAAGTTCTCACTGTATCACTGAATCCTGTACCAACAAAGAAATTGAGTCCACCGATTGTTTTAACATTTGGTCATCAAGCGCAGCAACTTGAAGGACCAGAATGTAGTTACTGGGATTTTAATTTGGAGTAAGCCCACTAGCAATATTGTTATACTTTTGGAAATGTGGGAACCTCATTATTTCATTTATATTTAATCTAAGACCTAGTCTCATTGGACTAATCGTTGAAAGTAAAATTTCGTATATTGTTTATTTGGATATGTCAGTACTATGAAGTGGTGACATATTGTTATGGCATTCATTTTTGTGACTGGTTGACATTAGGTGTCTGTAACAAATTTTCACAATAGCACAGATTGTGACATTTTGTCATGCTAATGCCTTGTATTGAATTGTAATATATATTATGTTACATGTCCACGAATACATTTCAGAGATACTATGAATGGAGGCTGGTCATCAGATGGGTGTGAGGTTGTGTCCACTAGTGATGATATTACAGTATGTGAGTGTGATCATCTCACCAACTTTGCTGTCCTTATGAGTCCAGTTGCATCTAATGTGGTAGGTTAACATTAATCTATCATGTAACCTCAACAAATAATAAGGGCAGACCTGTATTTAATTTAAGAAATGTTTGGTTTAATGAAGGGCCTCAGACCTGAAACCAAGAGGATAGGAAGTAGTACTTGTTGGTCAGTGTCTTTTAAAGGACATTTTGCATTTTACAATCAGGCTGTGTCATATGAATTTCAAACTTGTGGTCACAGTTTGATTATGAAACTGTTGCCCTGGTTTTCCTAAATATCATGAATAAATCAGCTTACCCTCATCAAATATACAATATACTGAAAAGAGCACTCGTTCAGAAAATGAGGGGTCGTGGGTTCGATTCCCACTGGGGAGGACTTACTTTTCAGCCTTAGCATAGGATTTTATACTTTTTACCTGAACCAATATCATACCATATACACAGTATTGTATATATTGTGCCATATTATTTTTATTCCAGACAAGTGAATCATGGAAGATTCTTGGTATCATATCCATAGTGGGTTGCAGTTTATCTATAGGAGGGATGGTTGTTACCATTATTCTCTACGTCATCTTCTGGAGGTTCCTGAAGTCCGACCGCTCTGTGATTCTCATCAACTTATGCGTGTCTCTCATCATTGCTAATGTGCTGTTTCTCACAGCCATTGACAGAACAGAAAATAAGGTATGATCTTGAATTCCCATTTTGTGTTTTAACATGGGAAGAGTTTGGCATCAGTTTGAGTGTGTTATTTGTAAAAAAGACTGTTAGTTACTTATCCAGATAATCTTGTAAAACGCTCTTGGTGAGTGGAAATGTACCATGTTTAAGTAGTTCAGTACTGTTTTGCAATAACAATGAGATTAGGACAATAAAGATACAAGATTAGTGAATCTGGAGTAAGTTAGCACTGATGTGCTGAGTTGTGGCCTCAGAAAACAATTCTTGATTAAAAAGTAGTTAATTAAATATCAATTACAATACATTTTCTTATCCAGATTTTTTGTTGTACTGGACCTACCTTAATGTGCTTTTATATTACAGGCTTTGTGTACAGCAATAGCAGCGTTACTCCACTATTTCTACTTGGCAGTGTTTGTCTTTATGCTCATGGAGGGAGTCGAACTCTACATTCTCATCATCAAAGTGTTCACGTCAGGCAGGAGTAGAGCCAAGTGGTACATCATCACGGGATATTTTGTCCCCGCTGTTGTAGTGGGCGTGTCTCTTGGTGTCACAAAGCTGGAGGGTTATGGCACTGACCAATAGTAAGATTATTTCTGATGTCTACTCCCTCGGTTGCAGTCTTGCCATTAGAATTTGAAACACTCCTCCACATCCATCTACATATCTTTCATCAATAATCAGTCACCCAAAGCAATGATTATTTGTAAAATACAATTTTCTTTTTTGACTATTCATTTTACTAAGTATGTAATAAATTGATCCTGTTCTTTCTTCTTTATTAAACATTATATACATGTATATCTGAATTGTATAACATCTGGTTCACCTAAAATTACCAATCTGATATTTAACACATTTTTAGATAATTTACCAAAATAGTCATTATTACACCTAACTTTAAGGTTGTTTTAAATGTAATATAAGTGTTCTTTTCGTGATTTCAGTTGCTGGCTGTCCATTGACAAAGGTGTAATATTTGCATTTGTTGGCCCAGCACTTGGTGTGGTTATGGTCAACTTTGTATTCTTAATACTAGTGTTCAGAGGCATGTTTGGCAGAAAGAGATCAACACAGAAAAAAACGAACATTGAAAAATTCTCGTAAGTTACTACTGGAATATCAAACTTATTAAAGATACAACTCATCAGCCTCATTATCCCACTGAAAGAAGTTGGAGAGGGATATAGAGAAGCTGGCCCTCCATCCATACATCCATTCGTCCATTAGTCAATACTTGTTGACGGATTTGGTTCAAATTTAATTGGCTTATGCCTTGGGTGTAGGACCTCTACTCAATAGGGAATTTTCAATATGGCCACTCAATTCAAAATGGCCGACATTTTTCATAAAAAAATGTAGATGATAACTTATTTAATATAACGACCAAAGAATTTCTACTATAAGTTTTTCCAATCGGCAAGATATTGAACAGCAGCATTATCAAAAGTTTGCAACTATGGTAACAGCTACAGTGTATTTGTATCATTAATAACAAGTTTTTCATGTTACATTTCCAGGTCAGGTGTATGGAGCCTGTGTATTCTACTTCCCATACTTGGCCTTACTTGGCTCTTTGGTGTCTTCTCTATAAATGAGGAAACAATTATCTTCCAGTATCTCTTTGCAATATTTAACTCTTTACAGGTAAGCAAGATTTCCTTTTGTTTTTATATTATCTGGGAGATATTAAGAAAGATTTCTCAGAGAAGGATGAAATTACAATTAGCCCTATCACCAAGTTTTTGTCATACATGTATTTAGAATTTCACTTCATTACAAGCAATTTCTATTAAAGCTCATATTTATTGATTTCAATGATCTGTATCAGTTAGATATTATTATTATTTTCGTATGCAGATTTTGTTATCATGAAATGCATGATGGATGGTAAATGTTACCACTTGTGTTCCAGGGTTTCTTTATATTTCTATTCCACTGTCTAGTCAGTCCACAAGTGCGTGATGCCATCAGAGGGAGATGGACCCGCTACCAGAGCCGTCGTGCCACACAGTCATCCTTGATAAAATCTACGGTAAATATACTAATTCATTCCTGGCATGCTTATTTGAAGTCATTTCCAGTTTTGCTGATGGGGTTAATTCAAGGGTCTAGAAGTGAGCTCCCCAAATTGAAGCATATTCTTGCATACAGTTGCAATTTGAACGTTCTTAATCTAACATGTTTAAATTTAATACACCTATCCTAGAATCACCCCACAAATTTTGAAAAATTTAGGAAAATCAAATTTAAAAAAATGATGATAGACATTCCTATTCACTACATTCCATCCTAATTCCTTCCTTCTCCTCTATATTCCACATTTCAAAATGTGACTACATAGTATGTTTCTCACTTATAGAAGTCTCAAAGTAGTAGCTCAGAAAACAGGGGACATAGCATAAGTGAAATCAACACAAGATTCAAAAACAGCACTATGGATGACAGCAGCTATACCAATAATAACGCAGAGGCCCAAGCTAAAGCCCTGGAGGATAAACTTAATGAGGGACCTGGCTCTGTTCCTAATGGCAACAGGCCTGAACCAGAGGGGGCAATGTCTGACTCACCCCATAGGTCAAGGTCATCAACAAGGTCAGTGATGTTTAGATATCAGGAATGATGTGAATCTAAATTATGAAATTAACAGATATTTCTTATAATCATGGTTTAATATTCTTAAGATAAATGAGATGAATTAGATATGCATAAAAATATGCAATTTTAATGTCCATTGCAACAAAGGAAGTAATGCTATCAGAGGGAGATGTTATTTTAACATCAATATGAAGATTGGAAAAATGGAAGTCTATTATATGTTTTCACAAAAATAAATATTTTGACTTGACTTGATATTTTGATTGATTTTTCCATAGATCTAAGAAATCGATGCAATCAGAGGGAGATACTGGTGACCAGGATGTGACTGCAATGGTCAATGAGATGATTAACATTGCTAAAGAGGAGGAATACAAAGACACTCTCAGAGCAAAATCTGCTAGTAAAATACAGGCACAATATGAAGTAAGTGAGAATGTTACATCTCAATATTGTTAATCCAAGCATTAATTCTTTTAGTTCATGTCACAATGCTATCATAAATAGTAGAAATGTTATGATCTCGAATTGTGATAATGGTACTTGAATAGGGGGAGAGGGATAGTAAACATTCTTCTCACATAAGATCATGATTTAGGATAATTGGGGTTTGCTTTCCTTATGACTGGTGTACTCTTAGATGTTTTTATGTCACCACCAGAAATGGTGACATATTGTAATAGTCTCCAACTTTTTTGTCTACAGTGTTTGGTGGTTGGTATTTTGGTCAGCGTCTGTGACATTTTGCATGTTAATGCCTTGTTTGGAAATTCCAGTCAGGATTCAAATCGACAATTTTGGCCCAAAATTACTTGAAAGTGCTCAAAATGGTAAAAACTGCATGACTGCATACCAGAGTGGGGTTGCTCAACCCCCTTGGCTACATTTACCAAGAACTATTAATTCCCAAGATAAAATTGTGTGAAAATAAACGAAAAAAAGATCAGACACTTGATAATAACTATGAATTTATTTATTCATTAACGATATCAATTAACAATATATTTATTTGTTTAATTACAAAGTAAAAAACTTTTACTCCATAAAAATGGATCTAGAATACTGTAGGACCATTCTTGGTTTGTTTTAGCCCCATCTCGAAATATGAAATACTCCAGCCGTCATTACATTTAACTATTAAAGGTGTCACTGGCAACTGTTTGTATGTAAAATCTAGACATTTTCAAAAAAACTCCCATGGAAGTCCATGGGTAAGTGAATTGGTGTGTATGCATAGTTTATCATTTTGAGATTTGTAGCATTTAACACAGCAAGATAATTTAAACCCTTTTCACCATCCAAAATTGAAGTGACGATTACGCCATCATCTTCCTGTTTCGAATTGGGAGTTGCAATAAACCATGGCTCCATTGGGTAGTGATTTGGTTTATGCCATATAAGGTCATTTTTAGAGTTGCATACACTCTTCTTTCCAATAGTCCAATTGCCATAATGGACACCATCTGATTTATATGCTGTCCCCCAAAAGTAACAATAATTCTTCATTCGGAAGTCTTCATTGATAGTAGGGAAGTCCAGATGATCCAGCGCCTTGTTTAGAGGTGATGTACTTAGTTTTGGTTGGACGTCCACTTGTCCTGTTTTTAGGTTAAGGTAATAGCGCACGATCTGTCCATTTGCAACAATTGCATTTCTTTTATCAACATTTAGCATATTGTCCAAAGTAAGACCCGTCATTTGATCGAAATTTGGTAATTGTGTAGCATCCGCGACAATGGTTGTAGAGTTCACTTCATATGAGTTGATACTGTGTAGGAACAATCCTTTAGCATTAATGTCATGTGTTTTCAGCTCAGTTACCTTACCCGTGGCTAATTCAACAACTTTAATGTACATTGGGTTGTCATGGTGACATTGGAAAGCTTCTTTCATCTCAAAAGTCCCAGAGAAAGCAAAGTGGAACAATTCAAAATAGCAAGTCCCCTCAAAGAATAAAACATACTTTTCTGTTAGCCCAAAAGAATGCATATATGGAATCTGGGAAGTGCCGATTTTCCAGCTGGTTAATAAGCGGGGTTGGATGTCATTTCCCAAACGAATCACATTGAAGGTGCTTTGACCGACTGGATTAAGCTTAATGTAATATGTGATCAAGTTATCCTGAGTGCCCTCAAATAAAGGATGGGCTGAACTGAGACTAGGGACCGCCATTTTATTTGCATCCATCATCATGTCCAATAAGGTTTTCTCATCTTCGCCTACTAAAGGAGCGAGGTGTTTTACGAGGGTGAGATTGTTTATGTTGATCGTATACAGGTTCCACATATCGTTAAGGATCAAATAATTAGTATCACTGGAGAGTTGTTTTGTGAGAGCTTTCACATTGACTACATTATTGTCCATACCTTTCATCATGCGCTTTACTCTCGTTAAAGCATTTTCTGGTGGCACTGTGTCTCCAAATAGGGTATAGGGGGCAATAGTGTTCAATTTGACCGAATCCCTGTAGTAACCAGTCTGCTGTAGTTTAGTCGAGAATGTAACAGATTTTCCATCACCAGCAAATTTCCAAGAGCTTAGCTTGCCAAATCCATCAAATGCATGGTTCACCCTTTTATTACCCATCTCAAACTTGCCAGGTCCATTCCTCACCTAACAAAAAATAGAATATCAGTTTAGCACTTCTGTCTAATGAATCTCAAAAGCTGTCTGTTTGCTCTTTCGTTCATCATTTCGTACACATGACAGGGTGAATAAAATATTACGTTTTCAATCACATTTGGTGCAAATAATATCGGCTGATGCATTTCGGGCAAATTAGCTCTTCTCAAGGTATTTTCAATATGCTCATTCGATTCAAAAAGGTGTGCATTTTTGAAATATATTCTTTGATAATTATCAGATTTGATTAAAACTTCATGGGCTCCACCTAATGGATGAATATTAGATTTCACATCTTCATCTACAGTATGAACACTTTTTTGCACTCAGTAATGTAAATACAAAGCCTTACTGCACATGCACAATCAATAGACAACTAACTAATATGTGTAAAAACTTACCAAAGTACCTTTGATCCACTTTGGTATCCCACCTGGCAATTCAAATCTCAGCTTCACATCCTCAACCTCTTTCGTCAAACTAGTGAATAGCAATTCATAACCTTTTGAATCTTCTTCTTTCGTTACATTGGAAACAGTTTGAGCGATTGCAAAGAAAGCTACTAAGATGCTTAATCGGAACATGATGAACATATTCTGTTGGTGTAACGACTGGTCTCCTTTGGACTTCTTTTATACTCCACTTGCTTGCAATACATAGATCACTCAGTTATAAGGTAATAACCCGGGGGTAATAACTGGGACTACTTTACACAATTTACAGGGTGATCCCAAAAAACTGCAACCTTAATGTTGTTTTATATTGCCAAATAACCATGTATCAATGTAATGCCTTGGTCACATTTGCTCCAATTTTCACTACAGCGCCTGGCCGATTGAGTATTTTGTACAAAATTGAATACAATATTGAACAAAACACTCAATCAGCCAGGCGCCGGCCGATGGATCGGAGCAAATGTGACCATGGCATAACTGAGGCTCAAGCTCTTGACATGGTTGATGCTCAAAAATGACGGGTCCCCCTGAACGTATTTGCACTCATGTGGAGCTGTAGCTATACAGCTATTGTGCGTATTTCTATAGGCAAGGTTATTTTAGTATAGTCTTGACAAGAGTCATGGTGTTACTTTTGATGAGTAATGTATTACTAGTAATCTAGATTTTGTAAGTTTGAGATTATACCAGTCAGCCTTGAAAATCTAATATCACTATTTTTACTCATGTCAATACAAGATCACTCTTGCCTTATGCCTTTTGAGTAAAATATTCACTCAAGTGAACATTCTCTTATTAGCTTAGCCTGTATTCGCAAATGCAACTAACACCTGTCGGCTACCGGATTAACTTGCTATTTTATGGGCAACACATCTAAATATGAATAGTACCTGCCACTTAATTCCGTTCATATTTAAATGAGTTGGTCATAAAATAGTAGGTTAATCTGGTAGATGACAGGCATTAGTTGCTTTCGCTCATTCATAAGATATCCCCAAAGGTATCCATTGCTACTTAATCTCTCCTATTGTTATGTCACCATCAGAAGTGGTGACATCCTTTAAACAAGCCTAATTTTCAAGATATTCAATTTTGGTGACCAAAATAAGCCTGAAAACAATGGACCACATGGATGCTTCCCTATGGGAAAATAACATGGAATATGCCATTTTCAAAATTGCATTGCTATATAATTCCCCCTTTCAGTTGTTACTGGCATTCTTGGTGTGTTCTGTTACACTTTTTGGTCCTTTCCCTTTGGCACAAATGAAAACATATATATTATTAGTACTGTATTTACAATACTTTGTAGGGCTATTTACATATAGAGTTGCCTGATCTGATGGAGCAGCCAGGTTGTTAAATAATTTTCCAAATATGCATGAACATTTCTTTATATCATTATTCTTTAAGCCCAATTGCTCGTATTTCAATTTTATCACTAAACATTGCATAATTCTGCAAATATTACAAAATTTGCATCACAGTTCTTAATTTATTAACCCTTTATTAAATAAGATGCTTTGTTGATTGAAGTAGTTGCATGGACATAGTTAATGATATTCGGTGTTCTATAGCACAATTCTAAGAATGATTTTCACATTTTCTTGTTAGGAGTGGATTTAATCTTGACATATTTGTTAATTTTTTTATTTATTTGTGTTGTAAATGAATAATGCATCCTTTAAGTTATCCAAAGTTGCATGAGACACTACAGTATTGTGTTTTTTATATAGTCAGTTTATTTCATCATTTCAATTGTTATGCAGAATGGCTTGCCAGTCGCCTTCATGGCATTATAGTCTAGTTAAAATGTTATGTATGCATGCAAATTAAATGCTATAGTAATGTTCATTTGTTTATGCAAATTGAATGCTATTGTAATTTATTAACATGTAAATGAAGATTGAATAATAAAGTTATATACATAATTCAAACATGACCGTGCTCTATTCGAATTTCTCAACCGATCAGAATGCAGCATAGCCAATATAGAACGTTCTCTAATTCTCCATAGATGCACGACCATGCTCTATTCAATCTGCAATTTGCATTGTTTTGAGTGACGTCACATCTCAGCTGCACATCCGGGGCTCTGTCCGGGGATAGCTGTTCTTTTTTACTCCCTCCGTAACTACTGTAACTATATTTTATCAACACCCCATGTTTGCATACACCGTATAAAATCTAAAACGGGGAGTAAAATAGAACAGCCCAAACAAATTCTAAAATTTTTCCGGCCGACTTCAGAATCTTGACAGCATGCGTATTCTTCCTTCATGCCCGTTCCACAGACACGGCTTTTACTAATTTTTATGTTTGAATCAAATTCAGCACTCGTTGGACAGAATGTTAGTACAAATGCACTCACCTTCGGTTCGTGCTTTGTACAACATTCTGTCCAACTCGTGCTGAATTTCACCATATTGAATGGCCTATCATTATTTATTCCTTAAATATATAAAATTTGAATAGTACAGTCTAAAGATTAAATGCTATAGTAATGTACATGTACATGCAGTTTGAATGCTAAGCCTGATAATGATATAATGTATGTAATGCAAGTAATGAATAGACTAGATGATATGAGTAGAAATATCTTTTCTTGTAATGGAATTTTACTGGACATATTTTAATTTATATAACTAACAGATGCAATAATATGAAAATTGAAACTGATTAGTATTGAAGTTTAGGGGAACTTTCAAATACCCAGCCATGTTATATACCCAGAATTAGCCACACGGTGGTGAAACTGGGAACTTCCTACTTGCATCTAGGTTATTTTCAGTCACCAAAAGATCTAAAAAACCTGTCTAAGTGAACACCTCTCTCTCTAGTGAACACCTGTCTCTAGTGGAAACCTGTCCCCCACACATACTCTATCCAGAGTCTACGGAGTACTGTATATAGAACTCTCTCTGTAGTGAACTACTAACAGCACTGAACATTTTTTCTCAGCAAAAAAATGTTCAATATACACAGGTTTTACTGTATTGACATTTCAATGTTCATTTTACAAATATTTCATAATATTTATGTAATGTTCTCTTTATTTTTTTCTAGGCCAAGATGGCAGGGAAGAATCTAGAGAGTGTTGAGGAAGCAAATGATCCAAACAGCAAAAGGAAGAAGGTGAGATATGTTTATGAAATATTTAATGTTTCAAATGAATACTCTGGAGGCCCTTTATTTTAAAAAATACTTCAAAATGCATAGTGGGCTTGAACACGTTTAATTTCAAGTGAAAACCTACTATTTTAAGAAAATCTTATATATTTATATAAAGGTGTACATTGCTTTAAAATAAGATTACCTGAATCTGTGAATGTAAAATGTGAATTAGATGATGACACTGCCCCATTTAATATTAATATTATGGTTTCTTACAACAAAGGAGGGAGATGGTAGTGACATGCCGTACAGTGGTAAACATTCTGCTTAAGATTTGAATATTCAAATGTTTCCAATTTTGACATTTTAATAAATATTCAATAAAAATGTATTATATTAGAAAATCAACTCTTTTGCACTGATCCTAAACTGGTTGTGGTAAAAATATAACTGATGTTCAGTCCCATGGACAAATTTACCAAAATATGCCTATTTAGATTTTTAAAATGCTAATTTTGAACAAATTTTTCATCTTTTACCCTACTATCACACCAAACTAGTTCTCACTACATTCTCGAAAACGGGCTTCAACTGTGTATGAACGGACTGGACCTACTAAGAACCGTTTGGGATCTATTTACAAACTTCATCGAACGTACTCGAACGGGTAGGTCCTTTAGAACTTAGACAATGCTCAAAATGTTCTTGTGGTCGTCACGTTCTACAATTAGAACGAGTGAAAACGTACTAACGACGAGCTGGACGTACTACGAACGGAACTGTCGTACTTCACTCCTACTAGGGACGTTTTAACAACGAGTTGAACTGTCTGAGGACGTGTTTAGAACGAGGTAGAACTTATTGCAAACGGGTTTAAACTGATTAAGAACGTATTTAACACTGCTTATGAACGAGTTAGCAAAAATATAGCTATCACACCAAACAAGTTGCCACTGCGTTCTCCAAAACTGGTTTTAAACTGTGTGCGAACGGAATGAACGTAGCTGCAACTTTCTAAGGTCTATTTACGAACTTTATGAACATTCTCAGACGGGAATGTGATTTTAGAATTTTGAATCGATTCAAAATTCGATGGCGACCATGCCGTTCTGTAATCAGGTCATGTTGACCTTCTAGACTAAGGGCTACGGCGTTGCACACCGACGTGGTGCGACCTGAACGAACTGCGAACGAGATGGACGTATTGAAAACTGTTTAAGAATGAAGAAGCTAATTATTTCAGACATATTTCCCGACCACAGCCAGATTGAGCCCGTTTTACGACTTTTTCGTAGGACTGGCAAGAACGGGTAAGAACTAGTTTGGTGTGATAGGGGGGTAAGATCAAAATAAATTGGCAAGTTAGTCAGTCATCAATATTTTATTATGGATTCATAGGAAAGTGATTAAGATGTCAAAATCTAACACATTGAATTCCTCCATACAATAGTGGTTCAGTCCAAGGAGGCATGTTGCATGTTTATATTTTTCTCAGCTTTTATCATATTCTCTGTATTTTATTCCAAAATAGAACGTCAACCTCATAATTTTTTTTTTTATTATTTAAATCATCCAAAACTCAGCGCTTGCTTAAAAACATGATGGGCATACATGTTTGGGCATTTAACATAATTGCTTAATATATATTAGTTAAAGATTCATTACATTTCAATTTAAAAAGCTTTCAAACACATTTCTGATCTTCAAAATTTTAGTTATTCATATGTAGAGTACCCTCAGCTAGATTTGTCAGTACAAAAATTGGCCTTGAGACCTAGAAATAATATGTCAAAGAAAACTACTCTTACTTAGGAACATGTGTATTTTATTAAGCTTCTACCCACACAATGTTTTGGTTTTATAGGAGATATGCATTTCATGTGGTCTATCAAAATTGATTATGATTTAATGTGAACATTTTGAGATAACCCTGAGTGGTGCGCAATTGGATCAATTGCTTGACTTATGGACCAACAGACTGACACTTAGTCACATAGGCTAATTGTATGTGCTAAAAAGGACGTTTTGGCCTACATCCAATTTAAATCAGTTAGCTGTAATTATTAAAATTGTTATATTGACCAGAATTGAGATTCTTGGAAGAACATTGTAGCTTATGAAATAATTACTACTCATATCGTTCCTTTAAATCTTTAAATGGTTCCATCAATTCCTCATATATGTCATCCTCATATGTCATGAATGATTTCAAGTTTTCTGGTAGTTTATTTTTGTCAATTAAATCCTCAATAGCGGCCGTATAGCTATGACCTGGTTTTCTGATTTCAGAAAATATACATTGTCTGGCATATTTCTGTAAACTTGGTAACTTTTTTGCTTCCATAATTGAAAATAATGATTCTCTATCCACTTTCTGTCCTCTGTCCTTTGTTAGATCCTCTAACAAAGTCCTGATATGTTCCTGATCTGAGTAATTGCCGATAGCATGAAATGCCAGCAGTATAATAAAGCAAATGTCATTATGGTGTTCAGCAGCAATGTCAAATGCAGAAATGTCAATATCTGCACCATGGTCAATGAGATTGTACATACTTTCCTCACAGTTGCTGGACTCTGCGGTGCGAAGTAATGGTGTGAAACCTTCCTCATCTTCTTCATTCACATCCGCACCATGTTTGATCAGAACACCAATACACTCGTGTCCATGTAATCTTGCCGCATGCATAAGGGCTGTCCATCCTTCATTATCTTTCACATCGGTCGAAGCACCATGCTTAAGCAATTCACATACAGGATCTTTACAGCCATTCCCTGCAGCAATCATAAGGGCAGTTAGACCTTTATGGTCAACATCATTTATGTCAGTGATTTTGTCAATAGTCATACGGATGTATCCAACATTATCTTCATAAGCAGCATGCATTATAGCAGTACGACCATCATTATCTTCTATAGTGATATCTGCGCCTTTATCCAGTAATAACGCAGCTATTTCAGTACGGCCTTTCGGATCTAGCATCATACAATTCATCAAAGCTGTCATTCCTCGGTAACCAATGGCATTGACATCTGCTCCATGTTCTACCAATATAGGCGCACAGTTCACACTATTATACCTGGCAGCTTCCATAAGTGCTGTAGAACCAGTTATTGGTGAAGTTGTGTTTGGGTCAGCACCAGCAGTCAATGCTTCATTCATTAATTCTACAATGGAATTGACATTATTGGACTTTGTGAAGTTGGAAACTTAACCCAAGAGGTAATTAATTCTGAGTATTCTATTGATGGTCATTCTCATGTATACTTAAACAAGAATCGAGGACTTCTGATATATGTTAAAGATGACATACCTTTTAAAGTAAGATATGACCTCATGAATGATCAGGGTGATTCCTTATGGATTGAGTTAACCATTAACTATAAATCTTACCTTTATGCAATATATTATAGATCACCTTCTCAGTCTCAAAATGATGCAAATGATTTTTGTAATCGGTTTACAGCTTCATGTAATCTGGCACTTGATAATAACCCTGAATCAATTTTTATCAATGGAGATTTCAATGCGAGATGTAAAGAATGGTGGGCCTTGGATAATGAAAACACTACAGGAAAATTTTTATTTGAATGTATCGAGGAACTTGGACTTGTGCAACTCATTGATGAACCGACTCGTATAACAAACATCAGCAGATCATGTATAGATTTACTCATCTCAAATAACCCTGACATCATTACAAATACTTATGTCTCTCCTCCAATTGGCAACACAGACCATTGTTCAATAAACACCGAGTGCTTTCTTGGTAATCAAAAAAATCGCCCGTATTCAAGGAAAATATGGAAATATGATGAGGCAGACATTAACTTAGTTAACAATGCAATCCGTGCGGCAAATTTTGATCATTTAATAGACACTACCAACAACTTTGATTACCTTATCAAAATATTTTCTGGAAGTCTACTTGCAATTTTCACAGACCTCATTCCAAACTCAGAAATTGTTGTAAAATCAACTAACAAGTCATGGTTCACAAGTGACATTAAAACATTAATTAATAAAAGAAATAAATTGCATTATAAGTATAGAAAAACTCATAATGACATGTACCTTCAAAAATATACAGATCAATGTAAACTGGTAAATGAGGCTATAAGTGAGGCAAAAGAGGCAATGGAATCAAGATTGTACCAAAAATTAACAACTCATAGATATGGAAGTAAGGGGTACTGGTCAATTATTAGTAGGCTCCTAGGCAAATCAAAAAATAGTAAAATACCCCTCCTCAACGATGCCAATGGTAATAATTACACTGATAGTTGCGACAAAGCAAATTTATTGTTATCACATTTTATTGACAAATACCATAATAATTATAATCATGGAAATGAACCATTTATTCCAAGAACCGATATAACATTTGACCTGCTCTCTACCAATGACAGAGAAGTCTATAACATTCTACTCGGCTTAAATATTAATAAAGCCACTGGCCCTGACATGTTGAGTAATAGAATGCTAAAAATGGCAGCACCATCACTTTCACCTATTTTATCAAAACTGCTTAACAAAATGTTTACTTTGAATCAATATCCTCAACTATGGAAGGTCGGTCATATTGTAGCTATTCATAAAAACAAAGATAAAACAGATGTGAAAAATTATCGCCCAATAACACTCCTGTCTTGTATTTCTAAAGTCGCCGAGCGCATTATTTTTAAAAGACTCTTTGATCATCTCATTTCGCACAATTTATTTTACAATCTTCAAAGTGGTTTCCTGCCAGGACATAACACACAGGCACAACTTCTAAGTATTATTGACCACATAACAAATGAAATTGAAAATGGGGCTAATGTAAGAGGGATATATCTTGATATTTCGGCTGCATTTGATTCAATGCCCCATGGGCTACTATTAGGAAAATTGAAAATGTTTGGTTTTGGTCCGAATATCCTGGAATTGATGAAATCATATTTACTACACAGACAAGTGAAGGTGGTATTAGATGGTCATGAGTCAAACTTATCTGAAAAGGGTTATATCAATTCCGGAGTTCCTCAAGGCTCGATCCTGGGGCCCCTCTTATTTTTGATCTATATCAATGATTTACCTGACAATTTGAATTCAAAATGTTTCATCTACGCAGATGATACCTCAATTTACCAGTCATTCACAGCTGAAACAGCAACTGAAATGAACAATGCCCTACAGGAGGATCTCAACCATATTTTTCAATGGTCTGAAGTATGGAAATTAAATTTTAAAGCTTCTAAAAGCAAAGATTTGACCTTTTCCAATCCAAAGAAACGTGAAATTTTGACCATAGATCTTTCTCTCGGAAACGACATTATACCAAGAGTAAACAGCCATAAGCACTTAGGCTTAATCCTAGACAGAAATCTCACTTTTGACCTTCACATAACTGAACTTGGTGCAAGAATAGACAAACTTTTAAATCCACTGAAAGCGCTCTGTCAGAAAATAAATGGAAAACATCTCGAAACAATCTTTAAATCTTTTATCCTGCCACTTTTTGACTATGGTGATATTTTATATGGGTGTGCAAACACAACAAAATTACAGTTATTAGATCGACTTTACTATAAAGCCGCTTGCATTTGTTCAGGTACTCTACATGGGACTTCGACAATTAAAGTGTTGAATAATTTAAATTGGCCAACATTAACAAAGAGGCGTCAATATCACAGAAGCATTTTCATGTATAGGGCACATAACAATATGCAGCCCTCTTATGTTCTTAACATATTTGAGCCTCTCAAAAGAAACCATGCTTATGGTCTAAGAAATCAACTGAGCTACACAATTCCTAATAAATCCTCATTTTCTAATAGATCTTGCATATCAAAAACACTGACTGAATGGAATAAGCTTTCACCTGAAATAAGAAATTTACCTACCCTTAGTATATTCAAATCCAGACTTAAAATAGATCTATTCAATGACGATGTTACAAATTCATCAGATCTCTCCGTTTCAAGAAAACAAGAAATAATTTTCAATAGAGTGCGCTGTGATCTCATTTTTAAGGCTCACCTTTACGCTCACAATTTCACTAATATAAACTCCCCCATTTGCCAGTGTGGAATGGATGGTGAAACAACCAATCACGTAATTTTTCACTGTAATCTAAGATCAACATTTTGGACAGAATTTGAAAATGAATTAAAAAATATGAACATAGAATATTCTTAGAGGTTATGTCACTATGACGTGAAATATGCCTGAGTTCTCCCAATATAGGCCGACCTTGGGAGGTTCTATATTTGGGCAAGAACGAAGGCATATTTCACGTCATAGTGACATAACTGATGTATTACATGCCTTTGTTCCCATGGTTTACTTTGTATCAATGACGTGACGTCATGATATTATCATGGTTATTAAAGAAATCTAATATCAAAACGAGGTAAGCGGGCTATATCGGGGTAATCGGGCAATATCGGTGGATATAGCTCGCTAACTTTCCCATTGACTTCCATACAAATGCTTCGCTAGGTATGTAATACTACTAAATATAGATCACAACGAGACAAACTCTCCCTTATCCTCAATGGCGATAAAAGGCTACCTAAGGCTGTAAACTTAAGTATCCTCAAATGTAGTGCCATCTTTTTTGAACGATGTAAAAATGTCTAGGTCACCCCCACCACTGTAACCCTCCACAAATACAACCCCTATTTTAATAATTGATTGAATACTGTTAATTGATTTTCATCATATAACGTGGCTGATAATGCTGATGCCCAGCCACAAGCACATGTGCATTTGTTTACTGTATTCTTTGTATAAATATATAAATAAATAAAAAAAAATAAAAAATTAATTCTACATCATCAAATATTGCAGCATCAAGTAAATTAACATTAACGTCTTCATTTTCTTGGTTCTCTGCCATTATTCTCTGTTAGATTATAGTCATAGATATGTGCTTATTTCTCATAATTGCCAAGCACAAACAAAGTATCAGGAAGTACTATAGATTCCATTTAAAAGTACATCCTGACCTGAGCCTCATTTTGAAATCATAAAGGCCAAAGCCTCGTTTTGAATATAATTTATGTTCATGATATGAATGGGATTTAAACTGCAGCACATGGCCTATGTACAGTTGTATTTGTACATTAAGATATATTACATGCATTAACTTTTATGTGGATTTAGTATTGATGAATGCTAGTAAATCAAAATAAGTTGATGTAAATTCACAAATGGTTGCTAAATGTAGTATATTATTAGAATTGTAGCTTGATTGGGTACTCTTAAAGGGTGACGCATATCGCATATCATTTAGCAAATCGAACGCTCGTTTCTGGTGTTGCTCACCATTTAGTATAAAAGGCTCAATCCCAGAATAATACTCAAGGGTTCAAAGGCTCGAGGTCGTTGTGTCAACACCTCTAACTTTTATATAACATTGGTACAGTATAGATCGTCACACATTTATAAAAGGGAGATTTTCATTTTATACGGGAAGCTTATCGGAACCCTTTAAAGCATATTGTTCATTTGCTTTTTCCTTGCCATTCAATCTATCTGTATGCAGGCATGCTATAGGCGTAGCCAGGGGTGTGATCACACCCTACCCCCCTCATAACCAAGCAAAATAAATCATGATAAAGAGGAAGAAAAGAGCTTTAAAATGCTTTTTATTTAAAGCTTCTAGCTCAATTTTGAGAGAAGTTGCATTAATTTTTGTAAAATCCAAAATAAATCATATTTTTGGGCTTGTTTATGCCACAATCCCACCCCACCCCCCCCCCCCCCACCCAAAAAAAAGAGAACCGAAATTTTTTTGGAGATCGCATCCCCTGACTGAAAGCTGGCTACGCACCTGCATGCCATCTACAGACATTGTAATATCACTGGGGGGTATCGTGATGCAACAACACCGTGTTGTTGCATCAAGATGGCCAGACTTCCGGTGATAGATTTTCGTACGATATTTTGTTTTCCAAATTTAAACCCATTTCTAGGACGAGTTGCTCAATAATCATACACATGCAGTTAGCTCTTGATCTATATTTTAAAAAACTCTCATTAGTATGCATGTAGCATCACCAAGAAGCGAGAAATTCGCGGTTTTAATTCCTCACTATTGATGCAACAACACCACTCTGTTTATTATCGATGATGCAACAACACCAATGTGCTGATGCAAAAACGCCAATATAATGTATCATTGAA